TACAATTAACCTACTTTTAACAAATCACAAAGGTTAACAGGACAAATAAAGGGGGTGGTGGGCATTTAATATATTCTTGAAAGAGAGAGAAAGAATAGGTGCACATTGAAGTGCTCTGTGTATATAATTTTGATTATTTCAGTCTTAATATAGAATCTTAAAAATCTCTTCAATTTATTACTTGAACAGTCCTTAGTTCATTTTCAGAACAATCTAAGTGAAAATGGTCGAACCAAAAGTTCCTGGAAAGCTAAACCCTTTGGAACGATTGAAGAAATTTAACTATAGTTTCAATGAAGAAGGACAGCTGAGGCACAGAGAAACTAACAAACCTTTGTTTTCAAACAACATATTATTGGAAACAAATTGAGCCACCAGTGGTACAATGATTTGGGGGCAATCCTTGCTGAATATATATATGAACTCCTGGAGGAAGAATGTCAACTAAAACGAGTCTGTGTTCCTGTAGATGCTTCAATGGATGAGCCTAAGAGTTTCTGTTATATGAGTGAAGGAGCTTTGACAAACCCTTCTAACTTAATTGTTTTGCTTCAAGATCGTGGAGTAATTCGGGCTGGTGAGTGGTCCCAGCAATTGATTCTGCATGATTGTTTGAACAGTGGCTCTCAAATTCCTTTTATCAAGAAAGCACAACATGAGCATTTTGATGTAATTGTATTAAATCCTAATGATAATTTTTTAGTTATTAAGGGAAAAAATGATAGTGACCCAAGAGAGAAAAAGGATGATGTCTGTGATTCTGATCAAACCGAATGCAAAGTGCAGCTTGAAAAAGTGATTCAACAAATGCCAAAAAGAGGTGTTGAAAGTGCTGAACAGCACACTATCTACACCTGGGACCACTTTATTTCTAAGTCTGCAGCTAAGAATGTAGCTTTTATAGCCCACGGTTACGGTGGATTAGCATTTGTTAACCTATTGAATGAGCGCAGTCAAGAAGTAATGAGGAAAGTGCATGCTGTGGCTTTTATAAACTCTGTGCATGATGTGTGGCACCAAAATGTTCCAAAATCTAGTCAAGAATGGATTAGAAAAACTTGTTGCAACTGGGTGTTGAGCTCCATGCCTCTCGACAAGCCTGTTACCTCAATGAGGATGAACTGCCCACAAGTTTCTGCAGGCACAGAACACCATGATTCAGCCCCTTCCATCTGTTTTCACTCAATTTTCAAGTACATAAAGAAAGCTTTAAAAGGGAAAAAAACTGAACAATTCACCCATGTGCCAATTGTCACAAGGAGTTCAAGTAAACTGTTGAACACAAGAAAACTAAGGTCAATGAGCTGAATTCCTTGAGAATGGAAAATGAGATTTCAGTGGAGGAACATTAAACATTGGTGAAACTGGAACATTCAGTTAACTGTGGACCCAAGACTGAGTTTATATTGAGATCTGATCCTCTTTGTTGTGTTGCCCAAGAAGTAATAACAATAAACCTTGTATTTGGCTATTTGGTGTAGAACCTTATCACGTCTGAAGAAGTATTTGTTTTTCAGCCCTTGTGCATCTCCTGAACACTCCAATCAGGCATATTGGTGGGTGACTTTCTCTATGGCTAGAAATTGGAGTAGCTTATGATTCTGACCCCAAAGAGTAGGAATAGAAGGGTATTAAGTTATTTAATATGATTAAAGGTCTAATTTCCCAGATCGTTCTTGCAGAAGCACATGTGGAATTCTGTCTGGTTTTGATGCTCTTAAGCATATAGGGATCAGCTTCTGCAAGTGTCAGCTGGTTAACCAAAAGAAGCACGATTGAGATCTCTGCTGTGCCCTGTCCCAGAAAATGTAATGATTTCCCAAGGTCCTTCCTCTTAGAATTTGTTTGGGGGGAAATAGAACTTGTGTTCTTAAACTGTATTCAAAGTGCTATTGCTGGCTGTATTCCTAGCTGGGTTTGAGGCAGAATATTCCATTTTTTTGGAAGTTTTTTTTAGGGTGTCACTCTGGTTCAGTTAGTAACACTCAGTTCTGAGTCAAAAGGTTGTGGGTTCAAGCCCCACGTCGGCACTTTTGAGAGTTAACATGCTGGTAATCCAGTAAAATGCTGGGGGAGCACTGTATTATCATTCTATTCAGGTGAAAGTTTAAAAATCCCACGGCACTATTGAAAAAGAAGTGATTACCTCCTGCTGTCCTCACCAACAAACCTTCAAATATGTCATTCACTTCACAGATGTAGTGGGACTTTGTTTGCAAATTAGCTGCCATGTTCATCTGCAAAATAAGTAAATCTTGTGAAATGTTTTGAATGATGTGAAGTCAAATGCTAAGATTGTTAAGTATTTTATTTCTTAAAACAGAGGGAAAAATACATTTTTGTTATTCGTATAAATTGATGGAAGAGAGTCCTGGAGGCAATCTGGTTTATTGATTAACAGAACTGTAGAATGCAAATAATGGGATTTAAAAAAACAACTATTACATTCTCTATTTCACATGTGAACCCCATCGCTGTGTCAGGATTAGATGAGTAAAATACTTCCAGCAACCAATCCTTTGTTTATTAAACATTGACTCCATCGCAACAGTGAGCATAAACAAAATACTGCTTTGAAATAAACCATAGTATCTTCAAGATTATTCTTTATGAGATCATCCTCTTTTCGAGCTTCTGCACAAATGTAGCTAGTGTGTAAAAAAAATGTTTTGGTTTGCTGTATTTAGTGAGTTATTCCTGCATAAATATTTTGTCTGTAGTCACAAACTAATTCCTAAATATAATTTTGTTTGCAATTTGGAAGTCAGTTGGTGATCAGGTTAAAATTAAGAGTCTAGCAAAATGAGTAAAACTGGAAACCTTACTACACATTACTATTGTATTTACTGCCTCTATGTGATTTGTTAAAAGTAAATACTGCAAGTGAGTTGTTTGTTTACAAATCCTTATTATTAAATGTTCATTTCAATAAGGGTTGTGTAATATACTTATTTAATAAATGCACTCTGGAAATCATTTGAGATTAATTATGTACTTCAACTTTAAAGTTTACAGTTTAGCTGTACAATAACTAACCATATAGATAAAACTGGCTGATGGTGGGACAGTGCTGTGCCCAAATGAGTTGCTACATTCACCTACAATTTACAGTCACACCATAAATTCTGTAAAGCTCTTTGTGAGATGTTTCAACATCATAAGGCTCTAGATTATTATAAGATAAACCATTTCTTATGGACAAATGGTAAGTTTAATACCTATCTTTATCTAAAATAACTTGTGTAAATCTGGAATATCTTTCCCCATCACGGCAAAGCAGCATCCTACTACTGATTTACTCCTCAAATTGCCACACACTAAATTGTATGCACCTGATGTATAGACTTAACATGCTGTATTGCTGGAATAACAAGTCTTCAAAAATTTTGTTGGGAGAATTTCAGATGAACAGTTTGGTAGCTTTAATCTAAATTCTCATCGCCCAACTCCGCCACTATCTCACCCCTCAGGCCGCTGAAACTCTTTTTCATGCCTTCATCACTTCCAGGCTCGACTATGCAAACACCCTGTTTGTTGGCCTTCCCAACTCCTCCCTCCACAGGCTGCAGATAATCCAGAACTCTCCCGCACCAAACTACGTGACCCCACCTCCCCCATTCTCGCCCGACTCCACTGGCTCCCTATCCTTCAGAGGATCCAGTTCAAAATCTTAGTCCTGACATACAAACCCCTCCATGGCCTCACCCCACCCTACTTCTGCGATCTAGCCCCCTACCAACTTGCTCAACCTCTGGAATCCCAGTCACTCCGCATCGCCCCCTCCTTAGCTTCCTTCAGGTCCCGCCTCAAGATCCTCCTCTTTGACAACGCCATCGGCCACTCCCTCTCCCCTCCCTTACACCCCCCAACCCCAGCTCGGGTCTGAAATGCTGTACTCTGTCCAGTGTCTTGGGACGTCCTCCCGAATTGAAAGGTGCTATAGAAATGTAATCTTGTTGTTGTAATAATAATCCTTGGCATTTGATATAGGGCCTTATTAAGTCTTCGAGACAACAACAACCACAACAAAATTACATTTATAGAGCGCCTTTCACGTCGGGAGGACATCCCAAAGCGCTGAACAGTCAGGTGTCAGGGCCCGAGTATGGGGGAGGGATGGTGTAGGAGTGAGAGAACAGGAGAGATCACAGAAGAGAAGGAGACTGAGAAGAGTCCTGAGGAACACCGCACGAGACGGTGCAGGGGCTGGGTGCGGGAGACGTCTCAAAGCACTTCACGGAATATGCTGTAAAGTGAATTGACTAGATTTTGCAGGTGAAACGCGGCAGCCAATTGGGCATAGCAGTGCCCCACAAACAGTCGTGGGTTGAAGTCAACAATTTTTTTTGAAAGGAATTATTACCCCTAGAAAAGTGATCCACCAATCGACTAACAACCGGGTTCCTACTTTTTTCTAGGTAAACAGAGGCGTGTGGAGTAAAGAAACTTGTCCAACATTTCGCCCTGCCGGGAATCAAATCCAGGTCTCTCACTTGCGAGGCGAGCGCTCTAACCACTGAGCTACAGGTCTCCGTGGTAAGCAGGGTGTGTACTTTCAGGGGGAAGTGCACATTCTATTCCAGACATGGAACTTTTCATGTGTAGGTGGCCTGCATAGGTGAAACTGGCTGGTTTGAATACTCCTAACTTTGGTGATGTGTTTTTCCACATGTTTACCAGCTGACAAAAAAAATCAGGATTTGGTACAGCACCTTTCATGTCAGGGGCAGTTGCAAAGGCTTCACAGCATTTATTTGTAAAGTGAAGTGACTGTGTTTGTGAAGTGACTGTGGGTGCATGTGGCAGCCAGTTTGTGCACAGGAATGTTCGGTAAACAGCCATGGAGTGAATGACCAATTTTATTTGGGGGATTGTTGGCCAGAACACCAGGAAAACTCACTTCTCTTTTTTGAATAGTGTCATGGGATCTTTAAAGTCCACATGAACGGGTAGATGGAATTTGGTTTAACATCTCATCTAAAGAACGGGTAAGGAGATTCGCTTACAAATAGGGTGTACCAGCGATTTGCTGTTTGCTTCAGTGCGAGAGCCAGCCAGTTTCATGCGTGCTAAAAAATGAGCAAGTTATCATCAGGTTGGAATCACTTTCTGAGTGCTGTGGTTGTGCAGAAAATATTGCTAATGTCACTTCCTGGTACCTTGCACGTGGGTTATTTGACACAATGGGCCAAGTGGCCTTCTGTGCTGTACATTTCAAGGAAGCATTGCTGACATTACTTAAAGAGAATAACACCAAGGATATTTTCTGCACATCGTATGCATGTACAGTGAGCATAAAATGACACAGCAACTCAACGACTTGAAAGTTGCCCTTTTTTACTGTTGGAAGTCCTTACACCTTTCAACAACGCAAAATAAGTAATTTTAACAGCCATTTTGCTTGCTTCATTATAATGTGGGGATGTGACATTGGATCCAGTTGACTGAATTACAGTGTCAAGGTCTGTATTAAGTAGTGCATATGGTGATGAATTTAGAAAGGTTTGTATTTTGGTTGCTTTATTCTAAAATTTGATTTAAATGTTCATTAATGCAATACATTTTACATAACTTATGGAAATAGTATGATAGGAAATGTGTATTTCAGATTTAGAGAGATTAAGTTAGATGTTGGGAATATGTAGGGTTAACAAAGAAGAGCTAAAAAATATTTTTAAAAATGTATTATTATAAAAACTATTGTATCCTAAATTTGGTGTGAAAGATTTTGAGTAAGATTGGAGAGGGGGCCTTTTTTATTTGGCAAGAATATTGTAATAATCTTTTAATGTTTTATTTAATTTTCAGGATTGAAGTTTCCCCCGAATTCTTGTGACATTAGAGGAGATCACTTAGGTTTGAAAATTTGCAATTTGAGAACAAAAATGTGGCTTCATAGTGCAAAGATACTGCAAAGCTTTAACAGGTGTTACAGTTTGCGGATAAAGACTGGAGTGAAGATCAAGATGGGTTTGTCAGTTTTCCGTTCACGACCACTCTGTAGGACACTGTTTTTCACACCATACTTGAAGAATGAAGAAAGAAATGTCAGTACTGATAAATTGGATTTAGATAGCTGGAAGACTGTCATGAGAGAAAATGTAGTAGAAGAGATTCAACCATCCACCTCAGAAAATCTTGAGGACTCTCCCCTAGCTGCCACAAGAGAACTTGTTGAAATGTGGCGGCTAGCAGGGAAGCAAGTGCCGGAGAATATGACCGAAGAACATCTGAAAAACTTCGAAGAACTACCTACAAAATCCTCAAAGAAAAAGTACCTGAAATTCCTATCGATCAAAGAAGGCATTAAAAAAAATGCAAAGATAAAGAAAGAAAAATTAAGGCAGGATCGAGCAGACCAGCTGGAAAAGGCAGGAGACAGTGAGGAAGAACAAGAAATGAAGAATTCTTTTTTCTTACAATTCTGGCAACGATCATTTAACGTGCTCCATAACTGGAGAGCAGCTCAATCTATGATACATGGCCAGCCACTAGTGTTTGATATGAGCTATGACAAACAGATGGGCAATCGAGAATTGGTGAACACTGTGTCTCAATTGATAGAGTGTGAGGGGTGGAACAGAAGATCTTTAGAACCATTTCACTTGCACTTCTGTAACATAAGTCCAGGAGGATCGTATCATAAGGAGTTACTAAAGCGTTATGGAGCTACCTGGGATAAACTCTTAATAACTGTAACTGAAAAGTCATACATCGATATTTTCCCTCGAAACAAGCTTGTGTATTTGACTGCGGATTCCCCACGTGTAATGAAAACTTTTGACCATGATAAAATTTATATTATTGGATCAATTGTTGACAGGTCAATTCAGACTGGATTGTCACTTGCAAATGCAAAGCGTTTGAATTTGGCAACTGAACGACTTCCATTGGATGAGTATTTGAAGTGGGAAATTGGTGCGAAAAATCTCACCTTGAATCAAATGATCAACATTATGTTGTCCATGAAGGACACTGGTAGATGGGAAGAGGCTTTAAAGTTTGTCCCAAAGAGGAAACACGAAGGATTTGTACAGAATAGAAAAGAAAAGATACTGTATAATGACAAAAAGAAAAGATGTACTCCATTGTTTAGTAGAACCGAAAACTACAGCAACAAGAATACAATGGACTATGATCGAGAAATGCGTCACACTCAGTATAAATCAACTTTGAATCCAAATCAAGCAACAAAAAAACGTTTACATAGTCGTAAACAAAAAAGCATATGGGAGGACTAAATGTTCTTAAAAGTGTTGTTCAGTATGTTAGCTATAAGAAATGTCAAAATCAAAAGACTGATGTATCCAGATGCATTGGGATATCATGCATAAAATCCATAATTGTACTGCTTCCCCCATTGAAATAACTAAACCATATTGTAAGAAAACTTGTATTTTTGAATTTTTTTAATAGTTATTGACATTATAAGTAAGAACTTGCATTTTTATGATGCTTCTATCACATCAAAAATGTCAAAAACACTTCAAAGCTAATTACTTACTCTCAGTACGGCAGCCATTTGAGCCATCAAAGGCTCACAAACAGCCATGAGATAAATGACCGATTAATCCGTAGTTGGTCTTCAATAATGTTAAGGAATATTTACCGTCTACTTGAACAGGTAAATAGAACCTTGGTTTAATATCTCATCTGAAAAATTACACCTCCAGCAATGTAACATCCACCTAATACTGTGCTGGAGTGTCAGCCTTGAGAATGAGTTCAAATTTCAATGTGGGGTTTGATCACATTTGACCCAGAGACAAGCTCTACCAACTGAATCAAATGATACAACGTTGAATTGTGAAGAATGGCTCTTAAAGAGGTAGCCTTCATTGACAACGCAGAACACAAAAGGCACCTCTGAAATTGGGTTCTTGTCAATCTTAGTCTTTTAAAGTAAGTTGGAAATCACCCCACTTGCTATTTACTTCTGGTGGTGTAGGTTATTTGTGTACCGACATGTTCCATAATAGTATACTGTAGCAGTATGCAGATGTGCTCACATGATTTTCGCACAGTGAGCTCCCAATCTCATCTAAACTGTTAATAAAATAGTGGAGTTCTACTTAAAAAATGCATGATGTGGCACTGACACATATACATTTGAAAAGTTACAGACTTGATACCCATTCAATGCTAAATTAGTCGATCTCATGTGCGATAGCAAAGTGGGAGTCACTACAAATGTCCAGTGTTCCTGGGCTAGGGAAAGAAACATTCAAAATGGCTTCCCGTTCATCAATGCCTTCAAATGATAGGATCAGGCATAGATGGTCATTTGCCCCATTGGCATTCATTGTCCAGAATCATATATGGGTTTATTTTGGTCAGCAAGGTGTCTTGAGACATGTGTAGAACCATCACCACGCTTAAGAGTATCCAAACCGAAATGAACTGGATTATCGACTTGGGTGAGATACTGGAGAGGCCCCAGAACCTATAGAACTGTAACTGAACATAGGTGGACATAAGTGGCCATGCTTTCTGGCACTATAATAATAATAATAATCCTTGCATTTGGTTCTGGCAGGGAGGAGGGAGAACAACAACAAATTACACTTGTATAGGGCCTTTCACATCAGGAGGACGTCCCAAGGCAATGGACAGTCAGGGATCCGCACCCGAGCTTGTGGTTGGAATCAGGAAGGGTGGAGGGCAGAGATGGTTAGGTGAGGAGGGTGACCGAAGGCACCGTCAAAGAGGAGGGTCTTGAGATGGGTCTCAATGGAGGCAAGGGAGGAGGGCGAGGCTGAGGGACTGTGGGACGGAGTTCCAGAGGGTGGGGGCAGAGAGGGTGAAGGCCCGCCTGCCAATGCTGGGGCAGGCGAGGCGGGGGATGCGAAACAGGCCGAAGCTCACTGAGCGGAGGGAGCAGCCAGGTTGGTGGGGGGGGGGGAATAGGGAAGAGAGTGGTACTCCATTCCCGATACAGGCCAACGCCCATAACCTGGCGGAGCGAGGGAGTTTGGCAACGAATGGTTCGGTTACCCGGAGACGGGTTTTCGTACCTGTGTGACCAACGAATAGCTTGCGTTACACGTTCCGCCCGCAAAATAACCCCCCCCCACCCGCCCCCCCGGTCAACTCCCTTTACAGTATACGCTGTGTGAAGCGCTTTGCGACGTCTCGAAGAAGACGTGATGAGGCGTCAAATCAAGTGCAAGGATTATGATGATGACGACGATGATATGAGTGGCGTCCTGTAGCTCAGTGGTCAGAGCACTCGCCTTGCAAGCGAGACACCCGGTTTCGATTCCCGGCGGGGCGAAACCTTGGGCAAGTTTCCTTACTCCACACGCCTGAAAATAATCCCTCCAAAAAACAAAAACAGTAATAAATCGGTCATTTTTCAACCCACGACTGTTGGTGGGACGCCGCTGGGGGCGATTGGCTGCCGCGTTTCGCCGGCAAGTAGACGAGTCAATTCACTTCACAGTGCGTTCTGTGAAGCGCTTTGGGACGTCCTCCCGACGTGAACAGCGCTATATCAAATGCGAGGACTGTTATTATCATTATTATTATTCTGTGAGACGTCGCTTTGAGACGTCGAGAAGACGTGAAAAGCGCGATATCAAAATGCAAGGACTGTTATTACTGTTCTCATTATTATTATTATTATTTACGACGAGGATTATTACGACCGTCGGGCGAAGCTGACACCCGCCTGACCAACGTGTCTCGGTGTTGACAGCCTTCCCCCTCCCACCCCCCCTCCTCTGGGCGTTTCCATGGAGTCACACGTAGCGTCCGGGCGGGGGCGGAAGTGACGCCACGCCCCCTTCCCCTCCCCCCCCGGTCCCAGCATGCTCTTGGCGATTTTAAGTTGATCGAAAATGGCGGAGGAGCCGCGCTCAGAGACAGAGAAGCTGCGAGATGAAGGTGCCGGTTCCTAATGTGTTTTTAAACTCTGCCTCTCGCCCCCCAGGAAATCTAAAATTGCACAAGCGCCACGTGGGGGGGTAGGGAAGGGGAGAGGAAATGAAAGGCCCCGATTGGCAGAGGAGGAGGAGGAGAGGATGCGGCCTCCCGTCGGACGGACGGAGGGAGGGAGGGAGGGAAGGAAGGAAGGAAGGCCCCGGCCGTCTCCAGAAGCCGTGGCTGTTATTAGTCCAGGGACTGACTGGGGGAGAGCGCGCCGGGGTGGGGGGGTGGGAGGGGGACAGAGCAAGAAAGAGAGGGCGGGCGGGCGGGCGGGCCCTGCTGCATGCTCCGGTAACGCACTCTGCACAAGGGCTCAGGCTTGCATCGTGGCTCCTGGATGAGTATAAATTACTGCGTTTATATATTTATATATATGTATGTGTGCGTGTGTGTGTGTGTATATATATAGATATATATAGATATATAAAAATGTGTTTTCATATCCAATAAGAAAAAAATCCTTGCGTTTGATATGGCGCCTGATCAGGTCTCTCTCTCTCTCTCTCTCTCTCGAGATGTTTCAAGAGGGCTTCGCAGAACGGACCGTCAAGTGAATTGACTTATATTTTGTGGGTGAAACGCGTGTGCACACACACACGCACACGCGAGCGAGCGCGCGCGCACACCGAGCTTCGTTAATTCCTTCAAAGGACAATAATCAATTGGTCTCTTCAATCCATGACGGGACACTGCTGTGCACAATTGGCTGCCGCATTTCGCCCACAAACTATAGTCGATTCACTTTGCGGTGTATTCTGTGAAGTGCTTTGAGACGTTTTGAAGACATTATAAGGCATTATATCAAATGCAAGGATTATTATTATTAATACCCTTAAAACTACGTAATAATGCTAAAATGCGGGCGATTGCTTTTTTAAAAAAAAAGAAACCTATGGAAGAACATTTACTAAAACTAGAAGCTGGTCCGGGCTTTTAAAAATAACATTTTGTTGAAAATGAGCAACTTCTTTTTTAGAAATTTTTTTTTAGGTTGATGTGAAATGTGGGAGCTGTTTGCTGCACTTCTTCAATCACCTGGTTTGCAAAGGAAGCATTGGACAGTTAACAACCCAGATAACATTATGAACGTGTGGAATTCAATTCTTCTTTGGATCCATTGTTTGAAAATTAGCATGCTCGCCTTTTTAACTACCAATTAACGTTTCTGTTTCAATAATCAAGGTTCTGGAATTGATTTAATTATTTTTATTAATGATGGAATTTTTTTGCTTGTCATTATTTTACTTGAATGGTATCCAAATAGATTGCACAGTAAATAACCCCTTGTCAGAAATGTTTAAAACCCCTATCAGGAATTGGAAGTGTGTTGAATAATCTGAAATAATTTGTAATTTAATTTAATGTGTTCATTGTTCCTTTTGTAGGAGTGCTAAAATTGTTTTTGTGCTTTATCCAATGTACAGTAATTGATTGAAAATCGTGTGTATGTAAGCAAAGCTGGATACATCCAGTGATTCAGGTTTTTGGAACCTAGAGAAAATAATAGAACCAATACTGTGCTGTTTTTGGTGGATCAATATCCCTGCAGATGGAATGTGTTGCCCTTAGCATGGCATTCACTTTAACTGCCTGGTAGAGAACTTGTGCGGCCTGATCTCATAGTTTCATTCAAGTTTCAGAAAGCAGCAGTAACACATGACCATCAGCTTGAGAGTCTTGCTGACTCACTAGGTGTAAATCTTAGACTTCCAGATGTTAGCCTTATTGCCAGATGTGTTTTTTAAGATGCACAAACACATTGTTTAAATGTACTGTACTTTGAGAAATTACGATTTAGTATGTTTCAAGATGGATCGCCTTGTTTGGATACAAAATTTGCTCTATATGTTTTCTGTTGTCCTCAGCATTCTGGTAATTTCTTGAAGTTATAAACTTTCTATAATTTTAGTGTTGTATTAGTATATTCTTCCTAAGAGGAACTGTATCAAATGGTAAGGTAAATGTCTAGGTTCTCTTATATAAAAAAAAGTTACATCACCTTATAATTTTGCTATGATCATTATCCTTGCTGACATGACAGTGCAGAAATCCTACATTGTCCTATCTATATTTGCAGGCACTGCTGCTCTCTCAAATTATTGGCTAGCTAAATATAAGAGGTTGATGAGGAGATTGCATGCTGCTTCATTGGTTGAATCCTTGTCTGAAATGAACAGTCAAATCATTGATGTTGAAAATGGACATTAGGTTGGTGATTATCATTTAAGTTAAAAGTATTTGATCTTGTCCAAAATATGTAGGAATTGGATTATTAAAATTTGACAAGCTTACTGTTTTTACTGAAAGTAATCATGTTTTTACTAATTTAAATTATAATAAATCTAAATTTACAAAATATTTAATTGTTCAGCTTGTAAAAATTGCCATTGTTTGCCATTTCTGGCTTCAAAAAAAGTATGCAATAACATTGCAGACTGATTATAATTGCTTTGAGAAAAAAAGTTTTTTTAAATTAATTCTGAGACTGCGGCTAGGAATCAAGTATTATGGATTATTTGGACCTTATTTGTAGTAAGGGATGAGTAATAAAAGAAGACATTTTAGAAATTATATTTGCTCAAACTATAGTTTTGAAAATAGTTTAACCAGACCAAGCCTATTAGCAATCACCAATGTAAGTCAACATAGTGCCCAACTTGTTGTTAGTTTTGTTCACCAATTGTTTTTGGATAGGGTACCAAAAATAAAAACTTATAATATAGTTTGTATTATGACACTGGAAGTCTTGATGTACTTGATGAAGGCTGGGTTAGTGTGGAACATTGGTCTACCAAAATCTGTACTGTTTATCTGGGATTCAAGTTCCAGCAGCACTGGATTGATCCTACTGAGACTGAAATGTAAAGAGCCCAACCAACTGTGAAGTATTTTCTCAGTGCCTGAATCTACTGTATCTGACAAACAGTGGAAGAGACTACTGGTTCAGTCAGTGCACACCTACAGAGGCTCCCATCCTAATACTTAATGAGGTTGCTGCACCCGTCAAAGTGCTCGATAAAAGTATCTCATCTTGGTAAGTTGTTTCGACTCCACCAGGACCACAAGAGAAAGAAGAGAAAACTGTGAAAACTAAGACTGTTTCTTCCAGTAACGAAGGAGAAAGTTCGAGTCGAAGTGCTGAAAAAAGAACAGCTGATGAGAAAAATCTTGATGACTCAGTTGCTGGGGATGCTAACAACAAGCCCACCCCTCCAAAAGTCTCCAAAATTGGGTTTTCACTAGGAAGTACATTGCTGAAGAAACCAGCCCCTATATCCATCAAATTAGGAGCAAATGTAAGTAAAGTGATGTAAAGTGGAAGGTGTTTCTATTTGTAACTAACAGTTTTCTTTGTCTTTTGGAGTTTGCATATGTGTGCGTGTGAAATCATATTTAATATATTTAGTATCAAAACAAGGGGGCATAGTCTTAAAATTAGAACCAAGCCATTCAAGAGTGAAATCAGGAAGCAATTTTTCACTCAAAGGGTGGTAGAAATCTGGAATTCTGCCAAAAGGCTGAGGATGCTGGATCCATCCACACCTTCAAGAGTGAGATTGATAGATTTTTGATAGTGAGTGTATTAAGGGATATGGGGAGAAAGTGGGAAATTGGAATTGAAAGTTGAGGTACAGATCAGCCATGATCTAATTAAATGGCAGAACAGGCTCGAAGGGCTGAATGGCCTACTCCTGTTCCTACGTTCCTAAAAGCAGCAGTGTTCATTGTCCAATTTTGCAGAAGGCCAAGTATGCCTGAGTTGAAGGGAGAGAAGTAAAGCCAGTATTAGACTACTTAACCTTGATAAAAAATGCAAGGATTATTATAACCTCTGCCCAGAACGTCTGGAGAAGTGAGCGTGTTTCTGAATTGAAAACCTACCTGTACTCACTTTTTAAGCTCCATACAATACAAATTTACATTTATGTAGCTCCCTTCACGTCTGGAGGACGTGCCAAGACACTTGCTTAACAGAGCGGAAATAGAGATGAAGACAAAAATGTCAAAACATTAGTGGTAAAATATATTATTTTTCATATTTGTGCATCTTAATGTTTCGTTAAGTTGATTTGGAGGACACCAATATGTAGTTCTTGAACAAATTTAAGCAAGACTAATGTGCTTAAGTGATAGCTGATCCTGGTCAAAAAGTAAATTTGACTTTTAATAGTAAAGTCTGAAACTGCTTAAAGTTTTAGGTTGTCCTCAAATACTACTTTTGTTAACCAAAAGGGGGCCAGCTTATTCGATCTAATGCAATTTTTCCATTCCCAGAAACCAAAAGAAAGTCTACCCATTCTGGCTCCCAAGAAACCTTCTGTAGCAGCAGTGTTCAATGAAGATGAAGATGTAAGTATTTATGTAATCTTTATTTGAAGGACCTAAAACTAATACAATCGGTCAAATTACTTCATATTGTGTTGTAGATTTCTATGCTTCTATTTCTTAAATAGATGCCCAATTATTGAAATGATTTTAATTCCAAATAAAAAAGTCCTTGTTTATACCAAAATTTACAATATAATCAAAAACTCCCAACTTCTTTGGTGAGAAGTAGAGAAAGCAAAATAGATTAAGATCAAACTAATGTAGGGGAAACTCTCACAAGCTGTTAGCTTGAGATGTATTCAAAGCTATGACCTGTGAAGAACTAACTTAGTTCTTAGTTTTTGCAACTAATTGATTTTTACTATGTTAGTGTTTTCTGTGAAAAATCCAGACTGAAAAATTAATTTTATATGAAATGTTTGGATATTTGGGTTGGGTGAAAATGCACAATATTGAGATTAAAATAAGAGACAGCTTGGGTATAAAACTAAAATTCCTAATTGAATTCACAAGATTTAAAGTGGATCTGTTTACCTGGTAGTAGAGGTAATTACTTTTCAAAGGTTCTTTTACACGAGGTAATTTTCATTACTCCTTTCTGTTTTCAAAATGAGGGAAACTGGAAATATTAGCTTGAGCGCATGATTTGTTTTATGAAGTAAGTTGAACGTTCAAGCAAAAAAAAAGTAAAGCTTTCATTGTGTATTTAGCAGTTTTGTTTCCTAGTGTTGTCAGAAGAAACTAGGACCAAAGTGCTGCATTAGTGCTTCGTGGCAAAGATTTTTGATCTTCCACAGCATTCTCTTTTAGACTGGATTTTGATATTAATAATAGCAGTAGTAATATTGTAATGTGTGGCCGGGAAATAATGATTCCTTTCAAATGTTCTCATCTGGTTGCAGAGTGAGCCTGAGGAAATGCCCCCAGAAGCAAAAATGCGGATGAAAAATATGGGACGGTAAGGTTACTACAATTTGGACTATTTTTAGGATAGTTTTAAGTGTTGGGCCATTATGATGTGTGAAGATATTGTCCACTTAATGGCAACATTTTAAAGCATTCTGATACTCATTGTTTTGAACAAATGGTTGATGTGAAAAATGTTGCTTAGAACTTGTCTAACATCATTCAGGATAATTAATATCAAATGTGAGCTACGTTTTGTACATTAACCTAAAATATGCAGTCACTAATAAATCCCAATGAGTGCTTTGAGATGTTTCAGTGACACCTTGTAGGTGCTACTTCAAATGCAAGGAATATTATTGTATATTTCTCTACAGGTAAGCAGCTCTCCCCATAGGTTGTGAAATAGGTAAAGCAGGGAAAGAGTGAGCATTCTATTCCAAATGGAAATGTCCTTGTATATATGGTACTATGTCTGGTTTGGATACTTTTAATCATAGTGATGGATTTTCACATGTCAGTCTGAATTGCCAAAAATTTCTATGCGTCAGTTCCAACTGGTAATTCAGTTACATTAACCGCAATGCAGTGAACGCTTAACATATTTGAAATGATAATGCACATTAGAGGTATTAATTGCAGAAAGAACTAGTTCCATTTGAATTATAAAATAAATCAATTGCATTTGAAGGTGCATGATTTCTGCCCAGCTGTTTGAAAGATAAAAGTAGATCCAGCAATGTATTTAATTTTAGGCATGAAGTGTGTTTGTATAAATCATTCACTTATAATACAATAATCATTCTTCATATAGAAATGAATAAGGAAAACTGGAGCTTTTTAAATTTCTACATTGAAAGCAAATTGACTACTAGGTCTTAAACATATTAATAAAAGGTATTAACTTTGTTATAAACATATTAAAGAAACAATTTTAATTTTTAGAAGGCTTTTAATTGTCCATTCCAGAACTGCCCTATGCCTAATATTTAATGAATACTAAATTCCCTGATGATTTTCTGTGGAAAGTAATGTCATTGCCATGTCCTATAAACTTCTGGCCATCGTTCTTAAATTGACTGAAGAGCTAACCCTGAAGAATTGTATATAAATATTAACAAAGCACCTGTAATGGTAAAATACACAAAGAACTTATTTAGTATACATTTTATTAAAATGTGCTTTCAAGGTTAAAAAGTCCTTTAATTCCTGGGTTTGTTTTTTCCTTGATAAGTTTGCACAATTTACAAATATCAGAATCCAGAAGTTCAGCTTTGTCCTCAGGCAGTTTTTATTGTTTTGCCACTTAAATGGTATGACAACTTCTGGAATGTATGTAAATAACTGCTGTAAAAATTCTTCTTGTGTTTTCATGATTATGCGCCTGGAAATAATTCTGCTTTTGGCAACTTACATTATCTCTCTGCAGAGAAACTCCAACATCAGCAGGACCAAATTCATTCAACAAAGGAAAACAAGGATTTTCTGATCACCATAGGTTATGGGAGCGGAAAATGAAAAATCAGATGCAGAAGTTTGGAGATGATTAAACATCATATTCAAAAGCAGAATTCAATCAAGAGTGTTGGAGATGGATGAAATTTAACAATTAAGATATTTTCAAGACCCTCCAGCTTGCTTCAGAATGGAAATAAAATGTTTCATCAATAACTAGTGGATATTGTATACTTAGATTTTCTTACTATAAATTGTAATGAGTGTAATGTGTTGAGTATGCAGTAGATAGCCCCTTCACAAAGTCTCATTGCCAGAGTATTGTGACTAAAGTACATATTTAGATCTTCAGTCATCTCATAGCTAGTGTTGATTATGTTCAGTGTTTCAATGTGGCCTATTTTGTTTGGAGTGCTGTAAAATAACTTTTACTGCATATCAATACTTACAGGTAAATGTAATGAGGGAAAATTTAGTCAATCACTCTGCCATTGAAAAGTTCATGGTCATAAATCTATTAAAGTTTGTTTGTTTATTTTTCTTTGGGGGGAGGAATATTTTCAGTGAAGAAAAATTACAGGTATCCGAGTCAAAATGTAAAACCTGCAAAAATTAAATTTTTCCTTCTTATCTGTTCCTAGTTTGGTACATTAATTCTACTCACATTGCTTATAGAAATGTGGGTAGGCACTAAGAGTGGATGTCTGTTGACTCTAAATAAATCTTCTCTTGTGATACAGCACAATAGTGATACTAGTGGTGTTGACTCGTTTGGTGTGAGCTGAGATTTTGCACTGAGTGGCATAACATTTGGAGACTTACACCCAAACAGAACTTCTCCCCAAGCTGGAAGCTATGGTTGAAGCAAAATGAATCAATTTATTTGAAAGCAAACTTGATGCACACAAGGGAGAAAAGGGAATAGAGGTATAGAAGATGTGGAGTATGAACACCAGCACAGGCAATTTCAGCTGAATGGCTCCTTTCCATGTCATATCGTTCTACACAATTATATAGTAAGGTCCTGTGTTATATAGTGTGAAGCACCTGGAGAGTCATGTACAAGATGTCTTCAGGCATAGTTGTGTACAGTCTTAAAAGAAACAATGTCCCTTCAGAAATGCTCCCTCCCTCAACATTTCTATGGGATCTCATCCCATGGTCAGAGAAGGCAAGAAAAAACTAAAGTTTGAGAAAGGCATTGCAATTGAAAGGCATAAACTTGGCAATTCCCTACTAGGTACAACATGAAAAATAAATAAAAACTATTTTAAACATAATGAAAATTAATTTATTTAGCAGCCAGGATGACTAGGGCTTTTACTGATAGCAAAGCAACAATTAAGTTCCAGTTTTGACCACATTATATGAAGAGAAAACTATTCTCATGAACAAAATTTGAACTCAACCTTGGATAACAAGACTGCATAGTTTTTCGTAATTTAATAATTCTGCATGAAAACTTATAGCCACAATATTGATATTTTACAAACAAAACCCCTCTCGTATGTACTTTCAGAGAGCTTTTTTTCCTCCCCCTTATTAACTGCTGGAATGCATTAAAACAGAACAACCAATGATCCTTCAGTGTTCTAAATTCACATGGATGTCTCTTGCAAGCACTTCTGGCTGCATGTCACAGACACAGCTCCATTAACAGAGGCAAGTGACTAAGACTACAAAGATACATACATGTGCACATCACTTATGTATAAACCAATCTCATATCCACATTTATTTACATAAATTACACTTTCACAAGCCACTGACCCAATGAAGGCCTCCCATTTGATTGACAAATCCAAAGTGAATCAGAAAATGTATTTCTGTAACCTGGGACACAATTGTATCAGTACTTTTGCCAGGTCTTAAATCTGGAGAATTGTAGTTTGAATTGTTGATGAAACATGAATTGGACAACCTTGTTTTATTTCTCCAATATTACTGATAACATGGTGGGAAAACAAATGGAAACCTTTCTAAACAGATATGTTTACATTCCCTTTCAAAGATGTCAATAACCCTAAAAACAGGGCCTGAAGTTAAAATGTCAAAGGAGAAAAATATACTGTAAATTTAGAAATTGTAGAACTATAATCCTTTACGAAAAAAAATCTTAATTCACTCACCTACCCACAGTCCTTGTAACTCACCTATATTCATTGTAAAGTTTTTAAAAAAACTTGGTTGGACCTACAATACTAATAGTTCAGGAGTACAAATCTATCCGTACCCTATTCTCAGGATGTCTGTTTTGTTTATTTTCATTCCTCTGTATTCCAATCAATAAGTACAGACTTTCCACACAAAATACTGACGCAAGATGGTTTGCATTTACGTCACCTGGATACAAATTGTGAAACCGTGCCTAAAGTAAGGATGCAAAGTAGAAATAAATTGCATTTGCTTTTAAAATAAGTGGAAGTTTACACCTTGCTTCAAAGCGTCACAAACTAATTTTGCTCTCATAGCTTCTGGTCTTGTAATCTTACAATTTAATAGGTTCTCTCATCTCCTCCTATCTTTGCATTGGTATTATTTGCTTACTTGTAGATCACTCAGTGATATATGCGAAAGCCTGACAGTATACATAAATAAAAAGCCCGAATCAGTGTCTGGTTAGTTACCTGCATAAATCTATTATCATGAAGAACTTCCATATTGCCAGAATATTTGAGCATATTGCCATCTTTCAGGTCAAGACCTAAATCAACTCCCTTATTTCACTCAACCTCTCCAATGTGGGCAACCTCAACTTCTACTGTCTCACCAATTTCAGTGAGTTTTGGTCCTTGCTGCTGAGACAAGACATAGTTGACCACTTGCATAATTCCATGGTCTGTTAGTGAGGGCAAAATCTCTTCTTGATTTTCTACAGCCTCCACAGCTTCCACGGCCTCTGCAGCTTCCACAGCCTCTACAGCCTCCACAGCCTCCACAGTTTCAACGGTCTCTCCAGTCACTATGACAGTCTCAATTTCTTCGCCAATTATTTCTGTCTTGTCCAATTCCTCTTGCATCTCACCAGTTAGGATTCTGATGGCATGCTCTACCTGAGTCCCTTGATTGTGAAACTGCAAGGTGTCCTTCTCTAACATGATTTTGCCAGGGACATGCTCCTTGTGAAACTTGGTCATGTGTTTGCGTAGGCTGCGGGCATCAATGTAGGCGTCATTGCACACTGGGCAGACGTAAGGTCGTTCTCCGGTGTGTGTTCGCACATGCCGCTTGAGAGAGCGAGCATCAGCCCAGGCTACACCACACGTCAAACATTCAAATGGCTTCACTCCTACATTAGAAGGAAAATAATTTCTAGATTACCTTCTTATAAGCAAACATGTGTAGAGTCCTGTAGCTCAGTGGTTAGAGCACTCGCTTTGCAAGCGAGAGACCTGAGTTCAATTCCAGGCAGAGGGCGAAACCTTGGGCAAGTTTCCTTACTCCACGCGCCTAATAATAATCCCTCCAAAAAACAAAACAATAATAAATTGGTCATTTTCAATCCACGACTGTTTGTGGGACATTGCTGTGCGCAATTGGCTGCCGCGTTCACCCACAAATATACAGTCAATTCACTTTACAGTGTGTTCTGTGAAGTGCTTTGGGACGTCCTCCCGACGTGAAAAGCGCTATATCAAATGCAAGGATTATTATTATTATGTGTCATAACAGGGTTGCACTGTGATACCTCTTATACCTTTTGATCTACAATGTAATTGCTAATGTATTGCACTAATGAGTAACAATTCCCTAGTTTATACCAAGAAATTGAAGAGACCAAATGGGAGATAACTAATTACCCAAGAGGAAAAAAGGGGAACGGCAGGTAAATTGCACCTGCTAACAGTCTGTTCTGCATAAAATGTATCATCTTAAAAATGGGAACTCAATAAAAATTAATCTGATTTTAAAATATATATAATTTCTACGAAACTCAGGTGGTCAATCAGTAAAGATTTTTAAAGAAATGTTTGATTTTTGGTGTGGTTGCGATTTAGTGTCACAGCAATATTTGCTTCTGTACCACATTGCGACAACTGAGTTGTCCAAACATTTACCTGAATTGTAGTTTAAAATTAAAGCTAATCTGACTTTCACCCAGGCTTTAATAAACAAATAAATATCAAAGGGTAATTAGTAAATAGAGAAAAGGACACACTAATATGGCAGAGATGTTCTTTGAATTCTGAGGATCAGTTCTTACCCTGATGATTGTTCATATGCCTTCTATATTCTCTTAGCTGTGAAAACTTCTTCCCACAGTGCTCACAGGTACGATCCAGAATCTGCTTGGCTCTGCCTTTTTTTCCATGAGTGGCTTTCTTCACATGTCGTCTGAAAAGGGCTTTCTCAAAGAATTCTTTTCCACAGACAGTACATCTGAAAAAACAGGCACTTGTGTTGGGGGCATCTCCAGGATGTTGGTGACAAGGACTATAGTAATAGTGGTGCAATGTGTTTTTAAAAAAAACATATCTAGGACATAGATTCTGGTCCAACTGAACTAATCACACTTCTGAAGAAGTTGTTCATTTAATGAAGCCCCGTCAAACACACTTCCCAGAAATGCAGTTAATAAACAAGTGTTCAGCTACAATTCCTCACAAAGCAAGTTTGAATTTGACCATTCCTGGGCATGGGAATGACAAATATTTCCACAATCAGCAGAAAAGTATAATTAGATTATATACTGGTCAGCATCATATCAAACTCAGCCATGTCTTTACTCCCCCACAAAAATAGAATAGTCCCTGCTGACATTCCCTATCCAGGATCAAATTAATTTTTGTGAGCTTTCCTTAACTATTCCTTGAACAATCAATACTATAACTACATGACAATGTGTCACACCAAATATTAATACTACCAGCATTTTATTCAGGACATAACAATTATTCTCCCTCAATAGACATTGAACTGTACTCACTTATATGGCTCTGTAACAGAATGTGCTTTTACATGAGAATACCAGTCCTTCTTCCAGCTGTAACACTTCCCACAGAACTGACACTGAAATGGTTTTACACCCAGATGCTTGTACATGTGCTGCTGTAGGTCCCTTGCCTCATAGAAACTTCGTTCACATCTGCAAAAGTAAAGACGGGGGTTCTCAAAAGCCACATCAATATAGATGTCTTAGAAAACCCATATTATTAACACATTAAACGAAGAGCGAAGTACAGCCATTTCCATCGATATTGTAAATTTGGAATATCCAGATTACCGAGCAAATCACATAAATTAGTCGTGCTACAATGTGACAGTACAACTGAAGCCATATGTTGTATATGTGGTTATATTCTAATTTGATGCTAAAAACATTTCTGTCCCAAACCAGATTTTGTTTACAACAATAAATAATAATAATAGATTATCTTCAATGATCCACTTCACATGACATAATAAAAAGACAGAAAAAGATCTGATGTGACTTACTGGGTGCATTGAAAGCTTCTAATCTCAGGCTTCGGCAAGTGTCTTTTCAAGTGCTTGCTAAGTCCAGAAGCCCGTTTAAAAAACTTCCCACAAGTTGAACACAGGTACTTGGATTCACCTACAATAATTAAAAGAGTGAATGCTTCAAACAAGTAAAATTAATAACTGCCTCTTAAAGTCAAGGAATTCACAGAATTACAGAAACCATTACCACATGTAAATGGACCAGTCAGTCTAACTAGTTCATACTGGTGTTTGTATTCCACACAAGTCTGCAGTCCTCCTAATCCTCTCTATCATGCCCTTCAATTCCTTCTCCTTCATGCAGGGCACATTTTTTTTTGCATAAAATATTTAAAAATAAACAGTCAAGGTACAATATGTTATAAATGGATAGATCAGATATCAGAGTCCTGTTGCTCAGTGGTTAGAGCACTCGCCTCGCAAGCGAGATGACCTGGATTTGATTGGGCAAGTTTCCTTACTCCACACACATGCCTCTGTTTACCGAGTAATAAGTAGCAACCCGTCTGGGGTTCCTATTTACTGCTAGATAAACAGAGATGTATTAATCAACTGGATCGCATTCCAGAGGGGTAATAATTCCTTAAAAAAAAAATTGGTCACTTCAATCCACGACTGTTTGAGGGATACTGCTGTGTGCAATTGGCTGCCGCATTTCGCCCAAAAAACACACAGACAATTCACTTTACAGTGTATCCTATGAAGCGCTTTGAGATGTCTCGAAGACGTGATAAGGCGCTATATCAAATGAAAGGATTATTATTAAGATCAAATTCCTATTTGCATCTCTATATAAAAAAAACTTGCATTAAAGTATAACAGATTCTCCATTGCCAGTTTTTAATCCAGAAGAATAAAATGTTTCCATTTTCAATTAAAATATAGAGTGAGGAAATCAACCATTTCTTCACAATGTCAGCACAAAGGTTCAACCAGACTGTTCACTATAAGTTGGTTCATATCACTTTATAACAAGAGAATGCAGTTAAAAGTCCAAAGCAGCTTTATCTGATATTGATGGCTGATAGAGGCACAGGAAGATTTGGGAAAATACCACTGTATCAACAAAACAAGTTACACATATCTCATAGAGCAGGACACACTTCAGTGATCTCATTCTGAATTAGATCATTTGCTTACCGGTGTGAACACTTGTATGTTCCTGAAGACTGCGTTTAGTAGCAAAGGATTTCCCACACACGTCACAGCTGAATTCCCTCTTACCTTCATGGTGAGCCAGGTGTAATCTCAGACTGTGTTTATAACCAAAGGTCTTACCACAAAGCTAAAAAAAAGTTAAAATATGGAAATATTCTTCATTTATGAGAGCTGTAAAAATTCAGAGCCTTAGAACACACTTCACTGTATGTTATTCATTATAATATAGATATATAGCAATTCTTACCATTTTCAGTATTGAATTTGTTAGGTTGGTGATGGTGTGGGAAATGAAGAACATTCGTCTCCCCAGCCTAATTCTTTCTATGAAAATAGGCCAAAAATGTGATTGCATTTTTACTGGCTGTTGCAGGCAAATGACTACAACTTTTAGGTAATATAAATTTACTGATATTCTTTTGAACCCCAAATTACTGTTGTTTTGAAGCAATCACCTGTGGCATTTAGCCAACAAAATTATGAAGATTCTTTACAGTATTTGTGTTGCTGGTGAAAGAAGATTTATACAACACCTTTCACATTGGGAAGACATCTCAAAATGCTTCACACAACCGGTTAGCCAACTGAGCCCAAGGGGAGAAACACGAATACTGCCAGTGCATTAATCAACTAAATAGAATAGTTGTAGAAAGATTTCCTTTAGTGACTGAGTCAAAGACAATTAGCTGATACTATTTTCTGTTAATATTCTTAATGTTTTTATTAATAATGTGTGCATGTACATATACTACATGTGATGATAGTTCCATGAAGGTTTTCCTTTTTGCATGACTGTATCGTAGATGGTAATGTGGGGAGAGGAGGAGTTTTAATGATGCTTATGAAACTAATCTAAACGTCAACATAATTTTAATTTAATTGTATATTTTTATATTTCAGCACTTTCCATTGCTGAACTAATATGTGGCCTAAACATGAACCGTAGAATATAATTTTGGAATTTTAACTCTATCATATGCCAGTCTGAAATGATCAACATCCCAATCAAATCTGAAAATGTTTGTTCCCCAGAATCAAACTGTTAAATAACTTTGATACCGATCCCCTGCAAAATAGAACAATTTTCTAAAAATTAAGAAAACCTTGAATAACTTCAGCCTGCCTTTAAATGCATATGGATCCTTACCTTACACATGTGTGGTTTAACTCCTGTATGTTTCAGCATGTGAAGCCTCAGATTGTAAGGTTTGGGCAAAGTTTTTCCACAGATATCACAGATAAACTGCCTCTTTGTCTTTCCTCCAGAACTCTCATCTATTTGTTCAATATTTCGTTTGTGCCGTAAAAGATGAGCAAGCAGAGAGGCTTTGTAGAGGAACTCCTTCTCACAGAGCTACAGCGAAAGAGAAAAATATTGAAGTTATACCAACATTAAAAGTAAAAAATGTGGCATTTCTCTGTTGTATGAAATAGCACAAAGCAGACAGGGCGGTTTCATTTTCTGCTTTTCCTGATTCTACTTTTCTCCTCCAGCGCCTTGGGACGTCCTCCTGACGTGAAAGGCGCTATACAAATGTAATTTGTTGTTGCTGGTATACTATTGGCAAAGGTATTTACAGCCCAACAGCCCCTTGCCAAATAGCCAGCCAATCTTCACATCTAAACATGAAATAGTGAATAATGAGAATAATTCAACCACTGGAGAGCATCACAGCTGAGCCTGCCTGCACATGCATGGATTTCTAAAAGAAAAAATAGAAATCAAGAACAAATTCACAACTGTCATTTTTCTATCCCTAGGCAAGGCCTTTGAGATCAAATATTACGCCCCACCCCAAACAGACATACGACTTAAGCCTGAATGGCTCAGTAGCATGCCAAGCAGTGCAGTTATCCACTGCACCAGCAGTGATCGTATAGCTTAATTTCAGATTGCTCTATAGGTCTTCCCTCTTCCTACAGGTATCTTGTATCCTGCAGTACACCAGTAAATTCACTGATACTGGCAAGAACGATATTGGTCACTGACCTGTAAAAAAAAAACACAGATGACTAACTATGTTAGACAGCACACAGGAACTAAACTGGAATCAAAAATGACCAATATCGTTCTGAATCTGTAAAATGCTAAATCTTGTGTAATTTTATAGATGTCCTGCCACACCATAAAAATTAACCAGTTGATATTTCTATCATCCACACAAGACCGTAAAAGAAACATTTCACTAGGACCACCATTGAGAACAAATAGCTTTCAATCCTTCAAAATTCTCACCGGGCACTTGAATTCTTTGCTTCGGTTGTGTTTCATCATGTGCATCATTAAGGTGTAGCGCTTTGGGAAAACCTTCCCACATTCACCACATTTGTGTTCTGTGTCTGCATCATCTCCCTCTATAGGGGTTCGTTTTGGCTGCATCTTTCTGCCTCTCTTCACCAGTTTCTGTGCAACCTGTGGATGAAACCATTTCCAATTTTATAGATAAATAACAATACCAGAGTCTGTTTTCTAAAGTTTTCAGAACCCTGAGTTATTCTTCATTTTTGTGAGGATGTAAATAAATCTATCTGACTCCTTTTCAAGTTTTTCTTTCAGAATCGGCTGGAGATATTGGAGTCAACCTTTGACACACATCAGGAAATATAAGCATATTTCACAATCATCCTACTGTGCTTTGAAAACATGCATCTTAAACACCAATTATGCCCATTCATGATGCTAGTGAGACATTGTATCGTGAATGAATCCGGGACCATTATTCTTCTCTCTTGCTAATTCATAAAAGATTTTTTTTTGACACTGCTGCCAGCCAAGCACTGGATTTGTTATAACACCTTATCACGTCTTTGAGACATCTCAAAGCGCTTCAAAGAGTATACCATAAAGTGAATTGACTGTATAGTTAGTGGGCAAAACGCAGCAGCCAATTGCGCACAGCAGTGTCCCACAAAAAGTCATGGACTGAAAAGACCAATTATTTTAAAGGAATTATTACCCCTGGAAAAGCAATCCAACAATTAACTAACAACTGGGTTCCTAGTACTGCTAGGTAAACAGAGGCACGTAGAGTAAGGAAACTTGTCCAATGTTTCACCCTACTGGGAATCACACCCAGGTCTCTCGCTTTCAAGGCGAGTGCTCTAACCACTGAGCTACAAGACTCCACTACAATCACACTATTAAAAGTACTTGACTAAGATCCCATCCCAGCCCCCTCACTTGCTGACCACAAATCACAGTAGACAAATTGCACCTAGGTCTTACCTGCTGAGTTGCTGATTTCAGGTTGGATTTTCTGGCACGTAGTTTCTTCTCAGTACCTTTGTGCAATCGGATGTACCCACCTTCACCCAGAGTACGCTGTCGTAATCTGCTTTTGTAACTATCATCTAAAAGGCATTTGGATGATGAGGCAACAGGAACAGAATTCCCAGGATTATGACCGTCATTAAATTTTGGTGGTCGACCACGCTTTCGTTTTAGTGGAGGTGAAACACTGTCATTCAAATTGTCTGTAGACTCCTCTTTTTTTATGTGCAAAGATTCGCTTTGCTGTGTCCCCACAGAAGCGTCTCGCTTTGTTCGCACAGGCCCGTCCTGCTTGCTCGCCGCCGGCCCGTCCTGCTTGCTCGCCGCCGGCCCGTCCTGCTTGCTCGCCGCCGGCCCGTCCTGCTTGCTCGCCGCCGGCCCGTCCTGCTTGCTCGCCGCCGGCCCGTCCTGCTTGCTCGCCGCCGGCCCGTCCTGCTTGCTCGCCGCCGGCCCGTCCTGCTTGCTCGCCGCCGGCCCGTCCTGCTTGCTCGCCGCCGGCCCGTCCGGCTTGCTCGCCGCAGGCCCGTCCGGCTTGCTCGCCGCAGGCCCGTCCGGCTTACTCTCTGGAGAGCAGTCTCGCTTACTCTCTGGAGAGCAGTCTCGCTTACTCTCTGGAGAGCAGTCTCGCTTACTCTCTGGAGAGCAGTCTCGCTTACTCTCTGGAGAGCAGTCTCGCTTACTCTCTGGAGAGCAGTCTCGCTTACTCTCTGGAGAGCAGTCTCGCTTACTCTCTGGAGAGCAGTCTCGCTTACTCTCTGGAGAGCAGTCTCGCTTACTCTCTGGAGAGCAGTCTCGCTTACTCTCTGGAGAGCAGTCTCGCTTACTCTCTGGAGAGCAGTCTCGCTTACTCTCTGGAGAGCAGTCTCGCTTACTCTCTGGAGAGCAGTCTCGCTTACTCTCTGGAGAGCAGTCTCGCTTACTCTCTGGAGAGCAGTCTCGCTTATTCTCTGGAGAGTAGTCCTGCTTACTCTCTGGAGAGCAGTCCTGCTTACTCTCTGGAGAGCAGTCTTGTTTACTCTCTGGAGAGCAGTCTTGCTTACTCTCTGGAGAACAGTCTTGCTTTGTCTCCACAGACTCATCTTTTCTCGTCTCTATAGGCTCGGCTTTCTTTATCTCTATAGACTCAACTTTCTTTGCCTCATTTGTTTCAGTCTCATTCCCGTTAATTATAGTTGTATCCATCTGCTCTTTTCTGGAAGGCAGTTCTGTGACATCCTCATTATTAAACTCCATATTCTCTAGTTCTCGTCCAACTACAGTGGTTTTTACAAGCTCAGATTGTTGATTAACTTGGTTGCGTGCATCACTACAGTCCTCCGTGGGGCATTCCAGAGCATCTTCACTTGGCTGAATATTCAGTTCTTCGATTTGTTCTATTGCTTTGGATTCATACGTTACTGCTTCATTTGTGATCATATCTTCCATATTGGATGATGCGGCTTCAGGGGGTACTGGAATCTCTACAGGAAGTACTATTGTGATGGACCCTTCGGTGTTTTCAATATTTTCAGCACCCTGTTGTTCTGAAACATTGACATCCATGTTCACATCTATCTCACCAATATTGTCTCCAGAATTCACCATTTTTATGTCTCCTTTCTGGTACACAGTGATTTTTCTTTCCTCCAGCTGCTTGTGTACATGTTCACAGATCTCCAATACTTCATTCATCAGTAGGTGGCGTGCCAGGGTGGCAACATCAGCCATGTGACAGAAGTCAAACGCCAAGATAGATGTGTAGGCAAATTCCAGCAATGGAAGAAAACTGGTCTTACTAAACCCTAGAGAGAGAGATGGTAATATTTTTTGAATACTGTATTTGATTTTCAAGTAGACAAACCAAAGCAAACTAAATAGTGCATTGATTCAATTTTCACTCCAATGAGTTACCAATCTCAGCTATATCACAGTGGAAGAAGAATAGATACCAAACACTTCCCATTAGTTGGGAGAAACTGGTGGATTAACCTTCCCAGAACACAAATCACAAATTTCTTGGCAACTGGTTTACAGCACCTTTGGAAGAGACCTGGTGGAAGGTCATCTGACTCATTGACTACATGTGGTACACAGACCTCGAGTCCAGAAGGGGCAAATGGAAATTTAATATGAAATAAACTCGAAGGGAAACAAATGAATTAAAATCTCAAATATAGTATCAGCTGCTTAACTGTTGGTAAATGATTAGGCAAGTAGAAAAATTAATGGGTCCCTCCTGTACCTCAACACTTTCCTGGAATTATTGGAATTTATATATCTGCAATGATACAGTGAACTAAATTAACATAATGAATACAAACTGCTGCAATTTAATTATAAATCATCCTAGTCTGTCCCATCGTACAACTGGTATAGTTATTCCTCACCTTGATGAGCAAGTTTTAAAACTTGATTCATACCTGAGAGATCCACAACAGCTTCGTGACTAGAAACTGCTCCCTTTTCAATGAAGAGTTCTCGAAAATACTCGCTGCTTGCTGCCAGAGTGGATTTATGTGCTTTGTACTCCTCTCCCTCAATTAGAAGCGTGACATCACAAAACTGGTTGGACAGTCTCTGAAGGTTGAGTTGCTCTAACACCTTCTGACTGTGCTTTTCAGATTTCCGTTTTACCAGACCTTTGCTGTCCACCTGAATAAAGATTTTTAAAAATTGATTTATAAATAATAAGTATCATCAAATTGTATACTGAACTGCACCGCTCCATGTGCCTGTTACACCAACCCCCACGCCCCTCTCTCTTTCCAAGCTCCCACTACCTAGTCAGATCAAGATCCTTGTATTAACCATCAAATCCTGCCATAATCTTGCACCACCTCTACAAGCTCTTTCGGCTGTATTCTCCCTCACTTGTCTACATCGCAGGGTTAATACTTGCCAGAATCAGATAGGAAGGAGGAATTATTTTTCAATTTCTAGCCCTTCCATACATACTGCATTTGGTCTATTGCCATTTTAACTGTAAATGTTCATTAAACCATTGTCAATTGAACTACTAAACTTTCTCTCCCGCCCCCCCCCCCCACCAGTGCTCCCCCCCGCCGCAAAAAACAAAACACTTTTGGTTGGAACGTTAATTTCTGTGATACAGCAAAACATTACTCACAAATACCAATTCTTGTTTTGGGACAGTTTTCTTTCTGGTAGACCTTGGTACAGTATTGAGTCTTCCTTCCGAGTTGCTCAACTCATCATCAGTTTCATTACTATCTCCTATTGTTGGAGTATCTATTCCCAACAAGATTTCCATTGTATCGGTGGACAATGATCTGTTTCGATCAACTCTTTCCTTGCACTGAATGCATTCTCTGATGTAATCTTTCACTTGCTTAAATATACCTTGAAATAAAGCAAAACATCATCAGCAACACAGAGAGATAATGTTAGGACACATCCCACAGGTGAGGGAGACAAGACGAGAACTCAGTTCCTCTTTTCAATCCAAAATATGCATAGTAAGAATAGTTTTCAAGTTGCATTTCTTTTCAAAAGAAACAATAGGAGTACCAAACTGATCTGCCAAGAGAATATAGTCACTAAATCATACTGCAAATCATTTATTAAACAAGACTGCTCCAGCCAGGTTGAACTTTCCAGAATCCTTACTTTGATAAACAGGTAGATTAGATCTATGGATTGCAACACTTTTGTTTCTTTTCCTGAATATCTTGACTCATTTTTATGTTCTTCTGGGGTACAATTCTACATGCATTGGTCACCTTCTTGCAGCTATTATTCACGTGTGAGACTTCACAGAGTAAGGGTATTGCAATGAAGTCAGATCCTGCCAATACCCACATCTCTAGTGTCACTAGATATCAACCCGGAAAGCCAAAGTGCTAATGACTAAGGGTAACCTAGCTGGACAAACAGCGGGAAGCTTGCCAGACATTGCTACGCAGTTCTAGCTGTAAAATCCAGCAGTACCGCAACACAATCCTCTAGGGAAAGATATGCTTTATGCAGTTTTGCTTTTCCGGAGAGAAAATTGCTAAGTAAAAATTTACACTGTTCTAAAACCCTAAAGCAACACAAAACCAACCATGATAATGATGTTACTTGGATATCAAGTTGTAGTGCATTATGGTGGTGCAAATCTTTTTCAAAAAATGATAGCTGTTAAGAAGGCACATAAAAACAATTATATGAAACCTTATTCTCCATCATCTTTAGGTCACTATATTTTGTACACATTCTTTTGAACAATGTGTTCCCAAACCTTTGTTTAATTAGTCCTGATCAGAGGTTTGTGAGTGCAGTTTGTGTTCAGTCTCCATTCAATCGTGGGGAATCATCCATGACCACCATGAAGACTATGAAAGCCCTGGTTATCTGGGATGAGGGAAAAATCTCTCCTCTCCTGCATCTTTGCCCACAAAACACACCATCACTCAACTTTGCAGTATATCTTGTGAAGTGCTTTGAAACGTCCTCCAACGTGAAAGGTGCTACACCAAATGTAAAGATAATAATCACAATAATCCTTATAGTGCCACATCACGTCTTCGAGACGTCTCAAAGCTCTTCACAGAATATACCGTAAAGGGTTGCGACTTGTGTGTTTTGTGGGAGAAACGCGGCAGCCAATTGCGCACAGCCATGTCCCACAAACCATCGTGGATTGAGTGACCACATTTTTACATTATTATATTTGTCGGAGAGTGCATCTATGGCCTTGCCCCTTCCTACTTCTCTGACCTGCTGACTCCCTACCAACCTGCCCGCTCCCTCCGTTCAATGGGCTCGGTCTGCTCCATGTCTCCCGCCTGACCCGCCCTACCATCGGTGGCCGAGCTATCAGCCTCTCTACCCCCACACTCTGGAACTCCATCCCACGGTCCCTTCGCCTCTCTTCCTCCCTCGTCTCCTTCAAGCCCGGTCTCAAGACCCTTCTCTTCGACCGTGCCTTTGGTCTCCCTCCCAACCTCTCTGCCTTCCCTCACCCCTACACCCCCCCTCCCCCATTGCTCGGGCCCCGACACCTGACTGTTCAGCGCTTTGGGACGTCCTCCCGATGTGAAAGGCGCTCTATAAATGTCATTTTGTTGTTGTTGTTTGTGTGTGGGGAGGGGGGAAGATTATATGGATATATATATATATATATATATAAAATAATCCTCGCATTTGATACAGTGCCCCATCGGGTCCTTGAGACATCCCACAGAAGCGCTGAGCAGAGAGTACAGTACAACCTAATTATCATCACCATCCCCACCATCTTCTTGATGGGGCCTTAACCCACGAGGTCAATGATGGGAGCCTCCATTTCCCCTAATTTCACATAAATCAGCAGAACACCCCCCACCAACACCCCCTTCCCCCTTCTCGGCTAAAGTGACCATTCCCTTGTGCCCGGAGAGGTGTCCCAACTCCGTCTTCCCCCACAGTCTGGGACACGGTGTCCCAACTCCGTCTTCCCCCTCCACCCCCGGGGCCCGGAGTCGGTGCCTCAGCTCCATCTTCCCCCTCACACCCCTCCCCCCCCCTCCCCGGGAGTCGGTGCCTCAGCTCCATCTTCCCCCTCACACCCCCCCCCCCTCCCCGGGGCCCGGAGTCGGTGCCTCAGCTCCATCTTCCCCCTCACACCCCCCCCCTCTCCCCGGGGCCCGGGAGTCGGTGCCTCAGCTCCATCTTCCCCCTCACACCCCAACCCCCCCCCGGGGCCCGGAGTCGGTGCCTCAGCTCCATCTTCCCCCTTCCCCGGGAGTCGGTGCCTCAGCTCCATCTTCCCCCTCACACCCCTCCCTTCCCCGGGAGTCGGTGCCTCAGCTCCATCTTCCCCCCGGGGCCTCGGGTGCCGTGAGCGTCCACGGGCCGCCCTCCCCTCCGCCTCCCCCCTCCGCCTCCTCCCTCCTCACCTCTCCACCAGTAAGTCTGCGAGATGTTCTTCCAGGTCTGGTCCCGGGTGAGGTGGAAGCCTTCGGGGCTCCGGTGGAAGGAGGCGATGAGCTCCCGGCGGGCGTCGGCCTCCAGCACCACCTGCAGCTCGTCGAACTGGTCCTTGTCCTTGCGCTTCTTCTGGTAGTACAGGGTGCCCCGGCGGACCACGTAGCAGGCGGCGGCCTTGCGGATCTTGCGCTTGACGTTGCCCTCGGTGCCGGGCGCGTACGGCTCCCGCTCGTTGGTCAGGTAGCGGATGATGGCCTTGTAGCTCTCCTCGTTCGACATCTCACGGCTTTTCCTTTCCAACCCGTCCCCGTCCCCCCCGTCCCCGTCCCCGGGGCCCTCGGGAGCCGCGCACTCACTCACTCACTCACTCACACACACACACTCACTCACACACACACCGCCCTCTCCCCTCCTTCCTCTTACTGCCGCGCCTCGGCTTGTGGTGAGGAGGAGGTGGAGGTGGAGGAGGTGATGATGATGATGATGATGGTGGTGGTGGTGGTGGCGGTTGTTGGCGTTTTTTTTTCCCCCCCCTCTTCTTCTTCTTCTTCTGCTTCTTCTCCTCCTTCCACCCCTTCCCGGACTCGCCCCCCTTTTTTTTTATGTGTGTGTGTGTGTGTCAAAAGAAACGTAAGATAATCCTTATTTCCCCCCCTCCCCCTCACCCCACCCCCAACGCGTTGTTGTTTCAATGGTGTTTGTGTATTTTTTTCTCTCTCTCTGTGTGTGTGTGTGTGTGTTGTGTGATGTGGTGGTGGTGGTGATGGTGGGTGCGCTCCAGCGGGAAAGGTTTCCTCGGATAGACAAAATGGCTGCTGCACCACCGGAGGTGACTCGCTGCTGTGGGGGGTGAGAGGCTGTGAACTCCGAACCCTGCACTGCACTTCACTGCACTTCGCTTCATCCTCACTTCACTTCATCCTCACTTCACTTGGCTCCGCTTGGTTGCTGGTTGACCTTCCCCCTCCTCCCTCCTCCCACCCCACCCCACCCACCCTCCCTCCTCCTCCACCACCACCCCAATTCCTTCCCCGTCAAGGCTACCAACTGCTTCCCTATTTACTACACCGACCCCGACCCTGACTTGACTTGACTTGACTTGACGGGACGGTCTCCCCCTGGTACGCGCAAGACGTTGTCAGCGAGAGCCGAGCTCGAGGCGGCCGCGAGGTTGCCACCGCGGCGTTGCAAACCCAACCCCGAGGAGCCGCGGGTGTTAATCGCGAGGTTGACGATGACGACAACGACGACGATGATAACGATGATGATAAAGGATCACCCTCGCGTTTCGATACAGCGCTTTTCACGTCTTCGCGACGCCTCGGAGCGCTCGGCGGAGCGTGCGGTAAAGTGAACGGACCGTGTATTTGTGGGGCGGGACGCGGCGGCCAATTGCGCGCAGCCGGGTCCCGCAAACAGTCGCGGATTGAAGTGACCAATTTTATTGTTTTGGGCTTTTGTTTTTTTTTCTTGAGGGATTATTGTCGGGCGTGTGGAGTGAGGAAACTTGCCCAAGGTTTCGCCCCGCCGGGAATCGAACCCAGGTCTCTCACTTGCGAGGTGAGTGCTCTAACCACTGAGCTGCAGGACTCCATGTTATATGTGCGTGTTAAACAAAACAAAAAACCCGTACCTCGGTGGTTAGCGAGTTCGCCTCGCGAGCGAGAGAACCCACCCGGGTTTTCCTTCACACTCCTGTTTACCTAGCAGTAATTAGGAACCTGGTTGTTGAGTCAATTGCCGGATCACTTTCTGAGGGTAATAATCCTTCCCCCCCCAAAAAAAATTGTCATTCAATCCACGACTGTTTGTGGGACACCGCTGCCCGCAATTGGCTGCCGCGTTTCGCCCACAAAATATACAGTCAATCCACTTGACAGTATATTCTGTGAAACACCTTTGAGACGTCTCATCGATGTGATAAGGCGCTATATCAAATGCAAGCGTTATTATTTCTGGTCCTGGCAGTACTGGAGAAGCTTGTTTGATTCATGGCTATTTCTCTGATGAGCGTTAACTGTTTTATAAGTTTATTTTTATTTGCTCAATTTTATTCCTGAACTCAAGACAGAGCAAATTTGGCCCCAGGGACAGAATACCTCACCCTAGAACTGTCACCGGCAAACAGGGCCATATAGTGCCTTATCACATCGATGCAATGATTCTAAGTGCTTGACAGGATTTGCTGTGGAGTGACTGTGTATTTTACAGGCAAAAGTAGCAGAAGAATGTCCCACAAACGGCAATGAAATGAATTACTAATTTTATGTGGGAAATCGTCAGCCAGGACAGTAGAAGCCTTTCTCTTGCACCATGGGATCTTTATTGTCCACCTGTACATCTGTGATCAGGGCTCCCTCTGCCTACTTGTCCTTCTCAACCTCTCTGCCACCTTTGACACTGTCAACCACTCCATCCTCATACACTGCCTCTCTTTACTTAATCTTTGCGGACCTGCCCTTGCCTGGTTCAATTCCTATCTCTCTCACCGTCTCCACTTTGTTGCCTCCAACGGTTTCTCTTCCAGCCCCTGCACTGTCGCAGCTGGTGTCTCCCAGGGCTCTGTCCTTGGCACTCTCCTCTTTAATATCTACATACTCAACTTCCATGTCTGCAGATGACACCCAACTCTTATCTTTCTGCCTCCACCCTCAACTCCAGGACCACTGCTGTCCTGACAGACTGCCTGTTGGACATTAAGTCCTGGATGAGGGCAAATTTCCTACAGTTGAATGTGAACAAGACTGAGGCCCTCCTGATTAGCTCGCACCAGCACCTCTGCACCTCAGGCTTTGGCAGCATCAACCTCCATGGTTGCATACATCAAGCCAGGCAGGAAACTAGGTGTCTTGTTCAACACTCAACTGTCTTCTTCCCTACATCCAAGCCATGACCCGCTCTGCCTTCCCTCACCTCCGTAACATTGCCCGACTCCGCCACTACCTCATCCCTCAGGCCACTGAAACTCTTGTTCATGCCTTCACCACCTCCAGGCTCGACTATGCAAACGCCCTGCTTGTCGGCCTTCCCAACTCCTCCCTCCACAGGCTGCAGATAATCCAGAACTTCTGCAGCCCTTGTCCTCTCCGGCACCAAACTCCATGACCCCATCTGTCCCATTCTCGCCCGACTTCATTGGCTCCCTATCCTTCAGAGGATTCAGTTCAAGATCCTGGTCTTCTCCTACAAAGCTCTCCATGGCCTCACCCTACCCTACCTCTGGGATCTCCTAACACCCTATCAACCCGCCGGCTCCCTCCGTTCAGCCGCCTCTGTCCTGCTCCACGTCTCCCGACCCACCCACCCCACCAGTGGCAGGAGAGCCTTCATCCACTCTGCCCCCAACCTCTGGAATTCCATCCCCCAATCACTCCACCTCGCCCCCTCCTTAACCTCCTTCAAGTCCTGTCTCAAGATCCTCCTCTTCGACCATGTCATTAGCCACCCCCTTCCCCTCCCTTCTCCCCACTGACTCCAGCTCAGGTCTGAAATGCTGTACACTGTCCAGTGCCTTGGGACGTCCTCCCTACGTGAAAGACGCTATACAAATGTAATTTTGTTTTGTTGAACAGCCGGATGGAACCTCAGTTTATCTCATCCAAGGGACAGCGCCTCCAGCAATGCAGTGGAGTGTAAACCTACAATGTTGCATTCAACATAATTCATGGTCAAAATGATTCCATGTACTTTGCATAATAGATTACTTTGGAATGCAGTGACTGGTTAGACAAACCATACAGGATCAAGTATGTCTCACAAATAGCAATAAATTGAATGACCATTTTAAATTGAGAAGTTTGCATTCAGAAGCAGATCATTAAATGGAGTTGTTTCGAGGAGTAAAACAACAGGTTCACATTTTAAACTAAATGACACTCAAAAGGAATAACGTTAATGCAATTTGTAAATTACAGATTCCTACTTCTTCCTTGTGCTTAAATGTCTTCAAACCTTATTTGATGTCTCCATAAAGAATCTAGAATAATCATGTCAATGCCACTATAAAAGTACTATAAGTCTGTTCTCATTCATCCAGCTTAAAACCTATGAAATTACCTCTCTTGTAGTGATTTCTAAATACAGAATTTTTGGGGGTAAACAACTTATGGCACTCTTCACATCATCTCGGGAGCGCTCAACAGTGGCAGAGCCCAATGCTGAGCCAGGGGAAGGTGATTAGGTATGGTTGAAGAAGGTCTTCAAGCCTGACATGAAAATAGGGAGGGGACAAGGCAAAGGGATTGAGTGAGTTCCACAGCTTTGGGGAGTAGTGGTTGAAAGCATGGCGGCCAATAGTGGGGGCAGAGGATCCAAGGGACGAGGCCAGAGCCAGTTAAGGGGATGCAGCAGGTAGCGGTGTAGGGAGAGAACCCGGTTGAAGATGCCAGGGCGTGAAGGGATTTAAATACAAGAGTGAAGATCTTGAAATTGACGCACTCTGACGGGAGCCAATGGAGGTTGACAAGAACTAGGGTAAGGGAGGTACGGAGTTTAGTGAGCGTAAGAATGCAGGCAACAGTTTTGAATTTGTTGAATTTTATGAATAGTGGAGCGGGGAGACCAGCGAGGAGGGTGTTTTGAGTAGTTGAGGTGGGAGGTGACAAAGGCGTAGATGAGGGTTTCGCCAGCTTTAGGGAGTGAGTTACAGCCAGAGGCGGGCAACATGGTGAAGGAAAGTGGTCCTGACCAGGGCAATGTGGCAGTCCATTTTGACAGGATTAATGGAAATGCTTGTTACGTCACGATATTCAAAATCACGGCCCAGCATTGCTGTATTTAACGTAGTTCTTTAAAACCAACTGCTGACATTATTAGTATGGTCAATTGTCTTCCTGCAATTCAGGATGTTTGTGTAATTCAAACTATATAGTTTTTGAAAAACAAGTCATTGCATTTTATTATTCAGGCTTTATTACTGAAAACACTGAATGGTTATTTATAATCTTCAGCGTTTTCCACCAACACGTGGAGCCTGAGTCTTCATTGGCTTGGCAAACTTTTGTTTGCCTACTGACTTCTGAGGAGCCTGCAGAAGAAAAGTACCACTTTACATTATGGAAGCATTGTGAAAACAAGATTCATAAACGGAACCTATATTCCCGACTATCTGTAAGTCACAGCTCTGCTTTCATTTTAAAATTTGAATGAATGATGAAAGCATTAATGTCACTATAAGGAGACAACTGGTGAAAGTTGGCAGAATCAATTTAATCAAAGGCATTGACTCGGTTATCTGGCTCATCAATCAGTGAGACTAAAAAAGTAGACATAATCTCAGCCTCAACAGGTAGATATATCCTCGTTAGACAAGTCCCATGAATCTCTTAAGATGCTGTTACTGCTTTTATTACTTGTATGATATGTAAATTGAGCAAATAGGTCTATTCGAACACTTTAAAGATAGCATAAGAACTACATCCAGTCAAGATTGTTTTATTCTGAAAAGGCTGGCCAGGTCAGTCCATTTGAGTTTCAGGATGCCTCAATATAACCAACTATGCTGTGATTTACATACTATACATAAATTGTTATACACCCAGTAGTAAAAATAGTTTCCCACCCAAAGTGAATTTTACAATAACAGATTATCTTTGACGCCTTCAAATCATACATGCCATAAGCATGCAGAGCAGACATGCTCACCCAGTAGTGTATCAAATCTCTCATCTACTATAGTCCCATTCTTTGTGTGTATAAAGCAAGCCAGAATAGCAAGGAAATTAAATGAGACTAAACATTTAGCTCTTAAGGTTTCCCCTGAAGCCACCCTCACTATGCATTACTTTCAATAAAACAATCTAATAAGATGTTTATTTGCAGATTTACACAAAACTTCATATTTTGTCAGTAGCATCAATTCAATGACATCATGTTCTAGTAAACCATATTTTGTTTGAAACAGTCAATAAAGAAATTAATTCATGTAAAATTGTATTCTGTCTTTTTAAAAAATATATATAAAAACAATTCCCACAGTAAATAGAAAGTTTAAACAGAACCCTGATTCAACAAAATGCTTGTTTCACTAACCTTAGTTGTGGGTGCAGTGACTTTTTTCGTTGCAGCCTTGGCCTTCTTAGCTTCTTTGGCAGCCCTGTTAAGAGTATTAAGTATTAGAATCTGGTTCGGTTACCAACTGAATGCATCATAAAGTGTACCTTGGGATCTGTTTTCATCAACAGCACATTACACCGATATAGGGTTGTTAAATGAAAACAAAAAAGATTTAAAATTTGTACTGTAATACAATAATAATTCTTGCATTTGATGTAGCGCCTTATCACGTCTTCAAGACGTCTCAAAGCGCTTCACTGTATATACTGTAAAGTGAATTGACTGTATATTTTGTGGGTGAAATTCGGCAGACCATTGCGCACAGCAGTGTCCCACAAACCAAAATTTTTTTAAAAAAGGAATTATTACCCTGGAAAAGCAATCCAATCATGGTAAATAAATGTACTTTGTAACTTAAGCAATGCTGTCAGTTGAACTACCTCATGAACTAAAACTTTTTTAAAAAAATGTCTCGACTCTAGTGAGCCAAAGATCACTGTTCAGGCTGCCAACTCACCCCACAATTGTATACCATCAAAAAAAATAATGTCTCAACTCTAGTGAGCCAAAGATCACTGTTCAGGCTGCCAACTCACCCCACAATTGTATACCATCAAGAGGCAAGAACCTTCAGGAAAACAAGAGGCAGGAATTCCTGTACAGCAGAGGAAAAACATGACATCTCACCTGATTGCTTGTTCACGCTGAGCCTTGCGCACTTCAGGCTTCTGATTCCTCTTAGCCAAAATCTCAGCCAGAGAGGCACCAGTGATAGCTCTTTGAAACTTCACTGCACGGCGAGAGCGCTTCTTCTGAATCTCTTCCTGAAAACCAAAGAAACAGGTAATTATGAAACACAACTTTTGTTTCTCTTTTACCAATTTGCTTTGGTTGACCCATGAGACATTCTAAAACTACTGTTACAACATACATACTTATTCTTTCAGAAAAGTTAGAGTAAAAGACTTGATTTTAGCAGAAAGAGGGCATCTGCAACAAATGCTTAGAAATAATCAATTCGTACTCTTGACAAACAGATGATGTCCTGACCACTTACTACTTTTCCTTGACAGATCAAGTACTGGTCAAGAGTGGTTTTCTGGGCAAAAAGGAAGAAAATGTAGAATTCTGGAACTCCACCCCCCAGTGCCTTCGCCTTGCTTCCTCCCTTTCCTCCTTCAAGGCCGGTCTCAAGACCCTTCTCCTCAACCGTGCCTTCAGCTCCCCTCTCGACTCTCTACCCCCTCCTCGCTCCCTCCCTTCCCTCCCCTCACCCTGACCATTTCCCCCCTGCTCGGGTCCCGACCCAACTGTCCAGCGCCTTGGGACGTCCTCCCGACGTGAAAGGCGCTCTATAAATGCAATCTTGTTGTTGTTGTAGAATCCTAGAACATAAAGGAATTGGTCTGCGTTGACAATTGCTACTTCTTGCCATTTCAGTCCTCATACAAACTAGACTAATTGTTCACTATGAGCTGCATGCACTGAACCGTAGCGGTAAAAAGCAATCACAGTCCAAAAAATTAATATTAAATAATACTTTCATTAACAATTTAAGAATCAACTCAAAAGAGACTGACAAAATGGAATGATCACATCAACAAATGTCCACAACAAACATACCACAGCCTAACCTAACCACAATACTGAAATGTTTACTTACAGATTGCCCCTTTTTGTGCTTGCGTCTATACAAGACAGTCCAGTTGATCTGTCGAGGGTTTCTCTTGGATAGGAATGCTGACTCGCATTTTGAATTCAGGAATTGAAAAACCTGCATTGAAGAAACTGATCAGTAACACCTTAATTACACATCACTGGTCCCATCTATCAAGTATAACTATAAAAATAGTTAGTAACACAACTATCAACATATTGTGGGTACAGACTTTCTGATTAAACACTTTCATACGACAGTAGTTTAACAAGTGATTGCAAAACCCAGAATTTGCAATTCTTTGGATTTTCTGTATATACTGTAAGGAAAGTGCAGCTGGTAAGTGCGGCAGTAATGGAGGATAGGGGAGCGGCGTTTTGACTTAGGACAGGGTGGTCCAACTTTTTGGCTTCCATGGGTCGGAATCCCTATTTGAGAAAGGTCCGCGGGCGGCATCCAGCCCGGCCGGTGATTTTATCCAGCCCGAAAACATTTCCAACATTCCAGCTTCCACTCCTTCCCTCCCTGATGAAGGTCCTCCAAAGGCAGCGCAGAGAGTGGAAATAATACCGACTGTTACTGCAGGCTGCCAGGAAGGCAAGCGCGCCTCTTGTCAACCGTTATAATGCTACATTACTTAAAAGAGTCTGGGGTTTTCTCTTAGCCAAAAACGCAAACTGTTGAAATCTGAATGACCATAAAGAGACATTAGGCGCATCACTCCTTAATGTAAAGCCTTCTACTTATGGAGACAAGAACGTTAGTCATGGAATCATAGAATTATACAACACAGGAGGAGGCCATTCGGCCCATCATGTCTGCGTCCGCTCTTTGAAAAGAACTATCCAAAATTCAACCCCACTCCCCCGTCTCCCCACAGCCCTGCAAACTCGTCCTCCCCCACACAATTATCTCATCCTCTGGCAAAGTCCTAAGCCGACCCCACTGGAAATTGACCTAAACATAGGGGTTGGTTGTATATTAAAAGTTGCACATCAACGACTTGACGCATACGCGGCAACTGAACGTCAATTGCCCCGAGTGTGTGTGCGTAAAAAAAGAGGGTATTTACAGCGTTTGCTCTTGCCGACACTGCACCTCGTATCGGTCGGGGGGGGGGGGGGGGCTGCGTCGACCGAGAAACTAAACTTGCTTGAAAAGTTTTGACGGGTGTGGGGGGTGGGGGTGTGTGGGGGTGTGGTGTGTGGGGGTGTGTGTGGGGTGGGGGTGTGTGGGGGTGAGGTGTGTGGGGGTGGGGTGTGTGTGTGGGGGGTGGGGTGTGTGGGGTGGGGGTGGTGTGTGGGGTGTGGGGGGTGGGGTGGGTGGTGTGTGGGGGTGGGTGTGGGGGGGGTGGGGTGTGGGGGGGTGGGGTGTGGGGGGGTGTGGGTGGGGGGTGTGTGGGGGTGGGGTGTGTGGGGGTGTGGGGGGTGAGGTGTGTGGGGTGTGGGTGGGGGGTGTGGTGGGGGTGTGTGTGGGGGGTGTGTGGGGGTGAGGTGTGTGGGGTGTGAGGTGTGTGGGGTGTGAGGTGTGTGTGGGGGGTGTGTGTGGGGGGTTGGGGGTGTGTGGGGGGTGGGGTGTGTGGGGGGGTGTGGGGGGTGAGGTGTGTGGGGTGTGTGTGGGGTGTGGGTGGGCACCACCGAAACCTAAAAGAGAACCGGACCGGACGTTACCCGAAATCTCGTTCCGTGCCCGTGCAAACCGGTCCGGGGCGAGTCGTCTCTGTTTGACCACCCGGACTTCCTTTGCTCTCGGGGGCCCGGAGTCTCTCTTGATGGGGGGGGTTTAATTTTTAAAAAAAAGACAACGCTCGACCCTCCCTCGTGAGCTGTGACCGGAATGATCACTCGCGCCGCCGCAACAGGAACCGGAGGAAGCACAGCAGGAACTGCACCGAGCCGCCCATTACCTTGCCATCGATCCTGGCGTAGCGCTTGCCGTGGCCCGGGTAGATCTTGTACCCACTGAAGCTGCACAGTTCGACCCTAAGTGGAGGGGAAGACACAAATATCAATCGGCATCCCCGCCTCTGCCCTCCGCGGTCACAGGTCGGCGCCCCGAGTCGCCGAACGCCGACGAGAACGCAGCGGATGGAAACGGATGGAGAGGGTTTCTCGCGGCCCCGAAACTCACTTCATGTCGGCGGCTGAAGATGGCGCAGAGAGAGAGAGAGAGAGGAGGATTGTGGGTAGGCCCCAAGATGGCCGAAAGTAGGCCCCCACTCGCCCACCCACACAGGAGCCCGTTTAGTCGGCTCCCCATCGCGCCTGCTTCGCCGTGACCGGTCGGGAAGTGTCCGGGTGTCGGTTTAAGGGTTTTTGGGGCGCTTTTGAAAACTGGGCGAGAAAAGGAAAAAGCTCTTGGAAGGTGGGGTTGGCATACGAGAGGATTCGTTCGTGCAGGTCGAAATTTTTGAAACATTAAAAATTAGGCGCACGTTTCTACCCCCCCACCCGCTCCACTCCGCACAGGACCCCTCCCCAAAAAAAAAAGACCCGCTCAATTGGACGCGAAACCCGCCCAGTCCTGGTCAAGGAGGTGATCAGGTGACACGGCGGTTGCTTGGCGTTACCCAAGCGGGAAGTTGATGGGTGATGGCGGCGCAACAACAGCAGCGACGGCAACATGAGGAGGAGGAGGAGGTGGAGGGCAGAGCCACGGAATGTAAGCGTTTCATCCTAAACGGCGCCTTGGGCGTGAAAAGGTTGCCTCTTTTTTTTGAAGAAAAAAACCGTTGGTTTGCGCGAGTGAAGCCGGCGGGAACTGGCTGCGTGTTGGGTTCTCGTCAAAACAATGTCACCGGCGCTTCACGGCGACGGTTGCTTCACTGGCCGAGCTCGAGCCCGGAGGCCTCGGCGCTCCCCTCCCCTCCTCCCCCGCCCGCGGCATGCTGGGAGTTGTAGTCTGTCGCGGGCCGGGGCGACGGCCTCCGCAGGAGTCGGCGACTCGCGAGGGAACCACAACTCCCACCAGACCCTGTAGTAACGGCGCCCGCAGCCGCTCCTCGCCAACGGTTCTTGGGTTGGTGCACTCTCGCTGTAACTGGCAACTTCCAGGCAGAGGGCGAAACCTTGGGCAAGTTTCCTTACTCCACACAGAGCCTAATAATAATCCCTTCAAAAACCAAAAACAATAATAAATTGGTCATTTTCAATCTACGACTGTTTGTGGGACATTGCTGTGCGCAATTGGCTGCCGCGTTCGCCCACAAATATACAGTCAATTCACTTTACAGTGTGTTCTGTGAAGCGCTTTGGGACGTCCTCCCGACGTGAAAAGCGCTATATCAAATGCAAGGATTATTATTATTATTATTATTAACTGGCTCTGTTGAATTTCCTCAGCCGTGACCAGTCCCCTTATTGTAATAATAATACAATCATCGTCGTCCTTGCCTTTATGGCATTTTGGAGACGTCTCAAAGCGCTTGGCAGGGTATACCGCCAAGTGGAATTGACGGCGTATTTTGTGGGCGAAACGCGGCAGCCAGTTGCGGGCGGCAGCGTCCCACAAGCAGCCGTGGGAGTGGGTCGGGCGACCCAAGTCATTTTTACTCGAAGGATGTTGTTGCCCACGGAAAGGCGACCCTCCGATCGACTTCACAACCGGGTTCCCACTTACAGTGAACAGAGGCGCGCGGAGTAAGGAAACTCGCCCAACGTTTTGGCTCTGCCCGGGGAATCGAACCCAGGTCCTCTCGCTGGTCAGACGAGTGCTGTAACCACTAAACTACAGGGCTCCTGTATATTGACTGTGTTTTGTGGGCAGAACACGGCAGCCGATTGCGCGCAACGGTGTCCACCAAACAGTCGTGGATTGAGTGACCACGTTTTTTTTTAAAATCTTCTGCAAACTGTTTAAAATCAATGGAAATTGTAGCGACGCGACTTGTCACCGGCCATTTTCTTGCGGGACCAGTTTCCATCAATCCCACATTCTGAGCAGTAGGAATCTTAATTTGATATAAATTGTGCTATCTTATCTAACGTTACTTTTGCAGGCTGTATGAAACGTTATTTCACTTTCTCTGTGAGATCAGTCTTTACGTCAGTTGTCAATTTGGTAAATACTGGTTTAGAGCACCATTCACAGTGCTTTTATCCTCCACTTGGATGTTTGAATTTTTTGCAATTCTATTTTGAAACCAGTTCCACAAGTTAACTTGCAGTATAGGTGGTTCATAGCTGTTTAACTCGAGCAGTACTCCAGTGTACACCCTGTGGTCCCCAATCCTTGGCTTTTGCCAACCTGTGGAATTAGAAGCAGGGTATGTCCCTCTGGGGAAAATATGTACTATTGCCAGACTTGGAAATTTCCATGTGTCGCAAATGTAGAACTTTGTCTGGTCTGGATACTCTTAAGCATGTTGATGGGTTTCTCCATGTTTCAGACGCCCATCGTCAGCCGCCAAGCCTTCAACAACTATGCCCCCAACCTTTCACACTCATTTAATTTTTCTCCCTCATATTTCATCCCTCTCTAATTGTGTCTAAATAACACTGCGCTGTGTGAAGCATGCCATATGAATGAAAGTTGTTTATTTGTTATTGTACATTCTACATTTTTTAAAAAAAATAGCTTTGTCCACACCTGAAGTCACCAGCCCCCTCCTTTGCTTGGTATTGAACAATTCGATTCACTGTGACAATATATAAATGTAATGTTTTTCTTGTTTTCTTTGTTATTCTTGAAGAACACAAGAACAAATTGATTGTTCTCTTTTTATGTGATTTTAGATCGTCTGGTTGATTTAACAGAGAGAGGATTGCAGCATTTGGATACCGTTTCTCTGTGTCCAGCAGATACCTACACTCTGATTCTCGACAAGAATCAGTTGACTAAATTGGAAAATGTGGAAAAATGCAAAGATTTAGTACAAGTAAGTGATAATGCTATCTTTTAAAGGAGTATTGGTGTGATTGCAGTGGATAAGCACATTTAGTACATAGATTTGCTACTTTTATATGGAGCCACCACATTGTCTTATTTTCAATCTGATCCGTTTCCATCTGACGACACTGACTTGTGTTTGGATACAACTTCAAAAGTATTGGTAACCGCCTCCCTTGTAATTTGTTAAATTGTTTATTATTTCAGGTATTAACAATAACAAATTACATTTGTATACAACAACAAAATTACATTTATATAGCGCCTTTCACAACAGTCGAGTCCCAAGGCGCTGGACAGACATGGATTTGGAACCAAGCAGGAGGTTGGCATCAGGAAGGGTAGAGGACAGGGAGGGTAGGGGCAGTAAGGTGACCGAAGGCGCGGTCGAAGAGGAGGGTCTTGAGATGTGCCTTGAAGGAGGCACGTGCGCCCACCATGTGCAGAAGAAACACAACCAGCATTCACAGTTTAACATAAATAAACCTCAGTGGAATGGACTGGAATGTTTGAATTCTAGACCTACGTCCCTGAATATAAACCATTCTCTTTACCCTTCCCCTAAACACATTGAGTGTCAAATATTTAAACATAGATTTACACAGTTGAACTGGATCCACATTTGATGCCCAAACAGAAAGGGGTATCACTGGGTTGTGAGTAGGCACCCGAGCCAGTATTTTTTTGAAGGGGCATAAGGACACTGTAGCATCCAACCTTCACCGAAGCTGAAATCAAACTCGTAGAATATATTAGATAAAGAATCTGGGATTTTTTTCAGTATCGCTCTGTATTCATTACGTATCAGTTATCACAGGCTGCTTTAACAACAAACAACAAATTACATTTATGTAGCGCCTTTCATGTCAGGAGGATGTCCCAAGGCGCTGGATCACAATGATTAACAGTCACAATGATTTGATATTATTAGTATCACTGAAGGGAGAGCTATGCATTTTGGGTGCCATTTGTCTCATTGAGTGTGTCTAAAAGGAAAAATACAAAGAAATAAAAAAAATTGGGGGCTTGAGTTTAAATTTTCTCTGTATCGCTGCTCGCTTTGAATGTATGAGGTTTTAATACAGTCAAACGTGTCTTCAAATCGGTTAGGGGAGTGGGCAAAAGTGGATATAAGAACTCATAAATTAAGTTTAATTTTAATAAGTTAGCTAGACAAGCAGTGGGAAAGTGTGCCAGGCATTGCTTTCAATGGCAAGTTATGTGGTTTTAGCTGGTTAGACACCAATTTACACTCTGGGGTCCCTAAGCTTTGGCTCTTGCCAACCTGTGCCTAATACTTTCCAAAATTAGGTAAGCAGGATGCATTCCTCCAGGGAGAGAGTGCACATTCCATTCCAACAAACATCTCTCTAATTTCCATATATAGGTGGGATGCATGTTTGGTTCAGATACTCTTAAGAATGTGATGGGTTTACTCGTGTGACAAACACCCAGCTGACCGGAAAAACATTTTGTAGAATGCTTATCCAGGTTAATTTCAGGAAATATACAATAGGTGGCCCCCTTGATCTGTATGACCTCACTCACTGTTGACTTACTCGCTTGCTTTCTCTTTTGTTGCTCTCGTTCTTTGAGTCTGTATTTTTGCAACATCAAGCACACATCAGTAATTCAAAAAGTTATACATTCATCAAGAATAAAATATAGCATTAAAAGCACCACAGCAACAGCAAATAGGCAAAGGAGAAAAACACCACCAGAATTGAACTCTTTTGTATCATATTATAACTCTGGTGGTGAGGGTCATGAAAGGATAAATAAATCAAATTACAAAATGTCTATGAATTGTTATGGTTTACAGAGGCATCAATAATCCCCGGAAATTCAAATAAAACCATTTTATACATATCTATGTCCAAGGAATGACCACCTGCTCAGGATAGGAGTCCTTCCAAATGAGGGTCGAGACATTTTGTTTTAAAAAATAAAGTCCAACTGGTGTCTGAAATTGAAAATAATTCTACCCGAAGATACTTTGCAGAAGATTGTTCAATCCAATGGATCCAATATTGACAAAGATTCTGGTTTCCAGTTAAGAATTTTTTTTTCAGCAACAGAAATGGTGTCAGTGGTCAGGGTTCAGTGTTTATGAAATGGAACATTATTGGGAGACTAACATTTCAAACTGGATGTGCAGCTTGCCTCTAAACCAAGTGCCCATAGGGAAAAATGAGAAGAAATGTACATTAAATCATCAAAACAAAAGAATCAAAGAGCAGAGAAACCCAGGGGTTAATTTATAAAAATCTTTAAAGTTAAAGGGCAGTTGACAAAACTTTTTTGTAAAAACAAGCTAATGGTGAATCTGTTTTATAAATGGAGGCATTGAATATAAAAGCAAACGTATACCTATATAAATCATTAGTCATGCTGCAGTTGGAGTATTGTTTCCATTTTGGTCACCCCCTATAGGAAGGATGTCAAGGGAAAATGCAGAAGAGATTCACTACTCTGATATCCTCGAAATGGGGTTTTACTCGTGAGTAGAGACTTGGGCTGGTTTCCCCTCGAGCAGAGAAGATGGAGAAGACAGGCTTGATTTGAATCCAGATATGAAAAAATGCGTTTAATCACTCAAACAAATCAACATGAATAAAGTGGAAGAGATTTTTTTTGTTAAAAAAGTCATTACGACTGATTTGATACCTTTTCAGTATCTCACACTTGAGAAACGATGGCATAAAGTTATAACAACAACAAAATAACACTTGTATAGTGTCTTTAACTCTATAAAAGCAAACAGCAGACAAATTATTAAACGTGGGGCTAATTCGTGGTTGGTTGGTTTCATTAGTTTCTAACTAGTTTCAAAATGAGTTCATTAACTTAAAAGTGGTTCTGTGTCATGTTTCTTGAAGCAGGAAGAAGGTTGTTGGTTTGTACCTACAAACCTATATATATATATCCTGAATGAACTGTTCATTTAAAGGCTGAATTTCTCAATGTTTGTATATTGCTTGGTTTAATCTGTGTACTGTTTGGTTTCTGGAGCGCAAGAATGGAGTTGTAACGTTAATGCTGCGTAATTTCAGATTTGTTTCAAGTTCACTAATCCAAACTCATCAGTGAAAAGCATTGTGAATAGTGATTTTTTTTCTAGGTTTCCCTGGAAATGGATAATTTTTGTAAAGGAAGAGCACCAGTTGTATTTTTTTATGAAATTTGAATAGGTTATGTAGTTGATTCAAATCATATCTGTGATACTCTTATGCTTATTTTGTGTAAAATTTCTTGCAGTTGTCTGTAGCCAGCAACCGACTGGTGCGGATGAATGGGGTGGCAAAGCTGGTAAATTTACGAGTTCTAAACTTACCTCACAACAGTATTGGAAATGTGGAAGGCCTAAAGGATCTCGTTCAGCTAGAATGGCTTAATTTAGCTGGAAACAACATTAAGGTATTGTGCTTTGCTCATATATATCTGCAATGTTATCACAATCCTGGAGGCAATATGGAGCTCAAAATTCTGAGTACCCAATATTTAAGGAATTAGTCTCGGTTTACAATAAGCCGCTTTAAATAACTAATGAATCAGCGTGATTCGGAGTTAGAAGATTGTGGTTTCAAACCCCATGTAGGAGCTTGGAACCCATATAGTCCAGATTGACATTCCAGTGCAGTGTTTCTAAAGGATAAAGGGATTAAGGGATATGGGGATAAAGTGGGCAGATGGAGTTAGGTTAGAAGATCAGCCATGATCTTATTGAATGGCGGGGAAGACTTGAGGGGCCGAGTGGCGTACTCCTAATTCCTATGTTGGGGTGGGGTTAGGTGCTGAATTGTTGGAGGCGCTGTCAATCGGATGAGATGTTAAATCAAGGTCCTGTCTAACTTCGCACAAGTCATATTAAATATTATAGTCCCGACTGATGCATCTTATGAGATTTACTATATTAAGATAACATGACAACTAACTCAGAGATTGTGGTAGTGATCTTCACTGGGAAAGGGTGACGTACCTCACTTGAAAGCAAACTAGCCTTGGGTCCCTTTGGGTCATAAGACCCATACTGCGCCAGCTAATTCTTTGCTTATCTTTTTTCTTACACACAATAATGTGCGTGTACAGATTAATCAAATAGAATATGAATAGATCATGCGCTGGAAAATTACCACAAATATTGAAAGAAAATGGATAAATAAAACAATTATTTGCATTTCAAATAACCCCTTTCATATCAGGAGAACATCTCAAAAGAGGACATCCTGCTTCATAAGATTTATTGTAATGTCTAGGGGTATTACATCCTGTATGCCAACACAGCAGCTGTCAATTTGTCAGTATCTCACAACAGCCATGAAGTGAATTACCCCAATTTTATATGGAGATTATTAGCCATCCCTACTCTTTTCAAATATTAGCGTGGGATCTTTAACATTGACTTAAACGGGACCTCAATTAACATCTCATATGATGATATGGCTTCCATCAATGCAGGGCTCTGCTCACATTGCACTAGAGTGTCAACCTAGACCAATCTGATCCAACAGGTGGCTCTCAGGCCACCAGTGGCCCAGCGGGTGATTTTATGCAGCCCCCAAAACATTTCAGACTTCACAGTTTTATCTCCCATCTGTGCCTCTTGTGGTCGCTGAGAGTGAGAGGAAGAGGGGCGGATCCGGAGGACTCCTCCAGCTCCTCCGCCCTAGGCAGGATCCATGCTACTCTTGTCTCGTGTAACTTGAGGAAATGGAGGTTAGACCCAGCAACAATATGAATCTGAGTAGGAAACGGAAGATAGAAGTGGAAAATAGAGGATTTCAGTGTAAGTGGGAAATTGATTCCTTGTTCATTGAAAATAATGGAAAACCTCTGCCTTGTTTGCTTGCAAGTAATATCTGTGTTGAAGAAGGTCAACATCAGAAGGTCCTACAGCAAATGACACAAGACACAATACAACAAATATACGGCTCGTGTAGCACTGTCTCACCAAACTAGCAAGGAGAATAAGTGACATGAACACATGAATACAAAGCTCAGGACAATCGTTGAAAAATGTAAATACTTCTCATTAGCTCTAGATGAGAGCACTGACGTTACTGATAGCAGTCAGCTATTCATTTTCATCAGAACCAATGTTGTTCATGAAGAGTTACTTCTCTGAAAACTGCTAAAAAGGGGTTGGATATTTACAAAGTTCTTACTTCAACTGTCAGTAAATACGGCGGATTTTCATGACGGATGGTGCAAAATCGATGGCCGGCTGTAAAAATGGTTTGGTAGGTTTGCTGAAACAAAATTATCTTCCACTGCATCATACACCAGGAGTCCCTTTGCGAAAAACATTGTGCTGAGGAGATGGTAATCGTGAGCGCAGTGATCAACTGATGTAGTTTAGCGTCTTTGTCAGCTTCAGGATGTAGCTTGCATTTTCCAAATGTGGAGAAGGATCCTTTCTGCAGGCCTCGGCCAAAATCATGGTAATATATGCCATATCCTCCTCCATTTGCAGCCTGTTGATTCCTCTTTGTGTTTAACGAAAGCTGCACTTTTAGAATACCATGGTTGAAAAACTTTGATTCCAATTGATCTATTTTTGCATTCCAACAATTTAGTGTTTGTTTTTCCTTTTACAGATAATGGATCCAGTTAATAGCTGTTTATTGCTTCGACATTTGGATTTGTCTGACAACAATATCTCCCTGATAGGTGATGTGTCCAAACTCACCTCGCTTAAGGTAAGCTGGATATTTGACATCCTACTAAAACGTTAACATTCACCTGTAAATGAGAAGGTTATGGGTTCAAGCCCTACATTGGGATATTGAACTCAGTCTAGGCTGACACTGATGGAGTGCTCCACTGTTAGAAATATTTTTCTTCAATGAAATGTTAAACAAGGTTCCATCTGACTGTTCAGGTGGGGATTTTAAAGATTTCATTTTCACAATTAGAAAAGAGAAGGGAGTTTCTCTTGATGTTTTCAGCAACAATCTTTCAGATAAAACATTAGTCATTCACTTCATTGGATATTGGGGATCATTGCTGTGCATAAATTTGGCTGTCATGTTTGTCTATATACACAGTCACATGTGTCAGACAGCCATCCAACTTTAAAAAAATCACTACTAAATGGAGCATTGTGAAAAAGGCCTGTGAGACATTAATCATAGAATCACAAGACAGAAGGAAGCCATTTGATCCATCAAACCTTTACTTCCTCCACTGATGTCATGACTTTAATTCCAGATGTTTTCTGGTTTACAAAGTTCCAAAGCTTTAGGAAATTCAACAATATGCTAAGGAGTTAAACTCATAAATATATTTTTAATTCAACAGACGCTTCTATTGCATGGAAATACCATCACCGCTCTCCGCTCTGCTTCCAGTCACCTGGCGTCAGGTTTAAGCATCCTATCACTGGCTGAGAATGAAATTAGAGACCTAAATGAGGTATTGCACATTTATTTCTATAAACTATCAATTGAAGCAAGGGGAATATTCAAGTGTTGGTAATGTAAATGTTAGTTGCAGACAGACAAATATAATAAATGATTCCAGGGTCAATGTATATTGAAAGTGGAAATGTTAAAATCTGAATTATCTTCAGTTGTTCTGATTGTCAACATACTTTACCAACAGTAAGTATGAACCCACTTGTTGGTCGATTGATGGATCGTTTTCTGGGGATAATAATCCTTTCATAATAATAATAATGCGGTCACTCAATCCACGACTGTTTGTGGGACGTCGCTGTGTGCAATTGGCTGTAGCGTTCCGCTCACAAAACACAGTCACTACACTTCACAGTATTTTCTGTGAAGTGCTTTGAGACATCTCAAAGTCGTGATAAGGCACTATATCAAATGCAAGGGTTATTATTAATATTCATTTTATTCCTTGCTAGTTTTAAAATTGTATAAGTTGTTTTCTATTAGGTTTCTTACCTGGGATTCCTTCGTGAGTTGGAGCAGCTGTCAATCATGAACAATCCATGTGTGATGGCTACACCTTCCCTTCCTGGATTTGACTACAGACCCTATATCGTCAGTTGGTGTCTAACCCTCCAGATTCTGGATGGTTATATAATCTCACAGAAAGAAAGGTAAACTGAAATTTATTTATCTTCTATGTTAATAAGACAACAGTGTCTGTCTGTGTGTCAGCCAAGACCTCAATAACCGATTGACATAGAGACATGATTTATACCTCATCAGAAAGGTCTTGCATTTGGTAGTGTCATGGGCATATTTTTTGTGGGTATCTCCTATAGTTAATGAGTTATGACCTAAACAAGCTCATCACACACATATGGCAGTTTTGTGCTGCACCTGGTTACACCTAGTGGCCGTGCCGACTCCCAGTGGCACTGTAGTATTGTGCGTTACAGGGAACAAGATAAAGATGCCTAAGCGAACATCAAGCCTTTCAAGTACAAATAAAAAAATGCCAAACAAAAGCAAGAAGGCCAATTAAATGAAACTGAAGCACAAAGAACAGCACGGCTGAATTGCAATAACTTGAATACCTGCTGGATCACACTTTAAACCCCTTCGGTTAGCATAGCTTTGATAAGATCTATAGTTCATGAGCTATGGAGCTTTGATAGGATCTTCAATCGTTCATGAGCTATAACCCAAACAAGCTCATCACAAAAGAATGGCAGTTTTGCTTAAGTTGTATACACAGTGTTTATGGCATGTTAAATGGTTTGTGAGTGGTATCACTGAAATCTACATTCCATATTGGATCCTTTGGTTGCAGGCGTAGCTGACCACTCTCCTTCCCAAAGGTATTTCCCAATGTTTACTCTTTAGACTGTTTACCTTTTAGATGCTTTGAGACTCTTAACAATGTGCAACCGATACAGCTAGTCTTAAATAATTGTATATAGAACAATTCTAGCTGAAGTGTCATATTTGTAAAATTGTTGTATTAATTTGTACAATAACAGTTCTGGAAAATTAAACACTTTTTACTTTTTATATTTCTAATTTGTTTTTCTACTTCAGTTTTCTTTCCCCCCCCCCCCCATCCCACCGCTCTCCTTCTCAAAGGTATTTCTTTGGGGGACTAAACAATGTTTACTCTTTAGGCTGTTTACTATTTAGATGCTTTGTTTTTGTGCTAAAGGATTGTAGCAGATGCAAGGATTATTGTTTAATATTACTCCATTTTCCTTTCACTGGTGTACATTTTTACAACTGGGAGAGGCAGCCCTCCAGTGTCTCATTTAGTGGCCACTCTTCATGTGTGAAGTTGAACTGTAAGTGCAAGGCTATGGAGAGAATGGGGACATTGAAGCTGATTTAAACCTCCTTACTCACCTTGTATATGTCTCTTGTAGTGGGGATGAATGAATAGTAATCAAGCTGAAATGTTTCTCTCCCTTTTCTACTTGTGAGTTGGGTGCCGCTTGACCCTCCACTCAAAATCTTAATAAATGGATACTTTTTTTTGTGAACATAACTTTAATCGGGGGGAATAACAACACCAAAATTTCATTACTATAGTGCCTCTCACACCGGGAGAACGTCCCAAGGCGCTGGACAATCAATGTTTCAGACCCAAGCTGTGAGTCGGGGAGGGTGGAGGGCAGGTGGGGAAGGAGTGTGATCAAAGGCACAGTCGAAGAGAAAGAGTCTTGAGATGGGTCTTGGGAGGGGGCGAGGCAGAGAGACTGCGGAGTGGAATTCCAGAGAGGGAGCAGAGTGGCTGAAGGTCCGCCTGCCATTGGTGGGGCGGGCGAGGTGGGGATGTGAAGCAGGCCAGAGCCGGGCGATGTTGCGGAGGTGGGGAAAGTCAGAGAGGGTCATGGCACGGATGTGGGGTAGAAAGGATTGTTGAGGGTCAAACAAGACGCCAAGATTCCGGTCTGGCTTAGTGAGGTGTAGTGTGCATCCTTAGATGGTGATGCTGTCAGCGCCCGAGGTATGGAGGCGCTGATGGGAGCAAATCAGGAGGGCCTCGGTTTTGTTGACATTCAACTGAAGAAAGTTAGCTCTCATCCAGGACTTGATGTGACAGACATTCTGTCAGGACAGCAGTGGTCCTGGAGTTGAGAGTTGGAGGCAGAGAGATAGAGTTGGGTGTCATCCGCATACATGTGGAAGTTGACCCCGTGTCTGCGGATGATTTCACCAAGAGGGAGCATATAGATGTTGAAGAGGAGGGGACCAAGGACAGAGCCCTGAGGGACGCCACACAAGATGGTGCTTTTCTAGAGGAGAAACCGTTTGTGGAGATGAAGTGGAGATGGTGTGAGAAGTAGGAGCGAAACCATTCAAGGACAGAACCATGAAGGTTGAGGTGAGAGGAAAGGTGGTGGTGGAGGAGGATAGAGTGGTCAACGGTATCAAAGGCAGCATAGAGGTCAAGAAGTAGCCCTGGTTGCAGATAGATGAAATGTCATTTGTCACTTTGACCAAAGCTGTTTCTGTGCTGTGGACATAGTCTGGGAAAGATTAATTCATTGATAATAATCCTTGCATTTGATATATTTATTGATTAAATATAAAGAGGACCTAGAGCTCTAAATGTAGGTTGAGATGAGCTGAATATTCTTGTTCTTTCATTATTGACCTATGAAAAATTACGCTTATAATAATAATAATCCTTGCATTTGATATAGCACTTTTCACGTCGGGAGGACGTCCCAAAGCGCTTCACAGAACACACTGTAAAGTGAATTGATTGTATATTTGTGGGCGAACGCGGCAGCCTATTGCGCACAGCAATGTCCCACAAACAGTCGTAGATTGAAAATGACCAATTTATTATTGTTTTTGGTTTTGGAGGGATTATTATTAGGCGTGTGGAGTAAGGAAACTTGCCCAAGGTTTTGCCCTGACCTGGAATTGAACTCAGGTCTCTCGCTTGCAAAGCGAGTGCTCTAACCACAGCTACAGGACTCCACGAGACTTGCTCTTTAACAAGCACAGTATATGTTTTTTAATAACAAAAAAGCTATAAGCATTTTTGTTATTTTTATATTGGAGTGTATTCTAGATGAGGTTATCAAAGATTCTGCACAATCACTTGTATATCAGAGAAAAGCACTGTATTTGCTTAAAACAATTTGTTTTGTTTCAGCCTTAAAGCAGAGTGGCTTTACAGCCAAGGGAAAGGTCGGTCATTTCGACCTAGTCAACATGTGCAACTGGTCCAATATCTGGCCTCAGTCTGTCCTCTCGCATCCACTCCAGCACTGCAATCTGCAGAAGATGCCAAACTTGAGAAAATTCTAAATAAACAGAGGTAAACATTGACAGCATATAACCTAAACGCAGCCAAACTTTTTGGTTTCTTAGCCAGATTTGTATTTTTTTTCCACAGTGAAAGTGTAATAGATGTAATTTTTTTTTGCATTTCAAATTTTCACGGAATACACATTTTTTCAAATCAATCTTCAAGACCAATTTTTGTGAATGGCCCACATTAAAAGAAATAAACATGAAAATTGGTCAACATATCAGTAAAGCCGAATGCAATATAAAGACAAAACTTTAACTTTGGGTGCAGGAAACGCCTGGGTAGTGTGCGCATATGTGCCAGCCTCGCGAGAACAATTCAAACAGTTCTCATGAGACTGGCGCATGCGCACACACGTCCCCCGGTCACAGATAAGGTTTTTTNCTGCTTTGTAAATTATTACAAAACTTATGTACTTACAGTTCTGTGTACAGTTCTGATTGCCATAGAACTAAAAGAATATGGGAGAAACCTAGAGGATACAGAGGAGGGCAACCGGAAAGATTGAGGGAATGGAGGGACTGGACTATGAGGAGCGACTAAGTAAATTAGATACGTTTACATTGGAAAAGAGAAGATCGAGAGGAGATACGGTTGCTGTCTTTAAGATTCTAAAGAGGCAAGACCATTTAGATCATGGCAGGCTGTATCAACAAGTCCCGAATAGTAAAACCAGAGGACACGGCTTGTGATTGAAGGAGGTAAATTCAGGATAAATCTACAGAAACACTATTTTGAGCAAATAGTAAACTTGTGGAACAGGCTCCCTAGGGAGACGGTTCAAGCAGAAAGTGTTGATTCCTTCAAACACAGATTAGATAGTTTTGTTTAGGATATAACATTATGGGATATAGTACACAGGTGGTTTGGGGCAAATGTGCACATGACTGCCAGGAAGGTGAACTAGAACTGGTCTTTTTCATCTCGCATTTCTTATGTTGTTTACTTTTGTGTATAATTGTAACAGTTTTATGATTCCATGGCAATTATTAAGTGCAAAAATGTTTATGGATACAACAACAAAATTACATTTGTATAGCGCCTTTCACGTCGGGAGGACGTCCCAAGTCAGTGTTTCGGACCCGAGCTGGGGATCGAGATCAGGGAAGGTGAAGGGCAGGTATATGATATTGACTAGAAAATATTTTATGTTCATCCATTTTAGTTTTTGTCACTAAACAAAAATAACTTGCATTTATAAAGCGCTATTCACACTTACACATAGATTCATATTATACTACCCAGTACATTTGCACGTTGAAGAATATGAGCAAAAAAAGATGCCAAGCTTGGTTTCAAGTACCTGTAGATAGTATAAGGGAGGATACATTGGGGAAGGTAACATAAGTCTTGAGGTCTGAGAAACGAATGACTTTAGCAAGAAGCAAATTCAGAGCGAATATAGGGTTGAGGAATAAGATTTGAAGTTTGGGAGAAATGAGAGAAAGTTAAGATGCAGAATGATCATAGTAATTTTTATAACGTAAAGACAAAGTTGCAACTGAGAGAGGGTTAGAGGTGAGAGATGTATCAAATCCTATGATTATTGATCTGACAAATCTTTTAAATCTGGTTAGAGGTGTGAGTCTGTAAGAGTCATATCATTCTATATAAAAAAGAGAATAAAAAAATTTAAAAATTATAATACTCCTCTAGTTATTTCGATCAAAATGGTCATACTTGACATCTCCGCAGAACACGTTTGTGTCACTATTTGGTTGCCCATTGGGGAGTGTACTTGAAAAAGTGGGTAGGGATTCTCAATAAAGAATTTAAGAGAATGGGAACACTCCCACCCTGGTCTTTTCTTGCTTCATTCAGAACATTCCCTTGGTCTGAAACTATCTATTGGTAATCCATGTTCCATAATTTAACCTTAATTTTACTAAAAAAAATTCAAATTGTGCAGCTAAACAGCCAAATGTGTTAAATTTTCTTTGCTTTTTTTAAAATATGTGGATCAACATTAGACACCCGTAAGGCAAATTGAGTATATTCATGAAGAACAAGTTGAAAATCTGGCTTTGTTTTTGGGTGACTAATTTTTTGCATTCTCTCTTTTGCTTATGTTTTTGATACTAGGCTTCATCAGCTGGAACTGATAGAGAAGTTTCAAAATAGAGGCAGTCGTCTGCAGTCAGGCCCAACTCAGGACCTTTCATTTCAAAGTGAACATAACAGCACAACTCATAATTATGTTGCAAAAGGTAAGGAAAAAAAGCGCTTAAGTTATTGTCTTTATATCCTTTCTCAAAGGTTTGAACTTATTTTTATTGGCTTGTATACAGTATTTATTTAACAACCTGTACCGTAAGTAAATTCCACAAAATTCAATGCTGGCTTGATTTATCACTACCACTTACGCCATCATGCTCTCATAATCCTGACTGCATTTATGTATTGCCTTTTGCCCACAAAATAGCAAAATAGACCCAAGCTGATTAAGGGAGTGCTATCATGGGTTTGCCAAGAGTGGATGATGTCTGACTAACCTTATTGAATTCTTTGATGGTCATGGATTTCTGTATGTGTCAGTCATCCAGTAACTAGCTGGACAAGAAAAGTCTGACTAACCTAACCAAATTCTTTGCTGGAGTCATAGAAGAGGTGTTGGGGTGGGAGGGATCAATAGATGTCACCTTATGCAACGCTGCTTGTTCCAGTTCCCTGGCCCATTGGATGGTGTGCCAGGGAACTGGAACTTCACACTACAAGGTTGTTTGGCTTTTCTGGGCCTATTGCTAAATGTATAATTTGCTGATCAAATGGGTAGATAAGCAATAAAAAATGTGTTTCTAACCTCCTGCCAGTGCTGCTTGTGAAACAGGCACTAAACCTCTAAGCTAACAGGTCTTCAGTTTTATCGGTGTTGACACCCTGCACCGTTGATGAATAATATTTTTTATTTTGTATTCTGTTTTCTGTTTTTTTTCTATGACAACATTCCAGAGCCTGTAATTCAAATTAATTCATGGGTTGGAACAAGTGGCCAAGATGACGACTCCTATGTACTCAAGAGGTTGTCACCACTTGCTGGACAGACTGCAAGATGTTGCCAAAGTGAACTCTTCTTAGAGGACATTCAGACTGATGAAGACAAACTGAATTGTAGCCTTCTATCATCAGAATCTACATTTATGCCTGTGGCCACTCTATTGTCCCCATCATCACCTTCCTGTGATCTAGGGCTTCCTGATGATCTTCTAGCTTCAGAAAATTGTGTCATAGCAGTCTCATATTTAGAAACCCAACTTAATAATGAGGAAAGTGATGACCAAAAACATCAAAGGCTTGGACAAAAAACAGAAGAGCGTGAGATACACATAGGAAGAGCCAGGGAACAAAGTAAAGTAGGAAATGACAATCAGCTATTCTGTGTACCTAATGCATTGCTATCTGATGTCAGTCTCACTTCAAGTGCAAGCAGCTACCCAGTATCCTGTCCTTTAACAAAAAGCCAAATTAGTTTGGCTAATCAGGGAGCAATGGAAAATGAATGGAATGTTGCGATAAAAAATGACAAGTCTGATCAACGTGGTCAATCTGGATTCCTTGAAACCGATGTACAGGTTATGCATGAAATGAATGAAGCAGCCACAAAAATACAAGCTCTTTGGCGAGGATTTTACATCAGGAACTGCCATATAAATACCAAGGAAGTGCGCAGTGAAATTCGATTACGAAGGATGCAGGAACACATTGAGTACTTGACTGAAGAAGTACTCAGGGAAGTAGCAGAGTTTTTCTTTAAAGATTTGAATATTATCCAATTGACTTGTCTTATATTGCGGTCCAAAATATGATATTCACTCACTGGTTTTGTTGAGTTATTGTGATTCCTGTTTTAGAAACCGGAGTAGGCTATTCAGCCCTTCGAGCCTGTTCCTACACACATACGATGAGCCTGGGAACAAAATGACAATCAGATATTTGCAAATATTGGAGTGTGAAACTCACACATGGCGAGTCTAGAATCTCAAGTTTGGCAAGGGTGGATAATGTCTGACTAACCTTATTGAATTGGTGGTGTGTGGAGGGTGGGGAAGGTTTGGGGGAAAAAAAAACCACAAGCAGAACGCTAGCCTTTTGCCAGCTCCACATTTTGTTACCAGATTTTTACAAGTCAGGAACTGGAATCCACAATTTTGCAACTAATTTGTTTTGTGAGTATTGAATTCTTGACCCCATTTTGAGTTCCTAATACAATTAATGTTTGAACTTGGTCTCTCTTAAGAATTTTTTTTACACTTATTTTGAAATGTGATATCAGAAGTCTAAGAAACTCCAATTTATGTGGTTCATCCGGCAAAATTTTAATTCCTATAGAATGTGTTAGTCTTGATTCTACAATATATCTTCAACAAAGGTGTGAACGTATCTTAGGTCTTGAACAGTGCATGTTTTTGGCTTTTGGTTTAAGCTTCTGCAACTTGAGTTTAAATTAGATTTAACTACCTTTCTTCATCTTATTCTACCTATTTTTGCATTTTTTTATATTTCTAACTTTAAAATTAGTTTCTTGCCTTTTTGCTTCTTTGCAACTCATCTATGTGGTATTAATTTTGAAAAGTGATTTTAATTGACTAAAACACGGCTTTAAACGCTGTCTATGAAAACATAAAAGCTGGGGTCACAAGTGATCACAGGAAGAGAAATTAGATTTTAATACTAGTTTTCTTTTGTCCAATCTTTGGATCCCTGTAGGTGGAGGAAAGAATGTGAAGAAGAACGTATTCAAAGGCTGGTACAGGAAGAAGCTGTAAAGTTCTTATGGAACCAGGTAACCACTCGTAATATATGGTTGTTCATAAACTCTGTGTCTGATTTAAAGTCTGTGTCCTCATCACAAAAATAATGTAAAAGAATGAAAGGCAGGCACCAAGAGTAAATCTAGTTCTATGTAAAATACTACGTTTAGATGTATAGACCGAACCCTATTTCTGTTCATGTATTCCACTCTCCTTCACCATCTGTACTCCCTGATGCATCTCTGCAACTGTGCCTTTCTGGTTTCATTCCTACTTACAAGTGATCAGAAGAGAGAGGATTGTGAAAATGTGGAATTGACTGCCCCAAAAAGCTGTAGAAGCAAAATCAAAAAATATGTAGTCCCATAGCATAGTGGTTAGGTAGAAAGGATAGTTGAGGGTCAAACAAGATGCCGTGGTTCTGGACTGGCTTAGTAAGGTAAAGTGTGCATGCATGGATGGTGATGCTATCAGAGTCTGAGGTGTGGAAGCGTTGATCGGAGCCTATCAGAAGAGCCTCGGTCTTGTTGACGTTCAACTGAAGAAAGTTAGCTCTCATCCAGGACGTGATGTCTGACAGACATTCTGTTAGGACAGCAGTGTTCGTGGAGTCAAGGTGGAGGCAGAAAGATACAAGGGAAGTTAAGTCATCCACATACATGTGGAAGTGGGGTAATAAATCCTTGAAAAAAAATTGGTCACTCAATCCACGACTGTTGTGAGACACTGTTGTGTACAATTGGCTGCCACATTTCGCCCACAAAATATACAGTCAGTTCACTTTAAGAGTATATTCTGTGAAGCGCTTTGAGACATCTCGAAGACGTGATAAGGTGCTACATCAAATGCAAGGATTATTATTATTCATCTTAGCCCATGTATGACATTTCTTAATGCTTGAGTCTATATAAACACAATTTCTAACTAAACAAAGTATAGAAAGTGAATGTTTGGGGCATATTTGAATAATGTATTTAGATGAAATGATAACATTGTGTTTTCTTTTGCAATCAAGGTTCGGAGTCTCCAGGAGTGGAAGATGTCCGTGACTCAGAGACAGACCGTATTCCTGGACTCTGATATCAATGAACTCACTCCAAGTCTTGTACAGCCAATATCTGTCCATCATTCTGAATGTCAACCACAGTCCCTATTATTGAATAATCATGCAAGCTCTATTTGTAGACAAGGCACCAACTTAATAGATTTGATGCAAGAATTCCCCGATTCTGGTTTTCAATCTTCAGACATTGCCAATCAATATCTCAAAGATTCCCTGAACTCTTGCCAGAGCTCCTCAGAAGGAAGCAACAGCACAGTTGTAGAAGCTTCCTTAGAAATGGCCAAAAAAGATAATGAACTCCTAACTGAGGAAACAGAAGGCTCAGATTCCAGCCACAATGTATGCAGCAAGGAGAGCTCCAACAGTGAACAGGACAACAGCCTTATAGAGCAGTATCTCAATTCAGTTCAGCAATTGGAAGCGGCAGAGGATGGAGCAGATTGTAGTGTAAGGACAGAAACTGGTAGTAGACAGGATGATCAAGATTCTCTTTGTGAAATTTCTGTAGAAGTGTCTGGGGAAACAAATGCCAAGAGTCCAAGGGATACAAATACTGGCAGAACAGAAATGTACAGTCAAGCAGAAGAATGTATTTATGGAATGTTAGATTCCAAAGAAGAACAAATGAAAGGTCAGCACCAGTCTAAGACCGAGTAGAATATCGATACGAGCTGAACCACTTAAGGAAATTCAAAATTTATAATTCACAATTTTCTTCTTCTTCTTTATAATTCTTCAATTTTCATTTCTGTGTGCCCACAAAACACGGAAAGCCCAATGTGCCTCCAGTGCTGTAAATTTAGCAGAGTTCATGTCTTTTGTTAGTTACGTAAAATTTATTAATTGCAATTTTTAAAAAATCGAACAAATGTCTTGTAACTCCGTTTCCCAAACCTTGTGATCTTTTCTAATTTGAAATGTTGTAGTTTATCTTTAATGCTTGTAATTAATGCCCATCATATGGATGCTATCTAGATTTGCGTGTGACTATCCTAACCACTAATGGAATTTTGCTGATGCTCACTACTCAATGTTTACAGTAATACGTTTTCTATTCCATCATCCTAAGCCTGTCTAGTTATTTATTTAGCTGAAGTTTATCGCTTTCTCTTTCCATCCCTCTTCTATGGGGAAAAATTCCATCTAAATCCAGATCTACTTTAAGTAGCATTTTAGAGCATCCAGAATATTCCAAATATGTAAATAAAGCCTTTATTTTGAAGCTAGATTTTCTATAATTTTTTTAAGAGCTATAGAAAACCAGCTTCAAAGTTGAGACTGAATTCAAAAATTTGCCAAATTCTATACACACTAAAATGCTATATAAACAGAATACATCTGAATCCAGGTGGAATTTCTCCCTATAGTCAGTCTCTTTTCCACCATGAATAGCATGACTGAAATTAATAATTTGCTGTGTGCTTGTAGAAACTTTATAGTAACACTCTTGGAGGAGCAATGCACTTTTTATGAATTTGACTTGATTTCATTTTGATAGTTTTTGAAATATGATTACTAATTACCTTAGCAGCAGTCATTTTAAATAAAGCAACATTTTATATGAGGGATAATCTTGCCAGACTAAATAATTCAGAGCTACCCTTTCCAGATGAAATAAAACCTCCCATCAATTTTGACAGACCAAAGTACCATCATTGTATGCATGTATCTTAGTATTCCAGTATAGTGAGAAAATGATGGTATTGAAACACACAAATGGAACAAACGAGGTAAGTGTGAATCACAGTATAACTTGGAGCCATGTCTTTCAGGAAGTACCCGGGCTCAATTCAAGAGTCTGTGCTGAGTGAAAGTGACGTATTTGAATTGGTCTCAGCAATCGAGGTGAGGAAGTGGGGCAGTCAATTAGGGTTCATGCTCCTTATCGCTGCTCAGTTGTTCTTGTTGGGAAGTACAATTGTGCAACTATTGAGTGAAGCAATAATCAGTCCCAACTCCATTCCCAATCAAATAGGTAATGGACAACTGCCAACACTCACTGTCATTCTTACAGAGGAAGGCAACAGACAAGTGCTGGCACCTGTAAAACCATGCCTCAACAAGAACAGAATATTAAAGGTGGGAATAAGTATACACAGATGAGTAACTGTTATGTAAAGAAAAGGAAAAGTAAAATGAATTGTACAAATATGTTCTGTAACATATGAAGCATGTTTGCTGGTGGCCTTAATACACCAAACTATTCATATAACCAGACTAAACCGAATAGGAGACTCTTCTGTAGCTCCAAACTCTATTCAATAAACCAAATTATTCAATTATCGAATATTCAATTAATTGAATTTCACTATAGCATGCAATGGGTTGAGCTAAAGTAATCCTTCAATAATAGGTGTGTTTACTAACAGACTTGACAAACTGAAGAAAATAATTAATGTGAGGAAGTGATGGCCTGTTGTATTTCAATTTCTGTAAAGAAATATGAATATATGCTTGCAATATTGGGCATTGACACATTGTATGCACCAGTACATTTCCTTGACTGGTATTATGGGAAAATAATGAAATAACAAAATATGCATGTAAAGTTCTTTTCCAAATTGTGTGTTTACGTAAGTAAACTATATTTTACTTCAGCATCCATAAAGTGTATTGGCTATTATGTACAAACGTTTCAGTTGTAACCTGCGTTCACTTTGTGTGTCAATCTGGCTCAGTTGGTAGCACTCACGCCTCTGAGCCAGAAAGTTGTGGGTTCAACCCCCTTCGGGACTTGAAGCTCATATAGTCGAAGCTGACATTCCAATGTAGTGCTGGGGGTGTACTGCATTGTTGTAGGTGCCGTACTTCAGATGAGATATTAAACTGAAGTTCCATCTGCCCGTTCAGTTGGACATTAAAGACTCCATGGCACTTAAAAGACCATGGAGTTCTTTCCGGTGTCCTGGCCAAGAATCGCCCAAGTGAAATCGTTCCTTCATTTCATGGCTGTCTGTGGGACATTGCTGTATACAAATTGTCTGCCCACAAAGCACAGTCACTACACTTTACGGTACATCCTATGAAGTGCTTTGAGATGTCCTCCCTATGTGAAAAGTGCTATACTAAATGTAAGTATTATTATTTTCAGTAGCTGTTAACTTAACATTTTGTATCAAACAATGTAAACAGTTTTTTTTGCTTATTCTAATAAGCAGATGTATCCTTTTAGAATTGTGGTTTGCACTTAAAACCATATTGTGGTTTGCACTTAAAACAAATGCAAAATCTAAATAAGTTCTATGTACAGCATATGAAAAAAAGATAAAAAAACAGAAGGAACTAAGTTTTAAAATAAAATCCCACCAGTGCATTAATTAATACAAACACACTCAGAGTGGCCAAATGGTTTATTAAATGTTGTATATTATCGAGATTCTAATTTCACTGTCGTTGATGTGTCAGACTAAACAGGAAGAGCATCTTGGTCTATTGAATGAATTTGCACATGACTGTTATGTGATTGGCGAATCACTTTTCCGGATGTAATAATCTCTTTTTTTTAAAAATTAAATAAAGAATAATAATTTGGCCAAAGTGAAATAAAATGAATCTTTCTGATTTAGAGTTCAAAAATTAGATCCAATAATCTTGAATGATGAGCAAAGCTACATTTCCTTGGAGTTGGGAGAAATAAAGTTTTTTAAAATCTGCCTTCTATTTTACTTCGAATTTAAATTTGTTCAAAATCATACTGGTACTGTATTTCTTCACTGAAATACCATGCAAGTGAAAAGAGGGTAAAATCTACTAGAATTGACGTAACGTATTTTCATAACTTGCCATGCCTCTTTCAATGATTTATATAGAATTCCACTTTTGAAAAATTATTTGTGAAGCTCACAAAATTAAGGATGAGTAATTAAGAATTTTTTTCTTCTGGACTTTCGAGACGAGCACCAATTCACTGCATCTCCCAGCAATAATTCACTCAAACAGATTACAACACCAAGTTGCATTTATATCACAATGTTGGTTTCAAATGTTGTGTACTTGACAAAACAAAATGCATCTACAGGAATTACACCAATTTGTATAGCATTCTTCACAATGAATAACATCTCAAGGTGCTGGAAAGAGATGGGGGGTGGGGGGAATTGTATTCCACGATCTCTTCCATTCAATTATCTCTACAAGGGGAAGGTAAATAGTGTGTTCTACTTGCATTTTTATTTATCCTATTTATTTTTGTACTTTGGTTTCAAATTGTGTTCTTAATAAAAACAAAATGGATTTTTTCCAAACATCAATGTTTTGTGAACTGATGATGTTCTTCTTTACATAAATGACTACAGTTACTTTGCTTTTACATCCTCCTTGATCACAAACTTACAAAGGTCATGGATGAGCATATACGTGTCCTATTCTCCCAGTGTTGATTCTACCAGTTAGTGTGAAGTGAGACGCTCAGATGAGAACCCAGCCTCTCTCATCCGTCTCAGCCTGGTGCTTTGCTGTTTATATCTTTATTTGAAGTCCTAGCACTGACTGTTGATTACTGGCAATAGATTTCCATTTGAATAGAGCATAATCCCAGGATACTCTTTGACAAAACAGTCACTCATGTTTCAACCAATTACTATTTACATTGTTTTTTATATTCTATATAATGTACATAAAAAGTCTCACTTGTGCTCTTTTTGAATCCCAGACTTGACAACTATTGTTTATCGCAAGTGAGGGAACCCAGGTTTGATTCCCAGGTGGAGCGAAACCTTAGGCAAGTTTCCTTACTCTACACACCTCTGTTTACCTAACAGTAAGTAGGAACCTGGTATGTCAGGCTATTGGCAGATCGGTTTTCACCATAATAATCTCTACCCCCTCCCAAAAAAAATTGGTCACTCAATGCACTATTCTTTGTGGGACACTGCTGTGCACAATTGTCTGCAGCGATTCGCCTACAGTCATCAACTTTACAATATATGGTATTCTGTGAATATTGCATTATTTGTGAATACTGTATTTGAGACGTGGTAAGATGCTACATCAAATACAAGGATTATCTATTAATCCTGTACTTCCATCAACAATGAGCGATTATACAGTAACTTGAAAGCTATGATTTGTAAGGAACTGTCTGTCTGACAGAATCTGGGTAAAATTTCTGAATTATCCAGCCTTCTCTGGCGAGTTCGAAATGTTCTGCCGAATGTGTTGATGAATGCTTTTTAAGAGCTGTAGTCTGAAATAGTGTAGTATGGTTTATCATGCATGGATTTTTTTCCACTGTGCTTATGGACTTATTAATTACTTGTGTTAGGCCAGCAGTGGAAAAGTTTAGCCAAAATATAAAGTTGGGAACCTGATAACATCAACAATTTTTTTTTATAAAGCCTTTCACTTCGGGAGGACGTCCCAAGACGTTGGACAATCAGTGTTTCGGACCCGAGCTGGGGGGGCGGGATCGGGGAGAGTGGAGGGCAGGGGGAGTAGGAGGGTAACCGAAGGCACGGTCGAAGAGGAGGGTCTTGAGTAGGGTCTTGAAAAGGGTTTTGAAAGAGGCGAGTGAGGGGGTGAGGTGGAGGGACTTTGGGATGGAGTTCCAGAGTGGCAGAAGGCCAGCCTGCCAATGATGTGACAAGGAGCTATATCAAATACAATTACTATTATATCACATCATCAAAATATGTCATAAGATTTTAAAAAAGAGATTGAAATGAAAAGGACCGTCAAAGCCATTTCATTTCATCCTTTCAGAATACCCACGCTAACGTCTCCCTATCACAGCAACAAGTTTTATTAAAAATAAATCCAGGATCCTGGTATTTATTTACTGTCTTTGACTGAGTGATGAGTCAACTAACTTCTCCAGATCTCTTTCAGCTTCCCCACAGACAAGTTCTATCCCCACTGTGGGTACATCATGATGTTCCCCTCCCCACTGATGTGAAAGGCTCCATATAAATATAAATTTGTATTTTATTTTACATGTGCTTCCTATTTTTCACTAGTTGTAGGATACCTTTCAATAATAATAATCCTTGCATTTGATATGGCGCCTTATCACGTCTTTGAGATGTCTCAAGGCGCTTCACAGAATATACTGTAAAGCGAATTGACTATATTTTTGTGGTCGAAACTCGGCAGCCAATTGCGCACAGCAGTGTGCAACAAACAGTCGTGAAGTGAGTGATCATGTTTTTTTTAAATATTTTATTTTTTTTGAAAGGATTATTACCCCGAGGAAAAGCAATCTGCCAAATCTTTAAGAGCTTTGCATGATTTCACTGCAGCTAACTATTTTTAGGTGACCCCATCAGTGAATTTTGGGCACAGCAATGTCCCATAGCAACCACGAAGCAAATGATTTTTTTTTTAAAATTCAATTTATGCTTCATGTCGAGTCTGGAAATAACTTTCGTCTTATTTTAAATATTAAAAGTATATAATAATAATCCTTACATTTGATATAGCACAAAACATTAGTCAATTCACACAGAGCTCTATTCGGTGAAGCGCTTTGAGACGTCTCGAAGACGTGATAAGGCGCTGTATCAAGTGCAAGGATTATTGTTTATTACCTTTCGCATCGGGAGGACGTTCAAAGCGCTTTGCATATTACCGCAAAACGACTTGCGTCACTTGTGTGCGAAGGAAGTCGCCAGTTTGCGCAGGGCAAAAGCCCATTTCGCCGCGAAACGATTGACCAATTTTAATTCTTGGCCGGGCACACCGACCACTTGCGCTTTCATTTCCATCTCTTTGCAACACACCCCCCCACCCTACTCCACCCCCTCACCCCCACAGCAACAAAATTGACAGGATCTTGGCAAGTTTTTCCCCACGTGCACAAGCACTGCAATGCCACCCTAATAATACTGTTATTTTTAACCCTAACGTGTGCTATCCGTGAGGGTGGTATCTTTCTCGCCTGCACAGACAGTAAGCCACCAAGGTGGTGAGAGAGAGAGGTTGGGTGGTGGGTGGTATTTCTCCCCAGCATTTTAATACAGCTACAATCTTACTGGATATATAAATAGAAGCAAACTGGCTGTATTGGAAGCCGCATTGCACAGTTAGATCTTCTGAAGGGGGTTGGGGTGGGTGGGGGGGGGGATCTGGTTGGCTGGTTAGTTGGGGAGGGAGAGAGAGAGAGAGAGAGAGAAGGAAAGGCTGCTGCAGAGGCTGAGTGTGGTGCTCACTGGTTGGGTGCAGCTCATGTCATTCACTGAAATGAACCATTTGCTCTGTGGCTGGAAAATTGGGGGGGGGGGGTGTTGGGGAGGGATGGAGGGGGGGTTGGGGGAGGGGATGGAGGGAGGGGGGGCTCCTGCCTGTCAATCATGTGGGAGAGACGGCCAGGTCAGAGCTTGTGGCTGGAGAGGATGTGAACATAGAGGAGTGGAATGTCCCAGTGCCTATTGCAAGGCTGTCATTAACCAAAGCCACTCACACCCCAACCCGATAAGGACATGAGGAGGAGGTGCAGGAGCTGCTGGTGAAGGTGCTGGTGGAGGAGGAGAAGGTGCTGGTGGAGGAGGAGAAGGTGCTGGTGGTGGAGGAGGAGAAGGTGCTGGAGGAGGAGGAGGAGGAGGAGGTGGTGGAGGAGGAGGTGGTGCTGGTGGAGGAGGAGGAGGTGGTGCTGGTGGAGGAGGTGGTGGAGGTGACCATGGTTTGTCCTCAGATGCTTCCTTTCCTTTTTGCTGTGGCGTCAAATCAGTGCACCAAAATAATACACTTGTACTGGTTTCCCCTCCACTTCCCCCCAGTGATGCAATACGAGAAGTAACTCTTAAATGTGAGGATGTGGGGGGGGGGGGGAGGGGGGGGGGGAGGGGAGGGGAGTGGGGGAGGGAGAGAGAGGATGGAAGTAAATGGCTTCATTTTTAAAACTGGCTTGTTGGAAATTTCCAGATCATCCTGGGATGTTTGTCTGAAGCTGGATGGATTGTCAGGGGAAACAACATCATCATTAAGAAGGAGAAGAACCAACCCCCCACCCCCCCCCCCCCCCCCCCCCCCCCCCACCCCCAAAAAAAACCTGAACCTGGACCTGGATTGATGGCTGGACAAAACTGTGTTGGACAATCTTCTGTGTTTCATGGCTGAAAGACACAGAGAGAGAGAGACACAGACACACACACAGAGAGACACAGAGACACACACAGAGACAGAGAGAGACACACACACAGAGAGAGACAGAGAGAGAGACACACACAGAGACAGAGAGACACACACACACAGAGAGAGACAGAGAGAGAGACACACACAGAGACAGAGAGAGACACACACACAGAGAGAGACAGAGAGAGAGACACACACAGAGACAGAGAGAGACACACACACAGAGAGAGACAGAGAGAGAGACACACAGAGAGAGACAGAGAGAGAGACACACACACACACACACACACACACACACGAGAGAGAGAGAGAGAGAGAGAAGACCTTTCCTGGATGTTGAAATTCTTCAGTAAGTGTTTCTATTTTATTTATTATATTTATTGTATTTATATATTATTGTATTTATATCAATGATATAAACAAAAACTTCTCCCCATCGATCATGTGAAAAAAAAGTATACCGTTTTATTCCGTTCAAAATGCCACCCCACCAGCCACCCCAAAGCAATTAGGGGGCCTTCTCCCCCTCTCTCCTCTCCCCCTCTCCTCCTCTCTCCTCTCTCCCCCTCCCCTCTCTCCTTCTCTCACCCCCCCCCCCTCCTCTCCCCCTCTCCCCTCTCCCCCTCTCTCCCCCTCCCCTCTCCTTCTCTCATTCCCCCTCTCTCCTCCCCCCCCTCTCTCCTCTCCCCCTCTCCTCCTCTCTCCTCTCTCCCCCTCTCTCCATCTCCCCTCTCTCCTTCTCTCACCCCCCCCCCCCTCCTCTCCCCCTCTCTCCTCTCCCCCCCTCTCCCCTCTCCCCCTCTCTCCTCTCCCTCCCCTCTCCCCCTCTCCTCTCCCTCTCCTCTCTCCTCTCTCTCCCTCTCTCCTCTCCCCCTCTCTCCCCCTCCCCTCTCCTCTCCCCTCCCCTCCCTCTCTCCTCCCCCCCCCCTCTCTCTCCCTCTCTCCTCTCCCCCTCTCCTCCCCTGTTAGAACACAGTAACCATCTTAATGATCAAGTGTATCTATTTGGAAAGGAAACTGCAATGTAACTTCTTTTTGCGGGTTGGCAATGTTGCAATGATGTTTCCATTTTGGTTTGTCTCCATTCCTCCCTCTCCCTCCCTCCCTCCCTCCCCACCCAGTTTGTCTCCCTCCCTCCCTCCCTCCCTCCCCACCCAGTTTGTCTCCCTCCCTCCCTCCCTCCCCACCCAGTTTGTCTCCCTCCCTCCCCACCCAGTTTGTCTCCCTCGCCCTGTGAACATCTCGCAGTGCAATCCCTTCCACCCACCTAACTAGTTGGGGGAGCCTTTGGAAGTGAGTGAGTGATTTTCAAAAAAAAAAGGTGCAATGGTTGGAAGGGGTTGTTTTCAAAAGCACTGCTTTATATATACATATATGTGTGTGTGTGTGTGCTATTGGGTAGTTGGGTAGTTGGGCAGTGGTGGTTGGGTGGTGATTATCATGCGTCCACTGTTTTATTTTAAAAAATATATATATTAAGACGTAATATTGAAGGGAAAACGGATTTAAATGGTTATTTTTATTCGCAACATTTTTTTTTCACGCGCACCATGATTTGTGCAAGATCATTTTTTTAGGGTGGGGTGGGCGGGGAGTGTGAGGTGCTGTGGGGGGTGGGTGGGTCTGACGCATGTCGGAACCCATCGCCACGCGTCAGAGTTATCCAAACTAAACTGAGGATTCCAGAGATGGATTGGAACGGAGTGGGTGCTCTCTTCCGGGAGCAATACATCCCGTTTACCTAAATCCCAAAAGTATTTAGGTGCAGGTTGGTAAGAGCCGAAGCTCGGGGACCCCAGAGTGTGCGTTGGGGTAACTGCTGGAGTCTAGCCAGCTAAACCCACATAGCTTGCCATTGATAGCACTATCAAGCAAGCTTTTCCACTGCTTGTCCAGCTAGGACCACCCTACCTTTTAGGGGTTTGGCTTGAGGGATGACTCCCTTCCCCCAATGACTGGTCTGCCCTTTCAAGTCTTGTCGCTGAACCAGGCGGCTGTGCTGTCATCAGCAGTGCCCTGGAATACTGCGGACCCTCCTGTCTCAGGAACCGGACTATTGAGACCGCTACAGAGGGCTGACTTAATTCAGATGTTCATTACCAAGCATGTCACCTTGGAGCCAGTTCAGCTGCAAGGAGACCCCCAATGTGGAGTCCTGTAGCTCAGTGATCAGAGCACTCGCTTTGCAAGTGAGAGACCTGAGTTCAATTCCCGGCAGGTCAGGGCGAAACCTTGGGCAAGTTTCCTTACTCCACACGCCTAATAATAATCCCTCCAAAAACAAAAATCAATAATAAATTGGTCATTTTCAATCTACGACTGTTTGTGGGACATTGCTGTGCGCAATTGGCTGCCGCGTTCGCCCACAAATATACAATCAATTCACTTTACAGTGTGTTCTGTGAAGCGCTTTGGGACGTCCTCCCGATGTGAAAAGCGCTATATCAAATGCAAGGATAAAAAAAAATTACCAGGTGTCTTTGTTTACTCTTCTTAGGTTTCTGCTATCACTCTTGATCAAGGTGGTCTAACCTTTTGGCTGCTGAGGGCCGGAGTATTTGAGTATTTGTTTGTGCAAGATAACGCAGTCTGTTTGCTGATCGAGAAGGGTGTGAGGCGGAGTGATTGGGGGGTGGAATTCCAGAGGTTGGGGGTAGAGTGGCTGAAGGCTCTCCCGCCAGTGGTGGGGTGGGTGGGTCAGGGGACGTGGAGCTGGACAGAGCCGGCTGAGCGGAGGGAGCGGGCAGGTTGTAGGGGGTTACATAATTATATATATGTAATAATCTGAGGTTTTATACAAATTCAACATTATATCCTCACTTTTATACTCTATCCCTCTGAATATAAAAAACGAGACACCATTGGCTGTTTTTCATTGTCTTATTTACCTACTTTTAGAGATTTGTAGTTTGGGTGACTTTCTTCCCCCATTGACTGGTCTGCCCTTTCAAGTGGGTGCGCAACCTATTGGCATTCGAGGGACATGTGCCTTGTTTGTGAAACATTCGCAGGCTGCATGAGCAAACTTTTTGTGTTTCTCTTCCAGAAACCTAATATTTACACAGTGCCTTTTTCACGTAGGAAGGAAGTCTCAAATCGTTCAACACTACTGGCTGATTAAATATCTAATCGTACTATTTTAAAAAAAAGGGAAAATTATATAGATGTATGTAAACATATAAATTTACAAACATTTGCAAAGCTTTAAAGATTTACAAAGATATATATAAATCTCTGAAATGGAGATTCTCCTGGTGTCCTGACCAGCATTCTCACCCCCAAATAAAATTGTCATTCTTCTCCTGATAGTGTGGGGAACATATTCTGTGAAGCGCTTTGGGACGTCGAGAAGGTGTGAAAAGCGCTATTTCAAAAGCAAGGATCATTATTATATTGTTTTGCAGAGAAAAGAAGCTAAGTGGCAAATTGCAGTTTGCCTTTTTTTTTGGCCAGCTGAGTGTCTGACACATGTGGAAACCCATCATCATGCTTAAGCTGAGTAACCTACATGGAAACCGCAGCTTGTGAAATGCAGGATAGTGACTGGAAATGTTCTGCTGCTCATGCACTTCTGAGGTCTACACTCTTGTCAGAACATGTTATCATCCTCACTGAATTTGAATTGGAAAGTAACCTTCAGTGCAGCAGCCTTACTGAATAATTTGCCTATGCAAAATCAGTGGACCTGTGTAAAGGTTCCTCCTAAATATAGAGCTTGGTGGGGGGAAAAGTGAGAGGGGAAAAGGTACCAGATGCTTGTGAGAGATGCAGTTTAAAGAAATGAGGCAGACTCAACTATGGGTGTTCTCAAGAGGATATTTCAAAAGAGGACATTTCAAAAGAGGACATTTCAAAAGCTCCTGCTGTACATGGAGTCAATACGTGTTTAATAGCTTTTTCTTTTATTGACGGGAAGTTCCACTGGCAAAAGTGCTGTCTCTCTATGCCTTCAATTGTGAGCCCTGATGGTGAGTTTTATAAGACTACTTAACTGCAGGAGAAGCACTTATAATAATTATAATCCTTGCATTTAATACGGCACCTTATCACATTACTAAGATGTCTCAAAGCACTTCATAGAATATATTGTAAAGTGGATTGACTTCAGCGCTTTGGGACGTCCTCCCGATGTGAAAGATGCTCTATGAATGTAATTTTATTGTCTTTGTACATTTTGTGGGCAAACACGGCAGCCAGTTGCGCACACCAATGTTCCACAAACAGTCGTGAGTGCAGACTGTTGAGTTCCGAATGGGAGGAGAGCAAGAGGGAGTGGGGGCAAGAAAAGCCATTGGGGTTAGAGGGGGCCGTGGCTTTGAGGGGGGTCAGTGGATATTTTCCATCACAAACATGAATGAAAAGGTAAATCCAAAATTAGGGGTGGGGGGGGGGTTGGGAGAGAGAGGTCCTTTAAAAAAAACGGTTTCCAAATGCAGGACAGAGTGAAGAAATTTTCCACAATGTATACTAATAAAGATGAAGAGGCTATATGTGTGTGTCTACGTCTGTCTTGTCTGTGTATCCGCCAGTAACGCAATAACCGATTGACGTAAAGACATGATTTGTACTTCATTGGGAAGGTCTTGCATGCGTGAGTGTTATGGCTATTTTGGGTTTTTTTTTGGGGGGGGGAGGGTTTTAAGCCCCAAAATGCATGGTTTCTGCAACAAGATAGCCACAGAGGAAAGCACAGACCCTTCTAAAGAGATACATCTATAACAATATATTCTGCAACAAATGTATGGCAGTTTTTTTGCCTTGCTATAATAATAATAATCCTTGCATTTGATATAGCGCTTTTCACGTCGGGAGGACGTCCCAAAGCGCTTCACAGAACACACTGTAAAGTGAATTGACTGTATATTTGTGGGCGAACGCGGCAGCCAATTGCGCACAGCAATGTCCCACAAACAGTCGTAGATTGAAAATGACCAATTTATTATTGTTTTTGATTTTTGGAGGGATTATTATTAGGCTCTGTGTGGAGTAAGGAAACTTGCCCAAGGTTTCGTCCTCTGCCTGGAATTGAACTCCAGTCTCTCGCTTGCAAAGTGAGTGCTCTTACCACTGAGCTACAGGACTCCACTAACTCAAGGAGCGGCCGGATTACGCAGTAAACCCCTTCGATTAGCGTATCTTTGATAGGAGTCCTCCCACAAGAATCTTCCCAGCTGAGTAATATATATATATATAGGATGAAATATCTGTCTGTGCGTCTGTCTGTGTGTAAATCTACATTTCATATTGGATCCTTTGGTTGCAAGCGAAGCTGCAATGGGTATTTCTCTCTAGTTCTTAAATAAAAATACAGAAACGGCCTGGTGAGCTAGGGCGAGGTGATCCCTTCCCTACTCCCCATCAGCTCGGAGTCAGGCTCTGCCACTGTTAAGCGCTCAGAAGCGCTACCCTGCGTGGAGGGCGCTATATAAGCGCAAGCTGTTGTTGTTTCAATCTTGCCTATCCCACTTTGTCCCTCCCAGACTTCTCCTGTTCCCACACAATCCCATGTGGCGTTCCTCAGGCCTTTATCCTCTTCACTATTTATGTGCTCCCACTTGGTGTTATCATTCGCAAACATGAGGTAAACTTCCACATGTATGTGGATGATACCCATCTCTATCTCTGCCTCCACCCTTGATCTCAGGACCATTTATGACTTTTATGACCGATTGCCTGTCAGACAGCAAGCCTGAATGAGCTCTAACTTTCTTCAGTTAAATGTGAATAAGACGGAGACTGTCCTTCTTGCCTTCGTACCTCAGGTTCCGATCACATCATCCTGTGTGGATGTAACTCAGTTTGAAGAACCATGGAAGTTTCCTTACTGTACACGCTTTCAGCCTTTCTGCCTCCAATCTCAGGAACATGATCCTGGAGTCCCACCCACATGCTCCCTCCCTCTCTGGGCATGAACAGTGCTATATATATATTAAATGCTACGTAAATGTAAACAGTATATGGTTTGCCTCTCATCCTGTACAGTTGAGGACCCTGATATTAATGAGTTTGATTATTGATGTATCGCTCTGTCATCCTGTTGCTCAGCGGTTAGAGTGCTTGCTTGGGTCCGATTCCTGGCAGGGTGAGACCTTGGGCAAGTGTCCTTACTCCACACATCTGATAATAATAATCATAATAATCCTTGCATTTGATATAGCGCTTTTCACGTCGGGAGGACGTCCCAAAGCGCTTCACAGAACACACTGTAAAGTGAATTAACTGTATATTTGTGGGCGAACGTGGCAGCCAATTGCGCACAGCAATGTCCCACAAACAGTCGTAGATTGAAAATGACCAATTTATTATTGTTTTTGGTTTTGGAGGGATTATTATTAGGCTCTGTGTGGAGTAACGAAACTTGCCCAAGGTTTCGCCCTCTGCCTGGAATTGAACTCGGGTCTCTCGCTTGCAAAGCGAGTGCTGTAACCACTGAGCTACAGTACTCCACGGATAATAATCCCTCAAGAACAAAAAATAACAAATTGGTCACTTCGATTCACGATTGCTTGTGGGACACTGCTGTGTGCAATTGGCTTCTGCGTTTCGCCCACAAATATACAGTCAATTCACTTTACAGTATATTCTGTGAAGTGCTTTGAGACGTTGAGAAGACATGAAAAGCACTATATCAAATGCAAGGATTATTATTATCAAATTGCTAAACTGTATCCACCCACCAATAATAACAATACTTGCATTTGATATAGTACCTTATCATGTCTTCGAGACGTCCCAAAGTAAACCATAGAATATACTGTAAAGTGAATTGACTGTATCTTTTGTGGGCGAAACACGGCAGCCAATTGCATACAGCAGTGTCCCACAAACAGTTATGGATTGAATGACAAAAAAATATTTATTTATTTATTTATTTATTTTTGAAGGACTTATTACCCCTGAAAGGTGATCCATCAATCAACTAACAACTGGGTTCCTACTTACTGCTGGGTAAACAGAGGTGTGTGGAGTAAGGAAACTTGCCCAAGTTTTGGCCCTGCGGGAGGGAATCGAACCCAGGTCTCTCGCTTGTGAGGGAGTGCTCCAACCATTGAGCTGCAGGACTCACTGTAGCTAATGATCACTGTTAGTGACTGTTGTTTGTTGATTGATTGTTTCCTTTTTCATATTTAAGAAGCAGGCAGTGCTGACCAGGCTGGTGATTGTACTCGTGCTCTCTGAGCTCTCAGTATGGATGAACAGAATACAAAAGCATCTCTTCCTAACTCCATACCCCGGTCTCTTTTTGTGTTTATGGTGCTGATCGTGTTGCTGATGCTGATTCTAAATGTTCATCGTATAGAGGTATGTGGAACAGTGTAATTCTGCTGAAGAGTAAAATGTGCTGTTTAAGAAGCAGAAAATTGTACAGTACCGAATAATTACAGTGCCATGCAAGACCGCAAGGAACATTCACTAATTAAGTATTTAACCCTCCATTTAACCCTTTGAATTTGGTATTGAAATATTATCATTAATTTTTTAAAAAAAAATTACTTTTATCCTAGTGCGTTTAGATGCTATTGATGATCAAAGAGACTAGAAATCCCAGGGTGAAACCCTACTCTGTGCCGAGTTACCTAACCTCAGCCTGTTCAGAGGTGGAGCACTCTTAATTGGTCGCAGTGGCAATGGGAGGGGAAAATCAGCCTTGGAAAACATCATCATAATAATAATGTGTTCTTCAAAGCTCAAAGGAGACTAGTTATCTTCAATTGTCATTTACAGAGCCTGTCTAATTATCCTTTTGCTATTCAATCATACCTCAGTGTGAGACCTGTTTTAACTGAAGGTGATTTAGCATGAGTCATGATGCACTTGCTGCAAAGTCCCTTGTGCGCTGCTGAATTTTTGTCCCAAGGTTACGGCTTACAGTAGAAACATCCCATTTATGTTAACCTTATCGAGGCCTTTTATAATTTTAAACACTTCTCTTAGGCCTCCACTTAAACATCTCTTCTCTAGTGAAAAAAGGCCCAACCTATCCATTCTAGACTATCCAGTCTACCCTGATAACAGTAACTCGCCAGCCCTAGTATCGTCATCACAAAATACCCTGTACTCTTTCATCACTGCTATATCCTTCTTAATCAGAATTGGAAACAATACTCCAAATGTGGTCTAACCAAGGTTTTGTATAAATTCAACATTGCCTTGTCCTTGGTCTCAATCCTCCTCTCCTCATCTTCCTCAAAGGAATCTAGTACTTGGTTCCCGTATGTCACCTCCACAATGTAATGTTCGGTTGTCACATTGACTGGTGCAGTTCAATGCAAACTGCTTTTGTTCCTTTAGCATCTCTTCAAGTTTCTTTGCTATCTCATAATCATTGAGCAGTAGTTTCTGTTCCTCAACCGATTTGCATTTAGAACAAACACACCCTAATTTTCCCTTCCCTACTTGAAATCAGAGGTTTTCAATACCAAATTTAAAAAGTTAAATAAAAACAGAAGTCACTGGGAACACGCGATTCTGACAAAAGATCATAGACCTGAAACTTTAACTCATTTTCCTCTCTCCTTAGATGCTGCCTTACCTGCTGGGTGTTCCCAGCGACTGCTGTTTTCATTTTGATTCCCAACATCTGTAGTATTTTGTCTTTTTAAAAAAAAAATAATTAGTGAATGTTACTGTTCTTTATGGTCTTACTAGGCACTGTAATTAGTCTGTACCGTATAATTTTACAGGAATTCAATCATTCTTGTGCACTGCCCTATACTTGTATTGAAAGGATGGCCAGTCAGTGAAACACATCAAAGGACATATTCTAACAGACAATTCATGATACGATTGAGAGTCTGGTGTACGTCTGACCCATTACCATTACTTGTCTAATTGCACAACAAAGTCTTTTACAACAAGAAAATATGAGCAGAATTTTACCTATATTTTTCAAAATTTTACACAGATTTTCTCTCCCCAAAGACCTATCAAAATTTTTTTTTGATTTTTAATTTTAAAAAAGATGTGTTTTTTTAGCGCTTTATCACGGCTTCGAGACGTCTCAAAGCACTTCACAGAATACACTGTAAAGTGAATTGACTGTATATTTTGTACGCGAAACGCGGCAGCCAATTGCGCACAGCCAGGTCTCTCGCTTACGAGGCGAGTGCTCCACCCACTGAGTTACAGGACTCCAAATGGGAGCGTTTAGATGGTGAAAAAGAGAGGACTGAGAATAAACCTCCCGCGGAACATCCGCATGTGACTGTGCAGCGTTGGGGAGAGATTCCATTGGAAAGACAAAGTGAAGATTCTGTAATGGGTAAGAATGAAACCAGGAAAAAGTCAGGAGCAGAGAGGAGAAATAGTAGAAAAATGACTCTCGTCATCAGGGATCTCTAGCATTTAAGGAACAGTAACTTAGGCTGATTTTCCACTTCCTTTGCCACTGCCACTGAGACCAAATATAGAGCCCAGCCTCCGAACAAGCTGACGTTAGGTAACTCGGCACAGAGCTAGGTTTCATCCTACAGTGAATCATCAACAGTATTTATACGCACTAGGATAAAATTGAGTTTTTTTTAAATTGTAACTTTTCAACACCAAATTTGAAAAGTTAAATATTTAATTGGTGAGTGTTGGAATGTTTTTTGTGGGCTTGCTTGGCCCTGTAATTATTTTGTGCCGTATAAATTTACAGGAATTCATTCATACTTGTGCTTTTTGTATTGAAAGGATCGCCAATCAATGAAACACAACAAAGGACACACTGTAACAGACAATTCATAATAATAATTCTTGCATTTGATACAGCAGTTTATCATGCGTTCGAGGCGTCTCAAAGCACTTCACAGAATATACTGAAAAGTGTATCTTTTGTGGGCGAAACACGGTAGCCAATTGTGCACAGCAGTGTCGTGGATTGAAGTAAGCAATTCAATATTATTTGTTGAGGAATTATTACTCCCAGAAAAGCGATCCGCCAATCGACTAACAACTGGGTTCCTACTTACTGCTTGGTAAACAGAAGCGTGTGGAGTAAGGAAACTTGCCCAATGTTTCGCCCTGCTGGGAATTGAACCCAGGTCTCTCGCTTGCAAGGCAACTGCTCTAACCGCTGAGCTACAGAATCCATGATACGATTGTGAGACCAATAATACCTCTGACCCATTATCATAACTAATCTTAAGTGGACAACAAAGCCTTTTGCAACAAGAAAATCTGGGCAGAATTTTACTCCTTATGTTATTCAAAATTTCACACAGAGCTCTTCTCTCCCCAAATACATTTTAAAAGTTTTTTGTAAACAATTTGAAAGTTATTCAGCAGCGCACAAGGGACTTTGGTGCAAGTGCTCGTCGCAACTCATGCTAGATCACCTATAGTTAAAATGGGTCTCACAGGGAAACATGATTGAAAACCAAAAGCATAGTTAGACAGGTGCTGTAAATGACAAGTGTAGATAACCATCAGTTGGCCAATCTTCAACCCACTACTGCAGTGTACAAATATGATACTCAACACCAGAAAACAAAGAATTTTTGAAATTCAGAAAGAACATTCATAATTTAAAAGGTTTCAAATAGGATCATTTCATCTATTTTAAAAGAAGGTTATTACTATTTCTAAAATATAGGAGCACATAAATAAAAGGTTGATTATGAGGGGGAATAAGTGAAGCCACAGGATAAATCCCCACACTGCTCAATTCCTGTTAAACATTATATTGGCCGACTCCACAGCATCTTTTTACAGAAATAGGGAGAATGTTCTTTGTAGAACACCAACATCCAGACAAAGTGAGCATCTGCAGACATCTAGAAACACACCACAAATTGGAAGAGACGTATTTACAATACGGTAAAGATCTGAAGATAGGATGAAGAGACCATTAGATGGGTACTTAACAAGGAAAACTTTGCAAGGATATTGGGAAAGAGCGGGGAAGTGGTACTGATTGGGTAGCTCTTCCAAAAAGCTGGCACTCCCTAGGAATTCTAGTCTCTTTGATACAGTAAATCAACAGTATCTAAAAGAAAATAATAATGCTGAAATGGGAAGTAATTGGTTATGTGAAAAGCAACTACAGTGCAGACTATTTTGGATTTTTTATAAAGAGCTTTGGCGAATAATAAAAAGCAATTACATATGTTTCTGAAGAGATTCCAAATACTGTTTTTTGATTCTGTGCGTCCAAAGACACGTAATTCAAAGTTTTAAGAATTACTATTTGGTATTCTGCCCTAAACCAGTAGTTTGTCAGTTCCAACCTGTTGTGACACATTATACATTAATTAAATGGGAAAAAAATGAATTTTCATTAGATTATTCTGCCTTTTATTGCAACTGTAGAATCATTCAATAGAATGAAAATTGTAAAGGAGTGTTTGAGTGGAAACCTTCAGATAGAAAGTATAGTTTTTAAAATAAAGATTTTTTTAAAAAAATGAAGATGCACACTTTACATTCTTCACAAAACAGCCTTTTCTTATTCTCGAGATTTCTAATTTTTTTCTATTTCTTCCTCCTTGCTTCTAGGTAAGTATCTGTTTAGCTGCTTCTATCAACTCTTTGTCATTGACGTATGTTGTGCTGATATGTTAATTTGCTGAGCTGTTATCCCACATTGTTACAAGGAAATTTTGGATTATAAACTAAAATCTAGAAAGACCTAGCCTTCCTATGTATAATCTTCTTAAACGGTTTTCAATTAACTACAGTAAAACTTGCATAAATCTTATCTTTATAAATCTTATAATCGCCTAAGTCGTACATGCTGCCTATCAAAACCAATTAGGTTTCTTTGCATTAGTCATATTAATCATCTAACTTTGTAGTGCCACTCCCCCATCCTCCCTCACTTACTGGCCGGCTTGCATTGAATTGCGGCAACATAGCCTTGAACGGCTGACGCACGGCAGAAGCACTTAAATTCCCGCGATTCAATGCGATTCCAACGTTTGCTAGTAAGTGCGCATTTTGGTAATTCAGAGTTCTTTGAGTACTGCCTTCCCCCACTCTGTTCAGCACAAACACTTTTAAAATTTACTATCTTTATTTGCTAGTTTACTGACTATTTTTAACTTAAATTGACACTTCACTATGGCTACAGATTAGTGCTTACACTTACTCCAACTCTAGTGTTATTTCCTACTTTACCCCGGTATTTTCTGCGTTATTTCTCAGAGCTCAAATAGTACCTCCTTCTCTCACCAACACAGACTTGAGGAAAACCTACAGCCTCAAAACGTACCCTTTTGGCCATCCCAGTTCCATGTCCTGGTTCAGTTAATCCAAAGCACTGCTCCTCCCTACCAAGCTGCAGACCATGCAAGACTCTGCAGCCTGTGTCCTTTCTCAAACCAGTTTCCGAAGGTGATTATCCCTGTCCTCGGTTGGCTCCACTTGCTTCCCATCCCCCAGCGGATCGAATTCAGGATCTTCTTTCTCACTTTCAAATCGTTCCATGACCAAAACCAACCATGCTCTCTCTACACTGTCCAAATCCCGCTGTCCTTTGCTAAAGGCTATGAGACGTTCATCCTACTTGAAAGGAGTTATTTAGATGCAAATTGTTATTGTTTCCATCCCATGTGTAAAAGTTTAAAAAAATCTCCAAATGTACACAGTAGTCTGTGCTTAACGTTCAGTGGTCCCATCAGAGTCGATGTAGAGGCAGGAGATGGAAAAAATATTTATTTAAAATTTTTTACTTTTTTACAGTATGATTCATTTTCTGGAAGTGTGTCAAATTTCAAGTCCATCCCTGTTCCAAAATTGTATTCATCAGCAAAGGATCTCTTGAAGTTGAGGATGCATCCTTGGATACTCCGATTGCTTAACTGTGGCTACCAGAATGAAAGCTTTACACCTGCAGAAAGAGCTGAGGGAATGTTCCTGTTGAAAATGACTGAATGGCCTAACCCACCTAGAGCTCACACACCCTTTATGACCAGCACTGACCCGTCACGCTCTCACTTTCTTATTTTAAACTCTCAGAACACTTTCCATGTTGGGGATCAATTACAGGTGATGGTCCACATGTATGATTTTTCAGGACACCCGAAGCAATACGGAGGTGACTATCTCCAGGCCCGGATCCACACCCCAGAGCTCAAAGCGGGTTCAGTGGGAACAGTTGTCGATTACCAAAATGGATCGTACAAGATCAATTTTACTTTATTCTGGTCGGGGAAAGTTGAGGTGTCCGTTACCTTGGTTCATCCCAGTGAAGCGATTCAAGTGCATAAACGATTGCGTGAAGAACGACTAGATATGGTGTACTTTAAAAGCACATTCAAATCTGGTGCTACCACAGAGACAACCACATGCAATCTTTGTTTGCCTGAGACTGCACCACTCTGTAACTTCACTGATCTCAAGACTGGGGAACCCTGGTTCTGTTACAAACCAAAAAAGCTCCCATGCACTGCCCGTGTTAACCATGCCAAAGCAGGCTATCAGAAGGGCCTATTAATAGGTGAAGAGGGTCGCTATTTCAGGAGGTATGTCGTACCATTGTCACCCATATTTTGTTTGCACTCCTCACTTTATTGAAACATAAGCTTGTGACGCAGAATCAGATTATAATTTTTCAGAAATCTGAATATGACTCAGTTGCTACACTATGCAGACCAGTACAATCCCCAGTTAAATTCTTGGGTTGTGCTGAATTAGTTAATCTCAGACAAGGCAGCAGTAGGGGTTTTAAATCGGTTTCATTGCCCACAGGGCTAGAGAAGGGGGAAATCTGTCTAATCTTGAATAATCCGTAGACATTGGGTAGACACCGCAGTCAACCCCAATTGCACAAAACTGAATTTAGTTACAATGTAAAAGACCCTGAGCATGTGAAAAACATGTAATTTTTTCCATCAATTTTTTTTGTATCTTCAATATTTTATTCTAATTGTGATCCAGTAATCCCCGTTAAAAAGTGTGTGTGTAGAGTAAAACTACATTGTTTGCGATTCTGACAAGGGCCATCGCTGTGGGCAGGACAGAAACCAGACCAAATAAAAATGTTTAGAATTATAAATGGGTTTGAGAGGGTACACCTGGCTCAGTCCGAAGGTTGTGAGTTCAAAACCCATGTCTGGTCTTTCAATTCACATAGTCTCGGTTGACACTCTAATACGTTGCATTGTTGGAAATGCTACTGTTTGGATGAAACATTAAACCAAGGTCTCTCTCTGCTTGTTCAGATGGATATTAAGAATCCATGACACTATTTAAAAAGAGAAGGGAATTTCTCCCGGTATTCTGGCTAATAATTAACTTTGTGGGATGCTGCTATGTGCAAATTGGCTGCCGCATTCGCCTACAAAATACAGTCATTACACTTTACAGTATATCCTGGGAAGTACTTTGAGACATCCTTCTAATGTGAAAGTCGTTACATCATGTGTAAATATTATTGTTATTAATAATAAATGGTCACATTACTTGCAATGGTTGGTGAATTGGCAAGAAAAAGGCACAAACACAAAAGGAGAAGAATAAAGAAAAAATCGTTATAAAAAGGGTTACTTGGACTTAGAATTTGTACCACACGTCTTGTCAACAGTAAAAACATAAAAGGGATTAGAGTCCCTGGCTTCAGTGGGGAGTTATATTGGCATAATACAGATAACAAAGATAATAATAATCCCTCCAAAAACAAAAAAAACAATAATAAATTGATCATTTTAAATTTACGACTGTTTGTGGGACATTGCTGTGCGCAATTGGCTGCCGCGTTCGCCCACAAATATACAGTCAATTCACTTTACAGTGTGTTCTGTGAAGCGCTTTGGGACGTCCTCCCGACGTGAAAAGCGCTATATCAAATGCAAGGATTATTATTATTATTAACAAGGGTTAATGCCAGGACAGCCAATCAAGGATTAGCTACCTTTAAACAGAATGTTAATTTTACAATATTTTACTGTCCTGAAGTTACTGTTTCTCGCTGGGGCATCATTCTACTGGTATCCAACAGGACCTTGACAAAGTGATAGTTTCTCTGTTTTGAATCTAGACTGAGTCTTGGCAAGCCAGTTCGCTAATACGAAGGGAGGTATTGTATCACAGAATAGTAAAACCAGGGGACAAAGCCTGCAATTTGAAGGGGGGTAAATTCAGAACGAATCTACGCAAACGCTATTTCAGTGAGCGAATAGTGAACCTGTGGAATAGGTTCCCTAGGAAGATAGTTGAAGCAGGAAGTGTTGATTCTTCTTAGGTAGTTCAGGACATATGTGCACGTGACCGCCAGGAAGGTGGAAGGCGAACTAGATTGACCTTGGTCATTTTTTGTCTAGAATTTCTCATATTCTTATGTTAAATCTAAACCAGTCCTTCCACATGCCACTTACACACACACTTTCCAGCCGAGGTTAGTGGCTCCATCGAGGAGTGGCATTGCGGTAAAACAAATTCTTTCTTCAATATAGTGCTCGAACTTGCGCCCAGAAGAGTTTCACCTAACCCAGTACTGACTAGGAATCAAACCTGTGCTTTTCTGCTCTACAAGCTTCAGAGCTACACTGGTAGCCTTCACCAGAAGACCAGCAAAAAAAACCTGTTCAGTTCTTTCTACACTATTAGTATAATTTTACATTGACCAAGCCTCTTGAAGACTGAGATAATGTGTTGACTTCTTGCTGAATGAGCTATTCAGTTTTTAAATTGACACAATATAGTGATGTAACTGATTATTTACTGTATCACATTTTCAGTAACCTCAACCTTCAAAAGCCCATATTACACAGTGGTCCAGGTTTTGTAACTGTAATTGATTCGTCTCACACAGGTAAGAAAACTACAAATCATTACAATAATGAGCAAATTAAAAGTATACTAGAGGGACTAATCTTAAGAGAATGGATTAATACATTGATATTGCAGATACTGGTGATTTCTTGAATAGAGTGCAATGTAATGCATTGTGCAGTAATTTACTGAATTATTTACTTAATATTTGGGGTAAAGATTCCTGTTTAGAATAAATAAGATTTTCCTGCAATGGTAAAGTACTCTTTGTGTTAATTAGCGTTTATAGAATAAATCCTGACCAAAGCTATAATTTTGCAAAGCAAGCCCTTTGCATTATACACAAAATCTACTTACCAATCATGGGAAGAAAGTGCATTTGGGTCTAGAATTATTCTACTCATGTAAAATTTTAGAGCAAATTTTGAATTCAACAACAACAAATTGCATTTGTATAGCGCCTTTCAAGTCTGGAGGACTTCCCAAGGAGCTGGACAGTGAGGAATCTGGAGCCAAGCAGGTGTTGGGATCAGGAGTGTAGGAGAGTGACCAAAGACGCAGTCAAAGAGGAGGGTCTTGAGATGTGCCTTGAAGGAGACAAGGGAGGGAGCAAAGCAGAGAGACTGGGATGGAGTTCCAAAGGGTGGGGGCAGAGAAGCTGAAGGCCCAACCGTTGATGGTGGGGCATGCCAGGCGGTGGATGTGGAGCAGGATGGAGCTGTAGAGGTCGGATGGAGCAAGGCTGTGGAGGGCTTTGAATTTGGACTATGATGTTAATTTTCTGTAGTTCTTACAATAATTTACAGAAAACCGGTTTCAAAAATTAAGAATTTGTCAAATCCTGGGCTATAAAATGCAACGTTAACAGAGTAAATCTAGACCCAAGTGGAATTTTACTCATGGTGATATATTTATACAGCACTGGAATTTATAATGTCTCATCTAAAATGAATGTCTCTTAAGTGTTCGATAAATATTGTAGTGGACACTAAGCAGGGAAATAAGAGATTTAAAGATGTTGATCAAAGCTAAGGTCAGAAATATAACTTTGGGGAGGATTTTGAAGTTGATAAGTGAGGTAGTAAGACAAACTGGTTTGGAAGGAATGTTTCATCTGAAATTTTGGCTACCATGGGAGGATAAATAAGCAATAGACCAGAGTCTGACGAACAAAGCATACAGGATGGAATGTAGAGCTGTAAAAAATAGGACAAGACTGTAGAGGCCCATTGTGCCTGTGCCGGCTCTTTGGAAGAGCTACCCAATCAGTCCCACTGCCCCGCTCTTTCCCCATATCCCTGCAATTGTTTCCCTGTCAAGTACCTATCTAATTCCTTTTTGAAAGTTGTTAATGAATCTTTTTCTAGTTAGAGTAAATCTTGGGAAGTGCTTTAAGAACATAAGAATTAGGAGCAGGAGTAGGCCATTTGGCCCCTCGAGCCTGCCCCGCCATTCGATAAGATCATGGGTGATCATCTGACCTAACTCTAATTACCTGCCCTATCCCCATATCCCCTAATCCCTCTGTTTTTTAAAAAAAATCTGTCAGTCTCAGCCTTGAAGATGTTCAAGGACTGAGCATCTACAGCCTTCTGGGGTAGTGAATTCCATAAATTCACTACCCTCTGAGAGAAGAAATGTTTCCTCAACTCTGTTCTAAAAGGCTGACCCTTAATTTTAAGACTGTGACCCCTGGTTATAGATTCTCCTACCAGGGGAAACAGACCCTCAGTGTCTACTTTATCCAGCCCTTTAAGAATTTTATATGTTTCAATAAGATCTCCCCTAATTCTTCTGTACTCTAGAGAATATAGCCCTAGTTTATTCAGCCTATCCTCATAGGTCAGTCCCCTCATCCCAGGAACTAACCTAGTGAATCTACGCTGCACCCCCTCAAGGGCAAGTATGTCCTTTTTTAAATAAGGAGACCGAAACTGCACACAATACTCTAGGTGCGGTCTCACCAAGGCCCTATACAGTAGGACTTCCCTACTCTTGTACTCTAAACCTTTTGCAATGAACGCTAACATGCCGTTCACCTTCTTAGTTGCTTGCTGCACCTGCAAATTAACTTTTTGAGACTGGTGTACAAGGACACCCAAATCCCTCTGCACACTAACACTATCTAATCTCTCCCCCTCTAGAAAATAATCTGTTTTTCTATTTTTTCTACCTAGGTGAATAACTTCACACTTCCCCACATTAAATTCCATCTGCCACCTATTCGCCCACTCCCCTCGCCTATCTATATCCCGTTGCAATCCTTTTGCATCATCCTCAGAGCTTACTCTCCCACCTAGTTTAGTGTCATCCGCGAATTTAGATACGTTACATTCAATGTCCTCGTCTAGATCATTGATGTAAATTGTAAATAGCTGAGGCCCAAGCACTGATCCTTGTGGCACTCCACTAGTCACATCCTGCCAATTCGAGAATGACCTGTTTATCCCTACTCTCTGTTTTCTACCCGTTAGCCACTCTTCAATCCATGCTAACATGTTTCCATTAATCCCGTGGGCCTTAACCTTGTGCAATAGCCTTTTGTGTGGCACTTTGTCAAATGCCTTTTTAAAATCTAAATATACTACATCTACTGGTTCCCCCCTATCTAACCTGCTAGATACATCTTCAAAAAACTCTAAAAGATTAGTTAAGCATGGCTTCCCTTTTGTAAAGCCATGTTGACTCTGCCTAATCTTGTTACGGTCTTCCAGGAATCCCATAACGACATCCTTAATTAAGGACTCAAGAATTTTCCCTACCACTGATGCCAGACTAACTGGTCTATAGTTCCCCATCTTTCTCTCTCATCCTTTTTAAATAGTGGTGTGACGTTTGTAATCTTCCAATCAATGGGAACCGTTCCAGAATCCCAGAGAATTTTGGAAGATCAAAGACAAACCATCCACTATCTCAGTAGCCACCTCTTTTAAATCCCTAGGATGTAGGCCATCAGGTCCAGGGGATTTATCAGTTTTAAGACCTGACAATTTATCTAAAACCATTTCTTTACTAATATTAATTTCCCCAAGTTGCTCGCTCACATTGCCTTCTTGGTTCCCCTCTATTCTTGGTAGGTTTGAGATGTCTCGACGATTTGATAAGGCACTGTATCAAATGCAAGGATTATTAAGCTTCTGGAGAGTGGAGCTAGGGAGTCCAGCATTGGAAAATTTTATCTTCAAGATGATGATAGCAAAAAAAAGGCATTTAGCATCACTGGATTTAGGGAACCATTTAATTGTGATTTAAAAAAATATATTATCTCCACACAACTCCAGGGTTGAATTAACATGGAAAGCAAATCTTTGTAACCACCCATGACCTATTTTGGAGACAAAAGAAAATAGTTGCGTGTTATGAAAGAATGCAGACCAAGCTAATCACCTCAGATGAAAATGTGTTTCCCTTTCTCTGTTTTATCATTTTCTGCCAATTATTAAACCTATTCCATTCATCATTTTCAAATCTCTTTTGAATCTTGATCCTTTGAGTCTGCTTGAAAGGAGGCAGGGACTGTTCTCACTCAGATCCCGTTAACCCTGCAAACAAAAACCCTAACAGTTAGGGTGGTCGAGCTGGATAAGCAGCAGGAAAGCTCGCCAGGCAGTACTTTCAATGGCAAGCTATGCATGTGGTTTTAACTGGTTAGACTCCCAACAGTACCCTAACGCACCCTCTGGGGTCCCGAAGCCTGGGGTTTGGCCAACCTGTGCCTAATATTTTCCGGAATTAGATAAGCAGGATATGCCCCTCCAGGGAGAAAGTGCGCATTCCATCCCAACCAATACCTCTGGAAATTACCACGTGCGTGGAACTTTCAGTTTGGTTTGGTTACTCTTTAAGCATGGCGATGGGTTTCCACATTTGCCAGAAACCTAAGTGACCAAAATAAATCTGCTTGAATGTTTTGAATCTGGTTTTCGAAACAGGACTCCTGTTCTAGGATTCTCCCTTTGTGGGCTAGGATGAAATTTCAATCAGAAGGTTTCCTGCACCTGTGAGGGTGGTATTCTAATGTACTTCGTTGTCACAATAGAGCAAGTCATTGAATTACATATCCCATTCAATCTAAAAGTCAAACTAAACATGGGCTGGATTTTGTTTCCATTCTAGTGCAGACAATATAATAATTCCTTGTATTCGGTATCGCTTCTTATCATGTTATCGAGATATCTCAAAGCATTTCATAGGATTTTATAGTAAAGTGTAATTGCATGATCTGCAATGTTCCAGATCTCTGAATTAGATCAATAACTGATTTTGAGAGAGAGAAAGAGAGAGAGAGTGTCTTGATTGGCAGTCATGTTGCTTATCCTCAATGCTGTGTGTTTAGGTTATCAAATATTTTTACTTAAAGGCTTAATCAGTTTAGATCCATTTTTATCCATGTTTTGTATAAATATATTTGCAGAATATTTACAACTATATTTGCCGAATAGCTCATGCCTGGTCTGATACAATCTGAGTATCTCAGACCTATAATAACTATAATGTTACATTTGGAAGATCATTGTGAAGGACTTCCAGACAGTAATTAATAATCTTGTTTTTATAAAGAGCTGCACAATGTTTTTAAAAATTCTGTTTTTAGGTGCTTTACGCACAAACAACTAAAGGCTCTGCTGTGAATCATCATTAGGAAAGTGACGAGAGCACAGTAGAAAGACAACTAAATGTATTACTGTGGATTGTCATTACTGCAGAAACTGATCGATGAATTGGAAAATGCATTGATAATCTGAGCCTAAGATGTAGTATGTTGCCGTACGATTCAGTTTTGTTCATGGTTCTCCTTTATTTGCAGAAGCAGTTCTTGGATATTGCATCCATGGCAAACCTCTGACATCACCATCTGGTTTTTATTATAAGGACCTTTGGATATCAACAACCTGCAATATTCGCCGCTTTAACACACCTGCAAGTATCACAGATTGTCTTCGTGGAAAAATTGTTTACCTTTTTGGAGATTCCACTGTACGTCAGTGGTTTGAATATTTGACTGAATATCTGCCAGGTTAGTTTCAGCCATTTCTCATTTGTTGTGACAGTAATAATATTCGAGTCCTCTAGCGTATTGGTTAGAGCATTCAGCTCACAAACAAGAGGACCTGGGTTTGGTTCCCGGGCAGGGCATAACGTTAGGTAAGTTTCCTTACTTGGCACACTTCTGTTTACCTAGCAGTAAGTAGGAGCCCGGTTGTTGGGCATTTAGCGGATCGCTCTTCCGGGGGTAATAATCCCTGCAAAAATAAATAAATAATAATTTGGTCACTCAATCCACAACCATTTGCAGGACATGGCTTTGCGCATTTGGCTGCCACATTTCCCCCACAAAATATACAGTCAATTCACTTCACAGTCTTCACTTCCTTGGATCTAACCTCCTAAACCTCCCAACCTCTCTTTCAGACTCACTGAACCAGTGTGCAATCTTGGCGTCCGGTTTGACCCCCAGCTGTCCTTCCTTCTCCAAATCTGGTCCCTGACCAGGACCGCCTTCATCCGCCTCAGCCACATTGCCCGTCTCTGACCGTACCTTACCCAAAATGCAGCTGAAACCCTCGTGCGTGCGTGCAGCTGAAACACCTCCTGCCTGGATTATTCCCAAAGCACCCCTCGCCGGTCTCCCCAGCTCCACTGTTCAAAAAATCCAGCTCATTCAAAACTCTGCCACCCGCATACTGACCCGAACCAAACTCCATACCCATATCTGACCAGTTCTGGCCAAGCTCCACTGGCTCCCCATCACCGAATGGATCAACTTCAAGATTCTCACACTCGTTTTCAAATCCCTTCACTCCCTGGCACCTCCTCACTCCCCAATCCATCACCCCGAGCCTTCGCTCGCCTTGTACCAGCCTCCTGCTCATCCCTCAAGCCCTCCGCTCCACCATTGGAGGTTGCGCATTCAGCCACTGGTGGTTGCGCAGACACTGCTATGCCCCGAAACTGTGGAACACTCTCCCTCATCCCTCCGCTTGGCCCCTCTCTCCCTTTTTGTCAAGTCCTACCTGAAAACGTGATGTGAGTCGGAGACTTGGATTATATCAGGCAGAAAAGCACTAATAATAATAATAATCCTTGCATTTGATATAACGCCTTATCACGTCTTCCAGACGTCTCAAATATTCCACATTCTAAGATCAATACCTCAGCTTACATCTATTATTGGAGGGTACAGACTTCAGATTCAGGACATTGCTTTTATCCTGAAATCCACCTGTCTGTACACATGTCAAGAAATGTTTATTATAGCCTACCAAAGAAGATTGCAGCTTTTTTGCATAGTAATTGTAACCTGGTGGATCCCTTTTCTGGGGTTAATAATTCCTTAAAAGAAAATTAGTCACTAATGCACGACTGTTGTGGGACACTTGTGCACAATTGGCTGCCACGTTTCGCCACAGAATATACAGTCAATTCACTTTACAGTACATTCTGTGAAGTGCTTTGAGACATCTTGAAGATGTGATGAGGTGCTATATCAAATGCAAGGATTATTATTATTTTCTATGACATTGGTGCAATAGTACCAAGTAATCTATTAGCTCCAGGTGAAATCATTTCAACAGACTTGAGGTTTCTGGTAATTTGACCCAAATCCTTGTCATATCTTCTAATGTTTGAGTACACAATTATTGTCTGATTTGTTATGATTAATAATGTTAAATCTTTTGTTTTAGATCTGAAACAGTTTGATCTTGGCAATCCTAAAAATATTGGGCCACACCTTTCTGTGGATGTGGAAAACCAGATCATGGTAGAATTTCATTGTCATGGTCCACCAATCCGATTCTCTACTGTTTCAAGCCAACACCTGCATTACATTGCAAATGCACTGGATGAACTTAAAGGTGGAAAGAACACAATTATAGCAATCACTATATGGTCCCATTTCAGCACTTTTCCAGTAGAAGTTTACATACGAAGACTTCAGAATATTCGGAGATCAATTCTACAGTTATTGAGCAGGAGTCCGGATACTCAAATTGTAATTAAGACCGCCAATGCCCAGAGTATTACACCTGAGGGCAGTATCTTCAATAATGACTGGACCTGCTTTCAGCTTGACTTAGTGTTGAGAAAAATGTTCAAGGCCATCAATGTGGCATTTGTGGATGCGTGGGAGATGACTATAGCACATTACCTGCCACATGAGTTACATCCACAGCCAATTATTATAAAGAATGAAATAGATGTGTTTCTTTCATATGTCTGTCCTTTGAAATAGGATAAAACATTGCATTAAGTTTGTTCCAGTTAACCTTAAGGCAACCGTAAGTTACAAATTGTGTGACAGGCTAAGAAAACTACAAATGGTGTTGAAACAAAAACGTTTGCCTTAAATTTATTCGCTATTTTTAACGTAGACACCGACTGTCCTTTTAAAATGAGAATAAATTTTGAATGATTCTCAAATGTGGGAGCCGTCATTGGAATCAACTGAATGCAAGTTGTTGGTTTATTATCTTTAATAAGCGAAAGAGTAATTACGTGGGTAAATATGTACTTTTGAGGAATTATGTTCCTATTTACTCAATTACAGCAATTTCCGTAAAAGGCAAACTGAACCATGTCCATACTACAATCCATTTCTTGATTAATGGATGCAGGACTCAGTAGGAGAGTTGTTGGGATGTGGAATGCCCTGCCAAGTAAGGTGGAGACAGAGTCCATTGTGGGTTTCAAGAGGCAAGTAGACAGGTGTACGAAGGATAAAGGCTTGAAGGAATTTGAGCATAAGGCAGGGCAGTGGGTTTGAATGAACACCTTAATTTGAGCGCCGATACAGACTCGGTGGGCCGACTGGCCTCCTCCTGTGCTATAAATTTCTATGATTTCTTTTGCCTTCATCTACTATTGCAGGTCACTGGAGTTAGATCACTTTCTATGAGGCTTGGATGAAAGAATTGTGGCTTTGTATAAGTTACATGCCTTTTTTGCCCCAAAAAGTTACTGTACTCGACAATAATTGTTAACTTTTGAAACAATTTAAAGTGATAAGGCACTATAAAGTTGAAACTGTTTTTCTATCTCGGAATGTGTTTTAATGGCTTGCTTTACACAATCTCCAATAACTTTATAACATTGTTGACTCAACATCTATGTTTAAACATGGGGTAATGTCCCACCTTAGCAGCACACTGTATAACTCATGCCTGCCTATCTGTTAAAGCTGACCCTGTGAAGTGAAGCCAGTGCTGAAACATTGTCGAAAGTTCTTAGTTGGGTGCATGTGTGCCAAATAACCAGATACGTGATTTTATTTGATTGCAACAAGAACTTGCATTTATATAGCACCCTCTACATAGGGTAACGTCGCAGAGCATGGTACAGTAACTGGATTAGACACTGAGCAACAGAAAAGGGGTAAGAAAGACATGACTACCGGTGTAGTCAAAGAGGTAAGTTTGGAAGTGAAAAACGGAGCGGGGAGATGTGATAAAACAACTTGCACTTATACCGTGCCCTTCATGTGGGGCAGTGTCCCAGAGTGCTTGATAATGATGGAGTCTGACCCCAAGCCAGAGGGAGGGCGAGGTAACCCTAAGCACGATCAAAAAGGAAGGTCTTTTGACGAGATTTAAAAGAGGGGAGGAAGGGGGCAAGGCAGAGGGTTTGAGGGAGGGAGTTCCAGAGCTTCACGGGGTAGTGGCTGAAAGCATGGCTACCGATGGTATAGCGGAGGTGACGAGGGATGAACAGGAGGCTGGAGCCAGCCTAGCAGTAAGCAAATCGGATAGGTAGAGGTGCGAGGGCATGAAAATGAATGAGAGGATCTTGAAATTCGGTAATTGGGAGCCAGTGCAGCCTGGCAAGGACTGGTGTGATGGTGGTGGAGGCAGGCCTTCCGGAGTAGGTGGGTGATGGGGCAGTTGGGGTGGCTGCTCTGGGACAATCATCGCCGAGTGCAGCGGTAAGCCCGGCAGAGAATGCCCAGGCTGGAGCTGAAGGAGGTTGTGGGAGGGTCCTGGAGGGAGAGAAGACGGGGAGAGAAGGGACTGAGTGGGAGCAACAAAGGGTGGGGTGTAGGAGTGGGGGCATGTGGGAAGGGGTGGCGGGTCGGGGTGGCAGCTGGACGTGCACGCTGAGACTGGGAGCAGAGCGATCAGCCAGGCACCTTCAGCCCGCAGGCATGGCGGCTGCAGGAGGCTAGAGGGGACAGTGCCAAGGGGAGCAGAGATGATAGTGCTCATGGCTTTGTTGGTACCAAAGCCAAAGAGGGAGGGAGTGGTAGATGGGGGTAAACTCACCTTCAAAACGCACATTAAGATGTATCTTTATAAAACAACAACTTGCACTTATATAGTGCACTCCACGCAGAGTAGCGTCTCAGAGCGCTTAACAGTGACGGAGTCTGACTCCGAGCCGGGGTGTGAATGTGCGGGGAGGTGGAGGTGACCATAAGAGCAGTTGAAAAGGAAGGTTTTCAGGTGGGACTTGAAAAAGGGGAGAAAGGGGGCAAGGCAGAGGGATTGAGAGAGAGTGTTCCACAGTTTAGGGGTGTAGTGGCTGAAAGCACAACCTCCAGAGGTGGAGCGGAGGGTGCGAGGGACGAGCAGGAGGCCGGTGAAAGTCGAGCGGAGGTACCGGGTGGTGAATTGGGGAGTGAGGAGGTCAGAGAGGTAGGGAGGTGCCAGGGAGTGAATAGATTTAAACATGAGTGTGAGGATCCTGAAGTCGATCTGTTTGGTGATCAGGAGCCAATGGAGCCTGGCCAGAACTGGTGAGATGGAGATACGGAGTTTGGTCCGGGTAAATGTGTGGTGCAGCACAGTTCTGAATGAGCTTGATTTTTTTGAATAGCGTAGTTGGGGAGACTGGCGAGGAGTGGGTTTGAGTAATCCAGACAGGTGGTGACAAACCCTTGCACGCGTGTTTTGGCTGCATTTGGGGTAAGGTACGGTCAAAGGCGGGCAATGTGACCGAGGTGGAGGAAGGCGATCCTGGTCAGGGACCGGATGTGGGGAAGGAAGGACAGCTGGGGACAGCTCGCGTGTGCATTTTGGCTGCCGCCAACGACGCGAGCTGCTTCCCCATAATGCCCCCACACCTGTCCACTACCCTCATTTACTCCCGCTCAGTCCTCCTCGCCCACCGTCCTTCCTGACTTTTATCCTTGCTCGCTGTCCCAACAGCCTCCCTCTGATCCAACCTGCGAATCCTCCATAAGGCCCATCGTGGGAGTGGCTGATGGCTGTCCATCAGCAGCCACTCTGACTATCCTATCCCCCATTCTCACCGCAAGACTCACCGGTCCCCAACCACGGGGGCTGACCTCTCCTCCCTGATCCACATCCCTACCCTCCCTGACAGTCGTCCCCCCTCCCCCACCTTCTGCCACCAACTGTCCACTCCGCATCGGTCTACAAAACGTCCATTCCCTCTCCAACAAAACACTTACCATCCAAGACCTCATCATTGATGAAAACATTAATATTCTCGCCCTAACTGAAACCTGGATCTCTCCAGCCAAAACCTGATAGCGGCCACACCACCCGGCTACACCTTCCATCACACCCCATGACCTAACCGCCATGATGGCGGTAAGGCTCTCCCATTCCCTGCTTGGCCTATCCCTTTACTCCTCTGGAACCTTCCCTCCTTTGAGCACCTTACCCTTTATCACCCCTCCAACCTATCCCTCAAAATTCTCCTTATCTACTCCAAGTCCTCCCCCACCTTCATCCCCGAAATCTCCACCTTCCTATCTTCCATCTCCCTCTGCTCCAAACGCCTCCTCATCCTTGGTGATTTCAATCCTACTTCACCCCCTCCTGCTCTGCTGACTTTTCCTCCCTTATCTCCTCCCTCAGTCTCTCCCTCAACATCCACTCCACCGCCCCCTCGACCTGGTGATCACTTGGGGGCTCATCGTCTCGGACCTCACCATCATTGATAAAGCGATCTTGGACCATCAGTTCATCTCCCTTAACACTTCAATCCCTCTCCCCACTGCCACCCAACCCACCTCCATCTCATAGTGCCCCTGGAAAAAAATCTCCCCCCACTCTCAGATGCTTTGGAGTCATCTGAACTCCTTTCCTTCTGAACGTCCTCCCGCAATGACCTATCCTCCTCAGTCACTCTTCTCCACAGCTCCCACTCCTCCACTCTTGATTCCCTTGTTCCCCTCCCCTAACCATCTCCTATTCACGTAAATCACCTTGGTACACCAGCCACCTCTGCTCCTTTAAAGTACAGGCACGTTCCACCGAGCACATCTGGCTTAAATCAAACCTAATGGTCCATTGGCAGATTTGGTTGGACCATATCAAATCCTACTGCTCCGCCCTTGCTTCCGCTAAATCGTCATTCTACTCCAAGACAGGAGGCTAAGGATAACCCCAGGCTCCTCTTCTCCATCACAAACCGGCTCCTCCGCCCACCCTCTCACGCCTCACCCATCCTCAGAACGAATGCTAACTGCGAGGCGATGCTGGACTTCCTCGAATCCAAAGGCTAGGATACCAGGAGAAAATCCCTTCTCTTTTCCAGTGGTGTCATGAAATCTTTAAAGTCCACCTGAACAGAGAGACATGGCTGTGGTTTAACATTTCATCCGAAGGCTGATACTTCTGACATTACAGTGGTCTCCCAGTAGTATGCTAGCTTTTTCAAACTAGATTATGATCCAGCGCCTTGGGATGTCCTCCCGACGTGAAAGGCGCTATACAAATGTAATCTTGTTGTTAACTTCTGGGATGCTAGCCAGTGTGAAGGGCACTATGTAAATGCAAGTGGTTGTTGTTGTCTCATCCGAAGGATGAGGCAAGCAGCAGTCCTCCCGGAGACTACTGCACTTGAGTATCCGCCCAAACAATGAGCTGACGGTTCTGACAGACATCTGCAAGTCAAATTTGAACCTGTTGGTTGAGATTTTTTCAGGATAATAGCCTAAATTCTTGAGGTGATTATAATTCATTGACAGGCACAGCATCATATGTCATTTCCTGGGCACTGAACAGCAACGCAACCATTTAACAGAAAACCTTGTAGCTAAGAAACAAAGCCTGGTTTCTTAGCTATACAGAATACTTGACTTTGAATGTCATCCTTTGCAGAACTTTGGTTTGCCCTTATCTGGCCCACCTTCATATTCAGTAAACTCCACTCAAGCCCAAAGGGAAAGTTTCCTAAGTTGGGAAAGGGGGGCTGGAGGAGGGGAGGAAAGTATAAACCCTTTATAAATTTCAGTTGACTTTTTTTCCTCTCAATTTGTTGTCACGGTTCGTGAGAAAAGGGAAAATGAAAAGCAAGTGAGTTTGAGTCCGAAAATCAAAGGAAACTTCATTGTTGCCAAAACAACAACGTTACTGAAACAACAAAACTCTGAAACAAATTGTAATGGAATTTTGATAAAATAAGTAACAAAGCCTAAATATTATTAATCCAATCTTGTATTTTATTATTTTTTTTTATTTATTTATGCTACTTACATTTATAAAACACAACTTTACAGTGTAGTATTTGATTGAAACAAACTTTGGTTTTACTCTGGGTTTTTTAGTTTTATTTCATGTGCAGAAGGACTAACTTTCTTCTGTTCTGAAAAGCAAACCTCCAGCCATCGAGCTTGCACTACCAGTGCTGTAGGATTCTCTTGCAGGCAGCTTTGCAACTCCTAGAGTCAGAACACACCATAATGTCAGTCAGGATATACTTTTATATTGTGCTGGAGGATTGACGGTTAAAATCATAGAAATTTCAGCGCAGAAGGACATGCAGCTCAACTTGTCTATGCTTGCTATGTAAAGCAGTTAACTCCTTTAAATGATGTGTTTTTGCTATTTTGTTCATCATGTCATAAATGGTAATGTAATGCTAATCCCACTCCCAGCAACTCTTTGGCCATCATGTTGAAAAAAGCTTCAGCAAGCTTTAGCAATGTCAATCATTGTACCAACTTGGTCCAGAAAACATGCCTTGTCTCCTCACCAACATGTTATAATGCAAGAATGAGGTTTAAGGTTAACGAAAACGACAATTTCAGATTTAAAACT